AAGGCAAACGCCTCACGCACCGCGGGGGAAGGCGCCGGGCGGCCCGCAGTCGGAGCCGACACGGACAGACCCGCGCCTCCGAGCCGGGCGCGACGCCCCCGCGACGCCGCACCTGCCCGAGTCGCGCCCGCGCCTGCGCAGAGCATCCCCCGCCGGCCCCGCCGCCGGCCGCGCCCAACCTGCGCCTGCGCACAGCGCGCCTCGCGGGCCCACGGCGGGCCCCGCCCCCGCCACGGCGCGGACCCGGGGGCGCTCGGCACGTGCGGCTGGGGCGACCCGGGCGCGGCGACCCGGCGGTGCCCGCGGGCGGAGCTCTGGTGCCTCACTTGGCAGTTTGATCGCCGACCTGGCATCAGGAACGACAGACTTTAACACTCGTGCGGCTGCCGCTTCTTCCGTGCGCCGAGGGGCGCCGCGATTCGCATCCGCCGGTGTCGCGTGGCCAGGAGGGCGCAGCTGCCAGGTCGCGCCTGAAAAGGTGAGGCGGCGAGGCCGGCCCTTGGGACCGGGTGGCCTGCGTGCTGCTCACGGGCCAACCCCCTCCGGCTGATGACAAGAAGCTGGGGGGCGGGTGGCCTCTGGGAGACACAGACAGGCCCCTGAGGGGCTGGGGGAATGCGGCCAAGGTAAGAAATGAACAAATCAGAAAAACACAGCCACTCAAGAGAGGACTCAGCATGACCCCTAGTCCCTGCGGGCAGTAGAATGAGGCGTGACTCTGCTGGGCGCAGCCACACTTCTGTGCAGGGAAAGCCCACACTCTCAACTGGCCAGGCGGAGACGGGGCACCACACTCAGGAGTCACAGCGACCCAGACGGCCGCGTGGGCCCAGGACATAAGACCCAGCTCATTGCTAACACAGGCCGCACAGCTCCGCGACAGTAAATGAGTCCAGTCAATGACGCTGAATGCCCACTCGTGCACGCTGGCCAGCCAGACCCACTGCCTCACATGGACAGAAAGGAGAGGCGGCCAGTCACAGAGAGCGAGCAGGCCAGGACAGAAGAATACGCCGGCCAACAAAGAGAAGGCCCAAGGCCCAAGCCTTGGACCAAGAGAAACTGGTCAGGAAGCCAGGAACGTGGTCTGGGAGCACAGCCCTCGGTGAGGACGGTGGCCCCTGGAACAAAGAGATGCAGGCAGTGGGGGGGCCTCGCAGACTCAGGCAGCCCCAGGCAGGCCGCCACATCTGGGTTCTGGGAGCCCAGTGGGCACCAGAGCACACAGGCTCAGCAGACATGACAGCGTGGGTGCTGGAACCAAGGCCAGGCCCACAGGCCACTCGCCACTCCAAGGCCAGCCGGCTCTGCAGGGGCAGAGGGCAACAGGATCCAGTGGACGGTGTGACCCAGTGCAGGCCTGAGGGTGTGCGGGTGGCCTCCCGCTCTCCGGGCCGAAGCCTGTCCTCAGGTCCCCCAGTGGGGCCCGTGGCCAGAACCAGATCTTCACCAGAAGCGGGTGTGGCACCTGTGAAGTCCTGGTTTCACTAAATATCGCTGGTCTTGGGCCTCCCCTGGTGGCGCAGTGGTTGCGTGCTGGGTTGCGAGGCTGCCTGCAGCCTCTGCAGCCCCAGTTCGATCCCCGGCCACCGGCGAGGGTCCCACAAAAAAAAAAAAAATATATATATATATATAAGTAAATAATAAACATCGTTGATCTTTAAAATGATATAACAGGCCAGCTGGCCTAAGGCAGCCTTGACGTGGAGAAGAAAACAGAAGCAGTGTCAGCATCTGCTTGGGGGTAGAGGAGTAGCAGAGGGTGTGGGGGCACCCGAGGGCCGTGGACAAAGTGGGGGCTGATGGACATACTCTGGCCTACTGCGATGACCGTCTCACAGGGGTCCACTTGTGCCGAGCGTGCACTCAGACATGGTGGCCGCTCACCCCAGTAAAGCGCTCGCACCCCAATAAAGCTGCTAAGAGGAAAGGAGACTCACAGACCTAGGTAGAAAAGATGTTGCTTTAAAGCTTCGAGCGAACAAGTAGCGCGCAGGCAGCACCTTCACAGCCCCAGGCAGGCCAAGTTTCCCCAAGGACACGTAATAACATAAAATGTTGACAAATCCTGCCTTCATCTAAATTATTTCTGTTCATCAAAGACACCATTAAGAAAAAGATAGAAAAACGATTCACCCCGCTCTCCCTGTCTCTCTCCCACTCCCTCACTACAAATGCGTGTTCACAGAAACAAGCCATAAAGGGCATGGAACGGATGCCTGTCCTCAAACTCCTAACATTAAGTCACACGAAGATGATCCAGTAAGAAGCCGGTCAGAGACCTGGCACTCCACCGACACACAGAAGGCCAGAGAGTGTGTGAAAAGTTGCTCCCCACTGTAATTCGTGAAAGAAATGCAGGTTAAAACCTCAGTGAGGGGGCCTCCCCGGTGGCGCAGCAGTTGAGCGCTGGGTTGCGAAGCTGCCCGCAGCCTCTGCAGCGCCGGTTCAATCCCGGGCTGCTCCCCGGCCATCGGAGGAGGGTCCCACATGGCGCGCAGACCTCTCCTGCCGCCCGCTGCTCCCCTCAGCAGTGTACTTCGGTCCTTCTGCCTGCTCTGCTCCCCACTCTGGCTCTGGTGAATTCTCTCGCCCTCCCGTGCTTCTGACTGTACCCAGTGCTTGTATAAATAAATAAATAAATCTTAAAAAAAAAAAAAAAAAAGAAATTTCTAAAAAAAAAAAAAAAAACCTCAGTGAGGGCCTCCCCAGTGGCATAGTGGGTTGAGCGCAGTGCTGTGAAGCTGTCCACAGCCTCTGCAGCGCGGGTTTGATTCCCGCCCGGCCAGGGACATATCCACATGGCGCAGCAGACCTCTCCTGTCATGCCCCCTGCTCCCCTCAGCAGTGTATTTCGGTCCATCTGCCTGCACCCTGCTCTGTCTCTGGTGAATCCTCTCACCCTGCCGTGCCTCTGGCCTGTACCCCAGCTCTTGTATAAAAATAAATCTTTAAAATAAAACCTCAGTGAAATACCAACCACAGAACAGCTAAAATTAAAGTAACAGTACCAAATGCTGACAAAACTGTGGAGAAGCGGGAGACCTCACATACTCCTGGGGGTGGTAAAATGGCACCCATTTAGAAAACTGTTTGGCAGTTTCCAAAAAAGTTAACCACACATCCGTATCATGGCCCAGCAAGTCCACCCCCAGAGATTACCCAAAGAAGCGGCGCACACCCACCAAAGATGTGCGCAAGAATCTTCACTAGCTGCAACTTCATCCTGTCACAACCCAAAAAGGGTGAGCAACCCGAGCCCGTCAGCAGGAAGACCCCGCTACTAGCAGAGGCTCCCAAACCCCCAAGTCTCAAAGCTCCGCGCTGTGAGTGCAGCAGCGGGAAGCCTGCGCCCGCCCAGCAGTCACACTGAGGGTGGCCTGGGGTGGCCGAGAGGGGCACAGGGATGTTCTGGCCCGGAGATGAGTGGTGGACATTGGAGTACATGTTTGGTAAAATTAGTCAAACTTACATACTCAAGACCCTTATGTTTTACGGCTTCAAGTGTTCTCCCATCACTCCTTAGTGGTTGGGTCCCTGTGAAGGACCAGGCTGCCGGCCTGGCAGCGCCAGGGGAGGCTCATGCCTGGGAGCTTCTGAAGCTGATTCTCAGTGAGGTGCCCTGAGTGCCAGCCAGGAGGCCCTGGTGGGCTGGGCACTGGCCCCGCTGTGTTGGATCTGCTCAGTGCTACCAGTGCCTGGACCATCAAGTGGCTTGAAGGTGAAGTGCTTGCTGGCTCCCACATCAGAACGTAGAATTTAGCTCTGGCTTTCAGTCTCTGGTTTCTAGTAAATTCTTTTTTCTTAAGATTTATTTATTTATGGGGTACAGGCCAAAAGTGTGGAGATAAGAGGATTCACCAGTCAGAGCGGAACAGAACAGACAGAATGACTGAAATCCACTGCTGAGGGGAGCAGCGGGGAGTCAGGAGAGGTCTGCTGCGCCCTGTGGGTAGCTCCCTGGCCGGCTGGGGATCGAACTCGCGCTGCAGAGGCTGTGGACAGCTTCACAGAGCTGACTTAACCCCTGCACCACCAGGAAGGCCCTCCAGTAAACTCTGCACAAGCCAGGGACCCCCTGCATGTCAAAGTGCCCGCTCTCTCCCAAGGAGACCAGGGCGAGGAAAGGTAAAGCGCTCTGCTCCAGCAGAGAGGGAAGGAACTGAGAGATGGCAGGTGACGCCTGGGCCAGTTTTTCCAATAAAGCTTTATTGGAAAGTGCATCCGCACACGTGTCCCGTGTCAGCTGTTCAAAGTTACTCAAAAACTTAATACAATATATTTTCAAAGATCGGTTAACTCGTTTATTTTTATTAAAGCATATTTCTGAAGGTCAGCCTTCTCCTTAACCGTGCGGCGGAGGCGGCCGCCGAGGCACCTGCCGGGACAACGCCTGGCTCTGGCCCGCTGTCCTGGGCTCGGCTGTCAACCCGGCGGGGCGGCTCCCCGAGGGCGCGGGGGGGGGGACGGAGAGCCCGCCCCGGCGCCCTCCCCCGCGAGTCCGCGCCCCGGTGCCCCCCACCCCCCGCCCCGCCGCGCCCGCCTGGCTCCCGCTCGCGCCGGGCGCTGTCCCCACCTGTCCCCGCCGCCCTGCCCCTCTCGCCCGGCCCGAGAGCTCCGCCTCCGCGCGGCGCCGGCCGAGCGCCCGGCCCCCGGCCGCGACCACCCGCCTCGCGCCGCCCGGGGCGCGCCTCGGCGGCTCCCCAGACCCCGCCGGCAGCTCCGCGCGCCGCCCGCGCCCCGCGGCTCCCGGCGGGCAGCGAGCAGGGCCGGCGGGCCCGGGCCGCGGGGGCGCCCGGGGCGGGTGGGGCCCGCGCGGCGGGGCAGGCGGGCGGGGGCGGCGGCGAGGCCCGGGCGCCGAGCCGCGGGCACAGGCGCGGGAGGGGACGGGCGCGCCCCGACCCGGGCCCCGGGCCCCTGGCGGGCGCCGACGGGCGCCGAGGGCCGGGCTGCGGGGACCGGCCGGGGCCGGCGGGCCGCGCGGCCGGCCGCCCACTCACCTGCCCCGCGGGCCGGGCGGCGCGGCGGCTCCTCGGAGGCCCGGGCGCGGGCGGCGGCGAAGCCCGGACGGCAGGGCGGGCCGCACGACATGGGCCGGCCGGGCGCGGCGCCCACGGACAAGCGCCGGCCCCGGCGGCTCGGCACCGGCTCGGGACCCGCTCCGGCCGCGGCGGCGCTCGGCTCGCTCCAAGATGGCGGCGCGGCGCCGGGCGCGCGCGGGGGCGGGGCGGGCCGGGCGGGCCGGGCGGGGCCGCGCGCGCCGCGGCGGGCGGGCGGGCGGGCGTGTGGGGGCGGCGGGGCCGCGCGCCCCCCGGCTGCCCCGCGCCGCGTGGGGCCGGCAGCCGCGGGGCTCCCCTCCCCGAGGTGGGTCCGGCCCCGCGACCGGCCGCCAGGCGGGAGGGGCGAGGCCGCCGCGCCCCTCGCGCGCCCGGAGGTCCCGCGCTCGGGGGCCCCGCGACCGGCCGCCTGCCCCGCGGCCTGCGCTCCCCCTGGCCGGGGCGCCCGCTGGGGTGGCCGAGCGCGGCCCGGGCGGCCGGCGCCAGGTCAGCTCGCCGCGCGCTGGGCTCGCCGGGCCCGGGGTGGCCTCCCAGGGCCCGGGGCTTCCCTTCTGGCGCGTTCCGCGGCCTGACCGTCGGGAGCGGGTCAGGAGCCCACGGTCGGGGGTGGGGGCGCCGGCACCCCTGCCGGTCTGGGGCCTCCGCCGCCGCCGGGTCCGCGGCTCTCGCCTTGCCCCCAGCGCCACAAGGGCCACCAGCGGCCCTGAGCGGAGCCTGCGGCGGCCCAGGCCTCCCCGACGCGCTCTCCCGTCGGGGCCGCGCCCACCAGCGCCCGCAGGGCGGGTCCTGGCTCCCCAGGCCCTCGGGCGGTCTGACCTGGCCGCGCTCTGGCCCTTGTCCCGGTGGGGCCAGTCACGGCGACCTGCCCCGCCACGCGCCCGAGCGCCCCGTCCCCGGCTGCTCCTCCGCGGGCTCCTTCCCAGCGAGGGTGCCCGACCCCAGCTCCGAAGCCCGCGCGCGGGAGGAGCGTGTACCCCGCGGACGCGCACCCCGCAGGGCGGCCCCGTCCACCTGGCGGTCACGGCCGCCCCGCCCGGGCAGGTCGAGCCGGTGTGGCTCCTTCCCGGAGCCCCGGCACGCGGGGCCACATAACGCTCCTCGGGCGCTGTTGCTCCCGAGCTTGGGAGCGTCGTCGGAGGAGCCGTGACGCCCCCTCCGAGGGCAGCAGGGGCCGCCAGGGGCGTCTGCGCCCGGCGCGGGGCTGGCACAAAGGCCTCGGGGGCCGCACCTCCCGCGCGGGACGGAAGATGCGCCCCGCGCGACGGCAGGCGGCCAGCACGGGAAGGGGGCGCCCTGGCGGGGACCCTCGACCACGCTCGGGGCGCCGGGGGCGGCGGGCGCGGCCCCGACGGCGCGGGTTAAAGATCACGGCGGCCTTCGGGCTCGCGCGGCGTCTTCGAGGCCGTCAGCCGCGCGGGGAGCAGAGCGGCCGGTCGCCGGGGCCCGCGGGGGTCCGCGGGCGTCGTGGTCACGGCCGCGCCGCCGGAGCGCAGGTGTCCCCCGAGGACGCATAAACGACAACGGGGCGTCCACGAGCAGAAGCGCTGGGAACCCACCCGGGCGGCTCGTTCGCATGAGAGGCCGGGCCGAGACCGCGCTGCAGGCGGGTTCCCAGGTCGGGGCGCGCGGGAGTGGCGGGGGCGGCCGCAGCCACGCTGGGGGGCGCGGGGGTGCAGGGCCGGCGGGGCTGCGCTTCGGGGCCCTGTCCCGCGGAACCAGCGCTCGGCCCCGGAAGGACCCGACTCGGCCTGAAGCGCGTCGGCCGGCAGGGCCGTGGCCCCGAGCCGCGAGCGCGCCCCCCGCGCCCCCGGCCCTTCTCGCGGCCGCACTGGCCCGCGCGCGCCCTCCGCGCCGGGGGTCAGCGCCGCCCGGGTGCACCGCGCTCCTCCGGCCGCCAGGGGCGTGCGAGCGGCGGCAGGGCCGCTCTGGCCCGCGGTTGCCGCTCGACTGCTCTGCGGCGCGGCGCCGCGCGCGTCCGCCGCCACCGCCAGGCCGTTCCCCCGGCAACGCCGCCGGCCGCCACCGCCGCCATGGATGCGCCATCGGACGCCGGGCATCGCCGGGCTCGCGGCGGCCTCGGCGAGCCCCCCTGCGGGGCGCGAGCGCCGACAGCGCCCTGGGCGCGCTTCTCGGCCTGGCTGGAGTGCGTGTGCGTGGTCACCTTCGACCTGGAGCTGGGCCAGGCGCTGGAGGTGCGCGGGCGGGCGGGGCCTGCGGCGGGGCGGAGCCTGCGGCGGGCGGGGCGGGGCCTGCGGGGCGGGGCGGGGCCGGCGGGGCGGGGTGGACCGGCCTCCGCGAGCGTCGGTGCCCGCGGGCAGCACCGGCCCGGGGCGGGGGGGTCCCCCCCCCCCAGCACACCCTGCGCCTGTCCCCGCCCGCAAAGTGCGCACCAGGCATAGGAGCGACAGGCGCGTTGCCGAGACTTCGCACCGGGATGGACCGGAACCAAGTGGTTCCCTTGCCCGTTCCCGACTAGGGTCTGTCTGTCTCCTCTTCCGGCTTCTCCACTCTGGCTTGATCCTTTCTCTCCTCGGGGCTCCCAGGACCCCTGGAGGCCTTGACTCTGCCTCCCCCCGTGCCCCACCCCTGCGGGAGCCGCCTCCGGAGTGCGGGGCTGCGGCTCTCCTCGGAGATCCCTGCACAGCTCTTTGTCCCTGCTCCTGCAGGCCCCGTGGGGGCACGCTCCACCCTGGCCACCCTTCTGCCCCAAGTGCACCCAGCCAGGTGTCCCCACGCTGGGAAGCTGCTCACGCCCAGCCGCGGGCTGCCCAGCCCTCCGAGCGCTCTTGTGCGCCGGGGAGGTCGCCCCTGCAGCCCGCAGCCCCTACGCAGGCAGCTGACCATGCAGAGGCACGTGGGCAGAGGTGTGGGGAGACCCCATCTTCTCAGCAGAGGGCTGACTCGGCAAGGCTCTGGGCCTGGTGCAGTGCCCAGGCTCCTGCAGACCCCTCCCTGCACACCCACTCCGCCGCAGCCCTACGGGGCGGTCCTGAGCACAGGGGATCAGGGATTCCACAAAGTCATAGAGCCCCACCCCGCCGCTGCCCAAATTGCTGCCCATGAAATCACAGGGAGAGTGAAGAGGTGCTGATTTCTTTGGGGACGGATTCCTGGACCTCGGCCACTTACAGCTGGACCCAAGCAAAAAGGGTGAAGCTCAAGGCTGGCTCCTGGGGAGGAGCAGGGCTGCTGGGAGCCCTGACAGAAGCAGCTGCAGGAAGGGGTGCGCTGGCCACATTTTGAAGGAAGAGGAGGAGGAGGCAGTCAAGGGGACCTCTCCCCCAGAAAGCCAGCCAAAGCCTTGACAGGGCTGTCTGCTCGGCTGTCACTCAGTGAGGCAGGCCCAGCGCTTGCCAGCAGGCCCCGCAGGCCCCGCAGGCCCCAGGGAGGTCGCGGGGCCCAGACTGGACGGCCTGGCCCTGGGCCCGGGATTCACACTCCACTGGAGACGTGGGGACGACGTGCGTGGCCCTGTCAGATGCTGCGGGAGCGGGCTGGAGCCCTGTCGCAGCTTGTGGGGCCGCCCTGGGAGCCCCAGCTGACCCAGCCATGGGCCTCGAGGCTAAAGCCTTGGACACTTAGGAGTGCTATATAGTCTGTCATAAAAACAAGCCCCCTCCGTGTCGCCTAGGTGCGTACGGCCAGGGGAGAGCAGCCCTCTGACACATGCCAGCCGGGACGCCTGGCGGGGGCGCAGCTGACTTCCCGTGCCAGCTTCTGCAGCCCGTCCAGCACTGGCTCCTGGGGAGCGAGCCGGGCACCCCACCTCAGGCAGCGCTCTCCGGGAGGCCCTCTGGACAGGAGCTGGCTGCCTCTGACTCGGGGACATGGGGGGGTCATGTGTGCAGGTGGGCTCCGGTGGAAAGGTCCTGCCATGCGGCCGGGGGGGCACAAAGAGCAGGCGGCGTGTTCAGCGTGGGGTGCAGGGCCTGGTTGACTCACCTCCCTGGGTTCAGGGCACACCCAGAAGCAGCTGCGTTTGGGCTGCAACCCTACTCTGGAGGAGCCAGGACGGGGCTCCGGCCTACAGGCCCTGGATCCCTGTCTGAGGCAGGCTCCTGGCCCCATTGCGTCCTGGGGAGCTGTCCGAGTGTGCCCCCCAGCTGGGGCCATAGCGAGGCCCAGACTTCGCCCCCCCTGAGAGACCCCCGCCTGCTGCAGGGAGATCTGGAGCCCCCACGTGACCCCCATGTGGCACCACGTCAGGCTCTGCGTCAGCTGCTGCAGCCTGGCGCCTGGGTCCACAGAGCCTGGGGCTCTCAGCATCGGTGTTCTGCTCACTGCAGGGAGTGGGCCAGGGCTGCTGGTCGCTCCGGCAGGAACTGTCAGGGCCAGGGGTGCGCTCGGGTGGGGCCTCCCACCAGCTGTGCTGTCCAAGTGAAGACAGGGCATGGCCTGGGAGCGTGACACCCTCTATTGTCCGAGGGAGCAGGGCACCTCTGGCGGGGGTGCCGGGAGGTGGAGGCAGCGGGGCCCTGAGGTCAGGCCGGGCTCTGAGCCGACCTCCCTGAAGCTCTGCATCTGGGAGGCCCCGGGCTGTCTGAGCGCAGGCAGAGGCAGTGTAGGGTCAGGCTGGGAGGTGTGGAGTGCAGGGGCACCGCCTGCTCGCACACCCACGGGTGCTGTGTCCCCGCAGCTGGTGTATCCCAGCGACGTCCAGCTCACGGACAAGGAGGTGGGTTCCGGCACCTCGGGAGCAGCCCCCGGCGCGAGCTGGCCCTCACCCGGCTCTCGTGTGTTTCAGAAAAGCAGCATCTGCTACCTGTCCTTCCCCGACTCCCACTCAGGTAGGCAGCCCGGGGACTGCTGGGCCGAGGGGAGGACGAGGCCCTGGGTCTGGCCAGCGAGCACTGCCCGCCGCCTGCTGCTGCGCGAGCCCCGGGCCTGGTGTCGGTGTACAGGCTCGGCCGGCCCCACGCTGGCACCCCGATCGCCCAGCGGTGCTGGGCTGGCCGCCCCCCCAGAGCAGGTGCAGGAGTGAGGACCCCGGGACTCCACTGGGAGAGGCCACCCCTGGGCTGTACAACTGGGCAGAGGCCAGCCCTAAGGCCCCCCAAGCACGAGCAGGGGCTGCGGCGTGACGGGTGTGGGGGCTGCTGCTCTCCCAGGCTGTCTTGGGGACACACAGTTCAGCTTCCGGATCCGGCAGTGTGGAGGGCCGCGGCGCCCCCGGCACGGGGATGACGGGCACTATGACAGCGGGGCCCCTGCTCTGCTGCAGGTGAGCCCCGCTGCCTCTGCCACTCCCCGCCCCTCACCCCTGCACCCTGCCCATCTGGGCGTGTGGCTCCAAGGCTCCTGGGTCCCTGTGCGCCCCCACGGGGGACGGGGGGATGGCGGGGCGAGGGCGACGTCCCCGGGCACGCCCCCACGCGGTGACTGCGCCCCTTGCAGCGGGAGCCGGCCCACTACTTCGGCTACGTGCACTTCAGGCAGGTGAAGGACAGCTCCGTGAAGAGGGGCTACTTCCAGAAGGTGGGCTGGGGCAGGGTCCTGTGCCTCCGGTGGGCCTGCTGCCCCAGCCCCCACCCCAGGCAGCAAGATGGGGGCGGGGGCTCCGCCAGCTCTCCTGGGGTCCCTCGGGACATGGCCGAGAGCCAGCAGGCGCCCCTCCAGGCCCAGGCTGTCAGCCGGCTGCCGTCCGGAGGGCCCTGTGCTGCCTCAGTCGGGGCTTGAACACCGGAAGCAAAGGCCGACCCAGGGATTCTTGCCTCGGGCTTTCCCTCAGGGCCCAGTCCTACCCTGTCAGGGCCCCCTGGGGCTTCCCTCCCTGTAACCATCCTGGGTCAGGGCTGGGCCGTGTGGGAACAGCCGGTAAGTGGCTTTGGTGCCTGGCACGGGGCCCTGGCCGACCGGCCGTGCGGGGCGCGGGGCGTCTGCGGCCTCTGAGGGTGGGGCGGCCCCTCACGGCCTGCGGCCCGCAGTCGCTGGTGCTGGTGTCCCGCCTGCCCTTCGTCCGGCTGTTCCAGGCACTGCTGAGCCTGATGGCCCCCGAGTACTTCAACAAGATGGCGCCCTGCCTGGAGGCGGGTGAGTGCCCCCTGCCCCGTGGCCCCGGCCAGCTACATCCAGGTGTAGCGCCCGGTGGCTTCCGGGCCGCTCCGCACAGGCCGGCCCCTGACCGTGGCCCTCGTCCACAGCATGTAACGAGATCGACCAGTGGCCAGCCCCTGTCCCCGGGCAGACCCTGAACCTGCCTGTCCTGGGCATCGTCCTCCAGGTGAGCGCATGGGGCTGGGTGGGCGGCGCAGGGACCGGGCCTGGCTGACGCCCTTTCCTTTGTCCCCAGGTGCACGTCCCATCCAGGCTGGACCCGCCTGAGCGCAGCCCTCCAAAGCTGTGTGGCCCTGAGGTGGGGCCTGGCTCCTGGGGGCAACCCTGCCTTGCCCTCTGCCGCAGGGGGCCCCAGGGTGGCCAGGCCCCAGTCAAGTCTCCTCTCGGCCCGTGGGTGGGGTGTCCTGGGGGCAGGGCTGTGGCTCATGGGGCTTTCCCGGGGTGACGGGTACGGCTTGGGGTTTTTGGGGTGCCGGGCTTGACCGCGGCCTGACCCCCCCAGAACCTACTGCCGGCCCCCATGGTCCTCAGCAGTGTCCACGAGCTGGATCTGTTCAGGTGAGCCTGGGCTGCTGGCCCCGGGGGTGAGCGGCTCCTCAGGCCGGGCCGCATGGAGCCTGGAGTACCGCCGCTGCCGGCTCTGGGGGGTCCAGGAGACGTGGCTCCGGAGACCGTGGGGGAGCTGGCGGTCCCGGGCACGCCTTGGGGGCCACGGGCGCTGCGCCAGTGTGCCGGGAGGGGACGCTCCCTGAGGCCCCGCCCACCGGCCGCACAGGTGCCTGCAACCGGTGCTGACCCAGGTGCACACACTGTGGGAGCTCATGCTCCTTGGGGAGCCCCTGGTGGTCCTGGCGCCCTCGCCGGCCACGTCCTCGGAGCTGGTGCTGGCCTTGACCAGGTAGGTGGTCCCCGGGCAGGGCACTGGCCCCGGCGCCCTGCCCTCACCTGTGCCCACCTGTGCCCGCACCCCTGCCCTGGCAGCTGCCTGCAGCCCCTCAAGTTCTGCTGTGACTACCGGCCCTACTTCACCATCCACGACAGCGAGTTCAAGGAGTTCACCACCCGCACGCAGGCCCCGTAGGTGCCCGTCCCCCGCCCCCGCCGCCGCGCCCCTCCCCGCCCACCCCCCTTGCCTCTCCCCTGCCCCCTCTCTCTCTCTCTCTCTCTCTCTCTCTAGACCAAACGTGGTCCTGGGAGTCACAAACCCTTTCTTTATCAAAACACTCCAGCACTGGCCCCACTTCCTCCGCATCGGGGAGCACAAGATGGCAGGTGAGGGGGGGCAGGGACCCAGCGGCCCTCAGGGGCCCGCCCACGGCAGAACCTCGTGCTGAGGCCACCGTGGTCCCCAGGGGACCTTCCTAAGCAGGTCAAGCTGAAAAAGCCCTCCAGGCTGAAGACCATGGATCCCAAGCCAGGTGCGCCCCTCACCGCAGCGCCCTCCCTCTGCTGGGGGCGCGGCGGCGGGACGGGACCCAGTTCTCCCTCCACAGGCCTCTACACTGCGTACGCCGCCCACCTGCAGCGCGACCGGGCGCTGCTCCGCCGCCTGCGCAAGGTGAGGGACCCGGGGGCGGCGGGGGGCAGGGTGCCCGTCTGCCAGGGCTCACCGCACTGCCCCTGCAGGGCGTGCAGAAGAAGAGGCCGCCAGATGCGCAGACGGCGCTGTTGCGACGGCACCTGCTGGAGCTCACGCGCAGCTTCCTCGCCCCGCTGGTGAGCCCGGGTGCAGCGGGTGGGCGCAGGGTGCAGGCGTGGGCCGGCTCACACCCCCTGTCCTCCAGGAGCAATACATGGCCAGCCTCATGCCCCTGCAGAGGATCGTCGTGCCCTGGAAGGTGGGCCGGGGGGATGGGGGCCGTCCGCTTCTAGAGGCTGGGGGAGGCGAGGGTGTGCGGGGGCCCGGGGCTCCGGGCCTCCTGCACCTGCCAGGCACCCCTGGGGGGGGACCCCGCTGCTCTGCCCCTGGCGGGGAGCTGGGGCCCTCAGGGGTGGTTTGGAGAAGGGTCCCAAGCCGCACCCTGGACACACCGGTGCTGTCTCAGATGCCCCCCCAGATCCGCCCCTTCAGCCAGGACGACTTCCTGCGGAGCCTGGGACGCACGGGGCCGCAGCTCTCCTGCAGCCGCAAGGGCGACTGGCCAGGCCTGTATAGGTGGGCCGCACCCCGAGGCCCCCAGCCCCAGCCCCGCCGACACCCACCCTCGCCCGCCGACGCCCTCCCGCACCTCTCCACAGGCGGTTCTTCAAGTCCCCGCACTTTGACGGCTGGTACCGACAGCGGCGCAGGGAGATGGGCCGGCAGCTGGAGGCCCTGCACCTCGAGGCCATCTGCGAGGCGGTGAGGGCGGGGCGGGGCAGGGTGGGGTGGGGTGGGGCGGGTGGGGGCCAGGGCAGGGCCGCACGGAGGTGGTGCATGGCCCTCCTGTGCTTGGCAGAACGTGGAGACGTGGATGAAGGACAAGTCTGAGGTGGAGATTGTGGACCTGGTTCTGAAGCTTCGGGAAAAGCTGGTGAGCCGCCGCCTGCTCCGCCTCGCCTGCCCTGCCCGCCCCACCCGCTGCCGACACAGTGTCCCTGCAGGTGCGGGCGCAGGGCCAGCAGCTCCCGGTGAAGGAGTCGACGCTGCGGCAGGCGAGGCTGTCCATGGAGACGGTCATCAGCTCCCTGCCCAGAGACCTGCAGGCTGTCCTGTGCCCTTCCTAGGGAGCCTGGGCTCCTCCTCCTCTACCCAGAGCGCCTGGTCCCAGCAGCGCGCGGGCACCCCCAGCTGCCCCATGCTCCCAGCCTTGGTCCCCTGCTGGCACCGGCCTTGCCCCAGCAGTAAAGATGGCATTTAACTCACAGCTACCCCCTGCATTGGCAGGTTGCGTGCTCACCGCCCCTGGGCCCACCTGCCTTCTCCCGGGCTGCAGGCTGGGGGTGGGTGGCCGGGGTGGGGGCTGATCTGGCACGGCTCAGCTGCCCGCCCCTCTGGTGCCCATCTGTCTACGCATGTGGCCAGGCGTTGCCTGCTGTGCCCTCTGGCCCCCGCCCAGGACAGAAGGGGCAGCTGCCAGGGCTGAGCCTGCTCCACACCACCACCTGCTCTGGCCTCAGGGGCAGAGGCCACCGTGCCTGCTGCTTGGTCGGGAGGCCAGCAGGGGGCAGTGGGGTGGCCTGCAGTCCCCAGGGGGTGTGTCTCTGTGGTGGCTTGGCTGGGCTGGGCTGCTGCCCCTTTGTGCCCATCCCCCACATGCCCTGGGGTTCAGGACTGCGGCCTGACCCTGTGCCCCAGCCAGCCTCTTGGGGGGCAACTGGGCTCCCAGAGCCTCCACTGCTCGATGGCACCTGATGGGCCTGCCCGTCACTGTCCTACCAACTCACGGCAGTGCCCTCCGGGCACATGTCCCAGAGGCGACCCAGTGGGGGGCTGCAGGGGTGGGAGTCATGGGGGGGGCCAGCTGGAGACCCCCACATGAGGATGGCGCCTGCCCCAGGCCTCTTGGCAGCCTGCTCTTGCCCTCCAGCCTGTGGGTGGCCGCCCCACCGAGGGTGTGGGCTGCAAGGCCGCTGAGGACCGCATCTCCTGTGTGACCAGCCAGAAGGCTGACCCCCAGAGAAGTGGCTTGTGGGGCTACCCTCCTGCCGGCTCTCAGGAGCCCGTGCCTCAGCACCCCAGGACCGTTGTGCCAGTCCTGAGCCCTGCATGGCGCCCAGCAGAGTGGGGGTTTGGAGGCCGCCCAGCGCCTGCACCAGACCTGCCCATGACGGGTGCCCCCAGTCCCCCCGTGCCTCCCACACATGGTGCCCCCAGTCCCCCCACAGCTCCCACACATGGCACCCCTAGTCCCCCCAACGCATGGCACTCCTTGTGGCTTCCTGGGCCGCAGGTGGCTGGGGTGGGGCTGAGGTGCCGCTAGGCGCCCCGGGAGCCAGGGGGCACGGAACGCTGTTTCTCCGGGGGCTCCCCGCATCCACGAAGCCACCTGGCAGCTTCGGGCCTCTGGCCAGTGCTGGAGTATGGCGGTGGGGAACCCTCTGCGGGGTGCCCTGAGCCCCACCCAGCCTGGAGCGAGGCGGTGAGGCCGACTCCATCCTTCCCCGAGGCCCCGCTTCCTCCCCTCCCCGTGGATCAGCTCTGGCTTGGCCTCCGAACCCCAACAGACCCGGGCGAGGAAGACGGAAGGGCAGCTGGTGCAGCTGGGCCGCCCTGGGCCATGGGCAGGAGTGGTCTGGGGGTGCCAGGTCCCTGGGCCTCCTGAGGGGCTGTGAGCCCCGCGGGGCGGCGGCCTGCGGAGGGCGAGGAACAGGAAGGACAGTCCCAGCGGCTTCCTGGCTCTATTTAAAGCCTCCCTTCGAGCCGGACCGCCTGCCCGGCTCTGGCATGAAACCTCCCGCTGCGACACTGCGCCTCTCAACTTCCTTTTCTGGAGGTCGCTCCCAGGGGCGCCCCTACTGCCACCCCCGCCACGGGTGCCACCCGGCCGCAGGTGCCGCCCCTCGGCGCTCCTTCACCAGCCGCCCGTGGGGAACGCGGGAAAGTCCCTCCTGGCGATTCCAGCTCCCCGGGGAGGGTGGCCGGTGTGTGCCCCTGTGGGCTGGGGTGAAGGGGGGCTGGGGCGGGCAAGTGGGGGACAGGCCGCCCTAGCTGTGGGGTGCAGGTTAGGGCTTGGGGATGTCCCAGGTCCCGTGGGTGCTCCCGTGGGTGCCCGTGGGTGCTGGGCACGCCGTCCCGGGACTGGCCGCGCCGCTCCCCAAGGCCCCTCGAGGGCCGAGCAGTGACCAGCGGCAGCCGCCGGCCGAGCCAGAGCTGACGCGGGGTCGGGGCCCCGCCCGGGGGCGCGGGTGGCCCCCAGGCCCCGAGGCGGGGGCCGGGACCGGGGAGCCCCGGCAGGCGCCCTTTGCCCTCGGAGCCCGCGCCGCCGCCCGGGAGGGGCCGGCCGGGCCGGGGCGCGGGGCGCGGGGCGCGGGGCGCGGGGCTCCCCTCGGCGCCGCCCGGCGCGACCCAGGGCCCAGCCCGCCGGCGCCGGCCCCGCCCCCGCCCGCCCCCGCCCCCCGCCCCCCGCCCCCCGTCCCCCGGCGGGGGCGGGGCCGGCTGCTCCCGCGCGCTCCGGCCCCTCCTCGGCCACACAAAGGCCCGTCGCCATGGCAGCCGCGCGGGCCGGAGCGCGGCGCCGATCGCGGCCCGGGCGCCATCGAGCCTCGGCGGCGGACGTGCAGGTACCGGGGCGCGGGGCGCGGGGGCCGGGGGCCGCGGGGGCGCCGTCCGGGCCGCTCCGCCGGCTGCGCGCTCGGCGCGGGCCCCGGGCGAGGCGCCCCGCGAGGTCGCCGGCGCCTCCCGGCCGAGCGCGGGCGCCGGGGCCGGGCCGGGCCTCCCCGCCCGGGCTCCGGGGGCGGCGCGGCCTGGGCGCCGGGGCCCTCGCTGCTCGCGCGCGTCGGGGCCGCCGCTCGGACCCCCCGGCCGGGGTCCCCGCCTCCGCGGCCGCCCGCTTCGGGAGCCGCGCAGAGCACCCCTCTGGGCGGGAGCCCGGGGCCCACCCACCACGCAGCCTGTCGGGGTGACCGGGCCCGGGCCCAGCCGGCGCTGGCTCCCGCTTTGCCAGGACTTTCCCCGGGCGGCTGGACCCCCAAACTCCCCGGGCTCCCGGAAGGTGGTGCGCGGGTCCGGGCGGCCGTGATTGGAGCCCCAGGGCCTGCCCCGCCGTGCGGGGGTGGGGCCGGGTGGACCCCCGGGCTCAGGAAGTCTGAGACTGGGGTGCGAGTCTACCCTGGCCTGGCCCTCTCCCTGGGCCCTGCCCCCCTGCATGCCTCCTGCAGGAAGCCCTCCTGGATGGCCCCTCCGGTCACTCTGTGTTCAGGCGACTTGGGAGACTGGGGGTTCAGGAGCGCAGGAGCCCCAAAGCTTCCTGCCACGTCATTGGGCTCCTTCCCAGCAGCTTGGAAAAGGAAGGAGTCCCCCTGCGGCGAGGGTCGGGGCTGGGGCAAAGCTGGACCCCCAAAGTGGGGGACTGTCCCGGGGCTCGGAGGCCTATGGGCCACACCGCCCCTTTGCATCTCACGCCAGCCTCTGCGCCCTCCCCGGGGCGGCCCTGTGGAGAGACCGAGGCGCCCAGAGCCGGCCCCAGCCTGAGCCCGCACGGTCCCCGGCCAGCCTGGCTGCCCAGCGGGCCACAGTGGGGGGCTGCCTTGGCCGGGGGTCCCCAGAGGCCTGGCCGGGCTGACGCAGGCCGTCTTTGGTGGCCTCTTAACTCTGGAGGTGGCTGAGCAGCGCAGGGTGCCACAGCAGCTCCGCTGGCCTGAGACGCCCCCGGCGTGGGGCTGGGGGGAGCCCGAGGTTGGCCTGGGTCCTGCCCCACAAGGGAGGAAGCTGCTGAGAAAAACTAGGGGTTGGAATGTGCCCCCCCAACCCCGCCCGCCGGCCGCCAGCCAGCCAGGGGGGAATTATTTTGGATTATCCAGCCATGTCCAGCCCCGAGGGGAGGCTGCAGCGTGGGACAAGGTCCACTTCCGGCCGCGGCCGGGAGCCCCAGGAGGAGGGACGGGCAAGTCCGGGCAGCCTCGCCACCTCCCTCAGCTGCTCAGACCGGTCGGGGGCGGGGTGGGAGGGGATGCGTCACCCAGGCTCCCTGGCTGGAGAACACCCCGGGGCTGCCCCAGCAGGCCCTGCCCAGCCAGTCAAGAGGGGCCTGCGCCCCTCAGGGGAGGCCTGGGCAGGAGGTGCCCAGCAGGGCAGCCCCCTTCACCCCAAATACGTTGGCACCGAGGCCTCCAGGCCCTGAGTCTGAGCCCCGTAGGCCTGGGGGAAAGGCCTGGTGGGAAGGCCTGGGCCCGTGACTCACGCCGGGGCTTCCCAGCTGGGCAGAACAGGTAGTTGGCTTGGCCGGGGTGGTCAGGGTGGGCTCTGGGATCTCCCTCCTGTCCCCCAATGACCCACTGACCAGCACATTATTGTGTGGCCTCCCTGCCCTCAACCCCATGGCCCCTGGAGGTGGCACTTGTCCCCTGCTCCACAGGTGAAGGGCTTCCCAGGTGGACAGATGGAGGCCAGAGGCCCTCCCTGGCTGCGCCTGCAGCTGCCAGGCCTCCGAGCCCCTGGGGGTAGGTGGGGGCCTGGCCTGGGCCCAGGCCAGTGGAGCAGAAGAGATGGGACTGGACGGCAGGGGTGGGCCTGGCACCTGGGGAGGGAGCCATATGGCAGGCGCCCCTCCCCCAGCCTGGCCCAACCCCAGGACCTAGGCCGGACCTGACCGAGTCCTGTCCCTGTAACTGCCCACTCCGGGGGCCCTGGACGCTGGGTGGGCGCCCGCTGCTTCCCCTCCACTGACATGGGCCGCCGCTGAAGGGCCAGGCCTGCCCACAAGGGCTTCCACCCGTGAGCAGGGAGCCTGGCTCCTGCTGTGTCCCCCGTCTTCCGCCTCAGAGGCCTCCCAGCCGGGGACACAAGGGAGCCCTCCCAGCCGGGGACACAGGGGAGCCTGGGGGCTGCCCGTGGCTGCTGCATCTGCGCCCCGTGGTGCTGGTGGGGTGGGGGCTGGGCAGAGCCCTCCCCAGGGACTCGGCTGGGTGTGCTGGGTGGAGCCCTAACTAATTGTCTGGGCTCAGATTCCAGGCGGGGCCGGGCTGGCTCAGCACCTGGGCTGCCTTGTCTCTCGGCCCTTCCTCCGCAGCCTCATCTCTGCCCCATGCTTCTCTGTGCCTGGGTCTCGGGGCACCCCTGTCCTGGGCCTCCCCGGGCCGGGCCCAGAGTCGGGAGGGCGGCTGGGCCACTGCTGCCCCCCAGGCCCCCGCTTCGTGCCTGCACGTGCCACCACCAGCCTCCCTGCCACCACAGCCGGCCAGAGCCGACAGCAGGGGCCGGGGCTGCCCCTGGGGCACCTGCAGGTCTCACCCGCCCGCGTGTGTTCCCAGCCTTGCTGGCTGCTCAGCCCTGCCTGGGCAGCCTGTGCGCCCCGCCGCTACGCCTTGTGGCTGGCGGGCAGCCACTGGGTGGGGGTGGGGTATCCTGTGCTGCGCCCTTTCAGCCCCCTTTTCCCCACAGCTTCTGAAACCTGCAGTTCCCCCTTCTGGTGCCATGTGAATGCCGGCCTGGGGCCTTGGGGAGGAAATAGCTTCTGCCCTGGATACAGGGTACTTCCGGTGCAGGCTGGACCCTGGGCTGGGCCCTTGGCCCCTGACTGCAGCTCCTGGGTGCCCAGGCCAGGGTGCGGGTGAGCACGGAGGCTGCAGGAGGCCGCGGTCGGCTGTGCCCGGGCAGCTGAGGCCTGGGGCTCCGGGTCAGGGCATCCCTGGGAGGGCACCAGCACAGGCAGGGCCGCACCAAGTCCCAGAGCCGCCTTCCCAGGGCCAGGCCCAGCTGGCCACCGAGGCTGAGGCAACGCAGGGTCCTGGAGTGCTGAGGGGACGGGCCTCCCAACGGGGTGCCAGGGCGGGGGCACCCGGCAGGGTGAGAAGACAGCCCCCATGTCTCAGGGGTGCCGGGTGGGGTCCCTGCTATAGAAAGGCTGCTTTGAGGACAGCAAGAGCAGGGGGCTCTGGGCTGCGTGTGGACCCCAGCTCCTACCCCGGGGTGTCTTCAGAGTGGGGGTGGGGGTGCTGTGGAGGAACTGCAGGGAAGGGTGGTGGTGCCCCAGGGGCAGCCCCGGCCCCTGCTATCTGCGCTAGCTGGCTGTGGTGGCAGGGAGGCGGGTGGTGCCACAGTGCAGGCACGAAGTGGAGGCCTGGGGGCCAGCAGAGGTCCAGCCGCCCTCCCGCCCTCTCCTGCCGGCCCCAGGCTGGCCCCGGGTGCTTTCTGGAGAGGCTCTGCCCAGAAGCTGAAGAGCTGCAGGGGTGAGGGCAGGCGGTGGGAGGGAGGGGCCCCTGCCTGGCTTTGGAGATGCTCTCCCTGACTGGCCAGGAGGCTCCAGGGCTCCCCACCCCCACCTTGCATCAGCTCTGGTTTGGGGGACCGCCCCACGAGACCTCAGGACCCTGGAAAGGACGTCAGGAGGGGCTAGGAGGCAGCATCCAGCACCACCTCCTGGAGGTGGTGCCGCCCCCCAGCCCCACCCCCCAGCAGTTCCTCCCACCCCCCCAGCAGTTCCTCCCTGAACTGGGTGAGCCGCTGAAGAGGGTGGGGGCTGGACCTGCCTCCTAGCAGCTGGGGGCACCTTCCTGGGTGTGTCACTGGGGGGCCGGCCCCACCTGCCCCCGTGGGATCTCTTGCCTGTGGTCTACCCTCCTCGCGTCATACCCCCTCACCACCTGCCCCACCCGGACCTGCACATTCATCCCTGGAGAGCTCCCGGTGCCCCCGGCCTCCTGGGGCGCCCTGTCCACGCCCTGCCCAGCCCAGCACCCCAAGCACCACGCCAGGCCCAGCTGTGCCCTCTGTGTCCTCCAGTGTGCGCCCGGCGTGCGCTCATGCCAGCATCCTGGGCCCACCCGGCCCCTGCCTTTTTGACCTGGGGCCCAGGGGTTGGGGTGCCTACCTGCCGGCCAGGCCTTGGGCTGCTTGTGCCTGCACACGTGTGGCTGAGTGTGTGAGGGGCTGGCACTGCGCCCCGGGCTAATTGTGGGCTCCCCGTGACGGCAGGCGGGCGAGGTGACCGGCGGCGGCACTGACGAGTGACTGCGAGATTACAGCCTTGCCTGCTGCCCCTGCCCACTCGGGCCCGCCTCCCGCAGACCCGGGGTACTGGGCTCCAGGGAGGGGTGGCTGGTGCTGGGCCCGCCGCCCCCACCCGCCTCGGGCGGCCGGGCCAGCCAGCTGCGGAGGCCAGCCTGCCAAGGGGCCGCAGGGGGCAGCTCAGAGGTGGGGTGGGCGGGGAGGGCGACATCTGAGCCGGGGGCTCCTGCCCCTCCCAGCCCCGCAGGCCCACGGGGGCCCCTGCCCAGCCAGCGCGTGGGGGCCCAGCCCGGCCCTCAGCCCTGCTCGCCTGTAGGAGCCTCGCCTGTGCCGTGGACGCCCTGCGCCTGCCCCCAGCCACCCTCCCGCCCTCTCCCGCGGGGCCCAGGCTGGCCCCGGGTGCTCTCCGGAGAGGCCGGCGTCCGTCTGGGCACAGCCCTTTTACCTCCTGGTCGAGGATGGGCAGCGCCAGGACCCCACAGGAGGCTCTGGGGCTTTGGGGCCAGCAGATGGGGCAGGTCCGTTGCCCGCTGGGCGCCCCGGGGTGGGGGGTTGCGTTTCAGTGCGGGGATTCCAGGGACCGCCTGGGCTGAGCATGTGCAGCCGCGCCGGCTCGGCTCGGGGCTGAGGCCGCAGCCTCGTGGCCCAGGCTGGGGCTCGGGGCCTGCGGAGGGGCCTGGGGCCGGCAGGGGGGAGGTGATGCGGGCGCCGCCTGCCCTGGGCCGCACCCGAGGTGCGCGGGAGGAAGGGAGGGGCCGCCGCAGGGGCCCTCGCGAGGCAGCTGAGGCCGGGGCGCGATGCAGGACCCCGACCCCAGCAGGACGCCTCCCCACCTCAGGCCGGCCGGGGCCGGGCCGGGGCGCGGGCGGGACCAGAGCTGGAGGGCGGGGGGCCGTCCCGGCCCTCGGTGGGGCGAGGGTGACGTGTGGGGGGACCCCGCGGGCGGCGGGGGCCCTCGGGGCAGGGGCGCAGGCCCGAGGCCGCCGTCAGCCGGGGCGGGGCGCGCCGGGGAGGGTCGGGGGCGCCGACGCGCTCCGGCTCCGACGTCAGTCAGGTCCCCGGGGCCCCGCCCGCCGCGCCCCTCTCCCAGGTGTGGGTGCGGGGAGAGCGCGGCCTTCGCCCCGGCCCAGCCCGGTCGGGGGTCATTGGGCGGGGGCCGCGGCCGCGGTCCCCGCGACTGGCCGGCGGGGGAGCCCCGGGACGGACCCCGGCCGGGCGGGCGGGGCCGCGGGGCGGGGCGGCGCCGGGCCGGGCCCCAGGTGAGCGCCGGGCGCCAGGTGAGGCCGGGCGGGGCCTTGGCACGTGACCGCCGCCGTCCCGAGGCTGCAGGTGAGGCTCCCGCGCGCGGCGCTCGGGGTCCCCCGGCCTGGGAGGCGCGCCCCGCAGTCCGCGCGCTCCCCTCGGAGCGGGGCTCCCCGCCCGGGCGGCCTGGGGGACGCGGGGCTCGCGGGGGGCCGAGTTCCCGCCGCCCCGCCGGCGCCGGCGCCAGCGCGCCCCGGGGGGCCCGGGCGGCCGCGGGGGCGGGGCGGGGCGCGGGCCGAGCCCTCGGGGTGCGCCCCGCCGGCGGGCGGCCCGGGCTCCCCGCAGACGCCCCCGCCCCCCGCGCTTGTTTTGAAAGCGCCGGGGCTCCCCGCCGCGCCGGCCTGTGCTGCCCCCCCCCCCCCCCCCGCGGGCCCCGCCATCGCCGATTTGCATTTTCGTGGCCGGCCGGGCCGGCTCCGGCGCAGCTGCCCGCGGGGGAGGGGCGCGCCCCGTCTGGGGGCGTCTCCGCGCCCCCTCCCGGCAGGACAGCCGCCGCGGTCGCCCCTCGGCTGAGCTAGGGTGGCCCGCACCCCCCCTCGTCCTCGTCGTGGGGTCCCCTGCGCCCTCCACACTAAGCCGGGGCCTGCCCCCCGCCCCGCCCGGCCTGCACTGTCCCTTTCTCCCCAAGCCCCCTCGGCCTCTACCCTCACCCCAGCCGGCCCTGGCCTGGCCGCGGGCCTCCCGCAGCAGCCCGGCTGACGGCATGGGGTTGGCCTCCGAGCCCTGTGTGCGGAAGGCGCCCCCCACCTCTGGCCGCGGCAGGTGGGGGCTGTCCCCCTAGAGGGCTGCTGGCGGCCCCTTCTGTTCCCCTCCTGCTTTGGGGCGAGGGCCGTGGGCTGGGCCGGCAGCTGCTGTGAGGGCCGCCACCGGGTCCCTGCTCCCCAGGGTCTGCGGCTCGCTCCTTCTGGGGTCCCCACGCAGCTTCCCCTCAGAGTGCTGGCTGGGGGTTCTGCAGGGGACATGGGGCCGGCTCTCGCGAGGCTGCCCCGCGTCTGCCCCGAGTCTGTCCGCGAGGTGATCTTTGCCCCTTTCACAAAGGCTGCCCTGAGTCCCGGGCGCAAGGACACCCCGGCCTCCAGCCCTGCACCCCGTCCCACCTGGCCCTTCCAGCCAGCCTGACTTGGGCCCTCCTGCACCCCGGCTCCCTCGGGCCTGCCTGGACCCCCACCCGGGGGGGCAGCAGGGCTGGGGCTGGAGTTGGCGGGAGGCTGGAGCGCGGGGCGGGGGGGCAAGGATGGCCGCCGGGTGGCCGGGGCACTGAGGAGGGAGGCCCTCCCGTCGCCCTGCTTCCCTCTCTGCGCCGCAGCACGTCCCGCGTGAGAATGTTCTCTCAGAAGGCATGCCGAAATTGGCAAGCGAGCCAACTGTTGCCCAGCCCCAGTGGCGGGGTGGCCGCGTCGAGGGCTTGCTCCAAGCAAGGCTGTGTGTCCAGGCCGGGGTGTCAGGCCACAGGGCTGCGAGCCACAGACCCTGGGGAGCAGGGACCCCGTGGCGGCCCTCACAGCAGCTGCCGGCCCCTGCCCACGGCCCTCGCCCCAAACCAGGAGGGGAACAGAAGGGGCCGCCAGAGTGCGCAGGGCTGCGGGCGTCCAGGAGCGGACATAGCAGCGGCCGGCCGAGGCCCCCGCGGAGCAGGCCGCGTCCTCTCTCACCCAGGCCTGACTGTGGGTGCCTCCATTTCGCAGATGGGGAGATGAGGCTCAGAGAAGTGAGGTGACCAGCTGGTGCGTTGGCGCAGGCCACGGCCACCACGGTCTCCAGAGACTCCTCGCGTGCAGGGTTCAAGGGCAGACCGCGCCGGCTCCCCTGCCTCTCCGGAGCCCCGCGCCTCGGCTGCGGGCGGCACAGGCCAGGTGGGGGCCCGTGGGCTGCTCCCCCTCCAGGGCAGGAAGCCGGGAGGCAGCCGGAGGCGGGCCAGGCCTGTGCTGAGACCATCTCCTGAGACTGCCCCTGTCCTGTCTCCCAGGGACCCTCGATGCCGGCCCTGAGCAGAGACTGAGCTGGACTCGTGCCTGGTGAGTCAGGGCTGGGCCCCGGGAGGGTGTGGGGGCTGCAGCCGCATGGGGTTGGGGGGTGGGCAGCGGTCCCCTCCACAGGCCGAGCTCGTGTCCCCTCCCCAAGGCTGCCCAGCCAGGCCTGGAGTGCGTACGGCTGCCCTCACCCAGCCCCTGCCCACGGGCACGGGCCTCGGCCAGGCCCAGTCTCAGGCCAGGTGTGCCGGGAGTGCTGAGCCCGACGCGGGCCGGGCCAGTGGGGCTGGGCTGCGGTCTGGGGGAGGTGCCCGGCGGCGAGGCCTTCTTGGAAGTGCACCTCCGGACTTGAGCCAGGACTTGAGCCAGGAAAAAGGCGTCTGATGCCCCTGAGGAAATCCCCGCTGGCCCAAGCGCCCAAGCGGGGGTCCTGGGCTGCCTTCAAAACAGGAAGCGCCGTTCCAGGAACACTGGGGGCAGGAAGTGGGGCCGGCTGTGCCTGGCGCCTCCCGCAGGGTGCCTGGGCCCGGCCGGCCGGCAGGTGGGTGACCCTGCTCTGGGGCGGCCACGGAGGCCGCCTGAGGCTGTCTGTTTGGGAGTGTCCCGGTCCCACGGCCCCTAAGAGGGCCTGGGCTTAGCGTGGGGGGCCCTTGGGACACTGGGCATTGGGCCTGTCTCTGCTGACCGCCCAGGAGGACCCTGGGACAGGGAGCCGCCTGGCCATGACCAGCCCCCGACAGTGGGCAGAGCAGCGCTGGGGCGGGGGCTGGGACTGGGGGTGGGGCGGGGGCTGGGGCTCGGAGGTCTGGTGCAAGGCCCAGGGTCAGGGTGGGCTGTTTCTGAAGGGGCACCCAGTGGGTGGGCTCCGGGCAAGGTGGTTTTCAGGGGGAGGCCGCTACCGGGCTTCCTGGCTGCAGCCGCCTCCCCGCCCCCCGCCCCCGCCCCCGCCCCGCCCCCGCCCGCCCCCGCCCTGGGCGCGGGGAACATTCCATTCATTCCCTGCTAGCCGCGGCCTGGCCGAGCCTGAGCTGAGCACAGCCTGGGTCGTGTCCCATGGCCTGGGTCGCGGGGACGGGGACACGGGTGAGCTGCCCGGCGGGTGGCCGGTGGGGAGGGCCGGCCTGGGGGCGGCCCAGGTCTGGGCGCCGGCGACCCCTCCCCAGCCCCCGCCCCGTGGCGCCCAGTGGACTTTGAGCCCCAGCAAGGGCACCGGCCTGGCGGGTGGGGGAGGGTGCGGGCTCGGCCTTCTCTGGGGCGTGACCGCGGTACCAGCACCCGGTGCCAGCACCCCAGGGCCCTTCCTGGTGCGCTGGGTCTGCCTGGAGTCAGGCCCCACATCTGGCACTCACTGCCTCCTCCACCCGACAGGCAGCTGGGCGCCTTCCTGGGGGTTCTGGGTGGTGGGGACCCCCATCTGCCCGTCCTGCCCTTGATTCTGAGGTCTCCTGAGATCGCCCTTCTGTCAAAGCCTCCAGCTCCCCAAGTGGGCCCTGAGGCCTCCTCACAGGCTCTTCCCAGAGCCTCCCGGGGCGCCTCCCCTGGGCAGGGAGCCAGCCACTCCCCCTACCCCGACACCTCCAGCTGGCCTTGGGTGCTGACACGGGCAGAGGCACAGGGTCCCCGGGGGCCCAGCCAGAACGAGCACTCTGGGTGCCGGGGGCGGGGTCTGCAGAGGCCGGAACTGCGTGGGTGGTGGGGGGCTGGCAGAGCCGGAGCCCTCAGAGCCTCCCAAGCGTCTACTTCCTCGGGCGCGAGGAGGTTATGCCGGCAGAATGGAGGATGAGGGGGTGGTGGCACCCCCAGCCTCACCAGGGCTCCCTGGTGGGGGAGGAAGCTGGCCGCGGAGCAGAGCTGGCCCCTGGCGGAGGCGGGCAGCTGGAGGGGCCAGTGGGGAGCCAGAGGGAGGCGAAGCTGGTTCTTTCGGGCGGTGGGCCTGGGGCCGAGGTTGCTTTCCTCCTTGTCTTCTACCTTGCGGTCCAGTCCCCGGAGCCGCCATCAAGGGCCCTATACAGGCCCCCTCGGGGAGACCCAGCGGCTCATGGGGGGGGTCCCCAGGGCGACGGGTGCGGGCCAGCCTCTGGGGAGTGCCCCCAACTTGTACCCTAGGTCCCCAGAAAGGGCCTGGCCTGGGCAGCTTGCCCTTGTGCGTGGACACACAGTGTCCCTGCTGCAGGCTGCCTTCCTCTGAGGCCCGATGGGTTCTGGCCGCACCCTGCCCGCCCCTGCCCACGGGTGCCCGGGGAAGCCCTGCAGGTCCCATGCTGACTCACGGAGGCGGGGGGGCTGCCCTCAGGTAACCTGGGTGGGTGCAAACAGCTCCTGCGATTGCTGCCCCTACGCTGGCTGTGCGGGGCCTGGGCCCAGCCTGTGGCCGGGGATGGTCAGCTGGACCTTGGGCTCTGGGTCTGGAGGGGGCGGGCAGGTGTGTGAGACTCCCAAGCAGGTGCCCTGAAAACCTGGGGGCCAGGTCAGTCCTGGCAAGCTGTGGCTCCGCTGGTGACCTTGAGGTGGGGCCGGGCACCGAAGGTGGGCGCGGGGCGTCGGGCCAGGGCCTTCCTGGGGGCCGGGTCCGTCCTGGCGAGCTGGGGCGGCCCCTGACTCCTCCCTCCCCACAGGGTGCCGGGGCCATGGCGCTGCGGCTCTGGGCCCTGGCCCTCCTGGGCTTGGTGGGCGCCAGGGCGGGCCTGCAGCCCGGAAAGCCGAGCAAGTTCTTCTCTGCCGAGACGGAGCTGAACCACCTGGTGGTGGACCCCGCGTCAGGCGAGGTGTACCTGGGGGCGGTGAACGCGCTGTACCAGCTGACCGCCGAGCTGCAGCTGCGGCAGCGGGCCGCCACCGGCCCCTCCCTGGACAACAAGAAGTGCACGCCGCCCATCGAGGCCAGCCAGTGCCACGAGGCCGTGCTGACCGACAACGTGAACCAGCTGCTGCTGCTGGACCCGCCGGGGCAGCGCCTGGTGGAGTGCGGCAGCCTCTTCAAGGGCATCTGTGCGCTGCGCGCCCTTAGCAACGTGTCCCTGCGGCTGTTCTACGAGGACGGCGGCGGCGAGAAGTCCTTCGTGGCCAGCAACGACGAGGGCGTGGCCACGGTGGGGCTGGTCAGCGACGCGGCCCCGGGCGAGCGCGTGCTCTTCGTGGGCAAGGGCAACGGCCCCCACGACAACGGCATCATCGTCAGCACCCGCCTGCTGGACCGCGCCGAGGGCCGGGAGGCCTTCGAGGCCTACACGGACCACGCCACCTACAAGGCCGGCTACCTGTCCACCAGCACGCAGCAGTTCGTGGCCGCTTTCGAGGACGGCGAGTACGTCTTCTTCGTCTTCAACCAGCAGGACAAGCACCCGCCCCGCAACCGCACGCTGCTGGCCCGCATGTGCCGGCACGACCCCTTCTACTACTCCTACCTGGAGATGGACCTGCGCTGCCTGGACGCCGGCCCCGCGCCCGCCTCTGCCTTCGGCAGCTGCCTGGCGGCCTCCGTGGCCCTGCCAGGTGCCAGCCGCGTGCTCTACGCCGTCTTCAGCCGCGACGGCCAGGGCCGGGGGGGCCCCCAGGCCGGCCTCTGTCTCTTCCCGCTGGACGAGGTCCACGCCAAGATGGAGGCCAACCGTGAAGCCTGCTACCGGGGCCCCAAGGAGGCCGGCCGCGACTCCTTCTACAAGCCCTTCCACGGCGACATCCAGTGCGGCAGCCACAGCTCGGTACGTGCAGCCCCAGCCCTGCGTCCGCGGGCCAGCCCTGCGCTCACTGGGGTACCGCGCCTGCCCTGAGGGCAAGGTGGGGGCCGGGGCTCCCGGGGTGACATCACTGGGGCCCTGCGGGGGGGCGTCCGGCGGGAGCTGAGGGGTCCTGCCCACGGTCCACAGGGCACCAGCGAGAACTTCCCGTGCGGCTCGGAGCACCTGCCCTACCCGCTGGGCAGCCGGGACGGGCTCACGGCCACGGCCGTGCTGCAGCGGGGGGGCCTGAACCTGACTGCCGTGACGGTCACTGCCGAGAACGGCCACACCGTCGCCTTCCTGGGCACCTCGGACGGCCGGGTCCTGAAGGTGAGGCCGGGGCTTGGGGGGCAGCCCCGGGAGGCCCGTCCGCGTGAGCCACCCTCACCCGCTGCCACGCCCGCAGGTGTACCTGGCCCCCAACGGCACCTCCGTGGAGTACGGGGCCATCCCTGTGGAGATCAACAGGAAGATCAAGCAGGACCTGGTGCTGTCTGCGGACGGGGCCAGCCTGTACGCCATGACCCAGGACAAGGTGGGTGTGCCCCCGCCTCGGGTCGGAGCGGCCTCTGGCAAGGTGGCCAGGGGCCTGGGCAGCCTGTGAGCTCGTCGGGGCACAGACTGGGCTCCCCAGTGCAGGGCCTGGCGCCACAGCTGCCTCAGGACCCCAGCAGGGCAGTGCCTGGGGCAAGGGAGGGCCAGGCCTGCCCACATGAGGGGCGGCCCCCACTCCTGGGGCCCAGTGGCCCCTCCTTCCAGCTCTGGGCGCTCACAGCACTGTCTGGGGCCCCCCGGGGACCCTCAAGTGGCGTCTACTTCTCCGTGGGGAGGAGGGGGGCAGGCCGGGAAATCTGGGCCGAGGGGGAGGCTGTGGCCGCCCGTCCAGGGCCCGCTGCCTGCCCGTAGGTCTTCCTGCTGCCAGTGCAGGAGTGCGCCAACTACAACAGCTGCGCGCAGTGCCGCGGCTCCCAGGACCCCTACTGCGGCTGGTGCGTCCTGCAGGGACGGTGAGCGCAGGGCCCCTGGGCCGGGCGAGGGGCGGCCTGCCCTGCTTAGGGTGCTGGGGCTGAGGCCGCCCCCTGTCCCGCAGATGCACCAGGATGGCCGACTGCCTGCGGGCTAAGGAGACTGGGCACTGGTTGTGGAGCCGCGAGGAGTCCTGCGTGGCAGTCACAGGGGCCCAGCCCCAGAACATGAGCCGGCGGGCCCAGGGGGAGGTGCGCGGGCCATCCCCGGGGGGCTGGATGGCCAGGGGCCCATCCCAGGGCGGGGGCTGGATGGCCGGGCCTGCTTGAGGTGAGATGGCACGATATTCTGAAAGTATCGGGCCTGGGCAGGTGCAGCTGACCATCAGCCCCCTCCCGGCCCTGGGTGAGGACGACGAGCTGCTGTGCCTCTTCGGGAACTCGGCCCCGCACTCCGCCCGCGTGGAGGGCGACACTGTCGTCTGCAACTCCCCAAGCGAAATTCCCGCCACACCCCCGGGCCAAGGTGAGCTACCCTGTGTGCTGCCCCCGCAGGAGTGAGGCGGGTGGCAACTGCCCAGTGCCTGTGCTGTGCAGGAGCCGTGCTGCCTGAGCCCTCTTGTCTCTGCTCTGCACCCCTGGGTGCCAGGCCCTGGGCTCAGGTCTGCCAGGAAGTCCACCCCACTGTCCAGCTTGAGGCAGATGGAGCCCAGAAGCCAGGCCTGAGGGCCAGGGCTGACACCAAACCTGGCTCCTGGGTGTTGAGGCCAGCAGAGGGCGGCTCTGGGTGAGTGGGGTGGTGGGCAGGCCGTGTAGGGCCTGGCTAGCGCTCTGCCTGGCTCCAAGGGACCCGGCCCCAGACTGCAGGGAAAGGAGTGAGCTGGTGTCTCAGACCCCGGGGAGCCGGCAGACACCCCCGGAGCAGGCGCCTGAGCGCGAGCTCACAGGTGCGGCACTGACCGCCAAGAGGCCGCGTCTCGTGTCTCCTCTGGTGGGTTCTGTGCTGCGGGGGCTGTGCTGGGCAGGGCTGGGCCTGGCCCCCTGGCCTTCCTGACACTGTCCCCACTTGCAGACCACGTGGCCGTGAACATCTCTCTCCACTTCAAGAAGGAGAACGTCTTCCTCACCTCCCACCTGTACCCCTTCTATGACTGCAAAGAGGCCATGAGCCTGGAGAAACACCTGCCGTGAGTGCCAGTCGCGGGGGCCGGGGGCGGGGAGCTGCCCCCTACCGCCCCAGGTCACCACCACCCTCCCCAGGTGCATCTCCTGCGCCAGCAACCGGTGGACCTGCCAGTGGGACCTGCGCTATCACGAGTGTCGGGAGGCCTCGCTCAACCCCGAGGAGGGCATCGTGCCTGCGCACGCGGTGAGGCCCGGGATGGGGGGCAGCCGCCCAGGCAGCCCACAGCTGCTGACTAGCCTGCTCCCCTCAGGAGGAGAACTGCCCCCAGTTCCTGAACCCCAGCCCGCTGGTCATCCCCATGAACCACGAGACCAAAGTGACCTTCCAGGGCAAGAACCTGGACACAGTGAAGGTAGGGGTGCAGATGGGGCCGTGGTGGGGGGCTGAAATTGGGGTGCTGGGGCCCCTCCCAGGACCAGCACAGGGGGAGGCACCCCCTGGCGCCTGGGGCAGAAGGCAGAGCGCTCCCTGGGACGTGGATGCGTCCAGGTGCCAGGGCTGGCATCCAGCGAGGAGGGGCAGCGCGGTGCCGGGTGTGGACTGGGGCTGCTGGGGCACCTGACGGCAGTGCCTGAGCTGGCCCGGGGGCGGCGGGCGTGGGCTGACTGGCTGTCTGCAGGTCTCCTCCCTGCACGTGGGCAGCAGTCTGCTCGAGTTCGAGGCGGCAGTGAGCATGCAGGAGCCAGGCGTTTTCTCCTTCCGCACCCCAAAGGTAGGGCTTGCAGGGGGGCACACCAGGCTTCTGGGCCCCGGGGGATCCAGGGGAGTGCAGGGCCTCTGGGGCCTGAGCCTCTCCCTCCCCACCACTGCTGGGGTGCAGGGACACTGGCCAGCGTGGGGCTCCGGGTGTGCCCCCAGCCAAAGGGCCATAATGGGTGGTGTATCCGGGGCCCCGGCTTTGCCACCTGGAGGCCTGCACTGCGCCCGGGGCTGGGAGGGGTTCGGGGCAGGGTGGTCACCCCACCCCGGGCTTGGGTGGGAGCAGGGGTGCAGCCTGCCTCTGTGCCCCCAGCTGTCCTACGACGGCAACGAGACCCTGCCCCTGCACCTGTACGTCACGTCCTATTATCCCAACAGCATCGACAGCAAGCTCCAAGGTGGGGCCGGGGCGGGGCCGGCGGGGGCGGGGCCGGCGGGGGCGGGGCCGGCGGGGGCGGGGCCGGCGGGGCCGGCGGGGGCGGGGCCTGGGCGGGGGCGGGGCGGGCGGGCCGGGCGGGCGGGGCCGGGCGGGGCGGGGCCGGGCGGGGCGGCGGCGCGCGCGCTCACAGCGCCCCCTGTCTGCAGTCACGCTGTACAACTGCTCCTTCGGCCGCAGCGACTGCAGCCTGTGCCTGGCGGCCGCACCCGCCTACCGCTGCGTGTGGTGCGGGGGGCAGGCGGGCTGCGTGTACCAGGCCCTGTGCGCCAACGCCACCACCGAGTGCCCGCCGCCCGTCATCACCAGGGTGAGTGCGGGCCTCCGGGCGGGGTGCCCGCGCCCCCCCGCCGGCCCTGGCCCGAGCGCCGTCTGGCCTCCCCCTGCAGATCCAGCCGGAGACGGGCCCGCTGGGCGGGGGCATTCGCGTCACGATCCTCGGGTCGGATTTGGGGGTCAAGGCGGACGACGTCCAGAGGGTCACGGTGGCGGGCCGCAGCTGCGTCTTCCAGCCAGAACTGTACTCCGTGTCCACCAGGTCAGGGGGCAGCCGCCCGGCGCTGGGCGGGACGGCGCCCACGGGGCGGCGGGGCGGGCGCCGGGCCGGTGTGAGGGGCCAGGGCCTGGAGGGGGCCCCATCCGCCTGTCCTCCCCAGGATCGTGTGTGTCGTGGAGGCCGCGGACACGCCCTTCACTGGGGGTGTCGAGGTGGACATCAACGGCAAACTCGGCCACTCGCCACCTCACGTCCAGTTCACATACCAAGTAAGCCCCTGGGCCAGGTGGACCTTGGAGGCTGGGACAGCTGTGCTGCTCCCCTGGACTGCTGGGGGGCTGCATGTTGACTTGGGGTCATGTGGGGCTGTGCCCCTGCCACCTTCTGGCAATAAGGTATGGGGGTGCTGAGCCCCCCACGCCCCAGACCTGACCCGAATGCCCCTGCCCCCCCTCCTTTAGCAGCCCCAGCCCCTCAGCGTGGAGCCGAAGCAGGGGCCACAGGCGGGCGGCACCACGCTGACCATAAGTGGCACCCACCTGGACACGGGCTCTGAGGAAGACGTGCGGGTGACCCTCAATGATGTCCCTTGTAATGTGTGGGTGTCGCCTGCGGGTTCATCTCTGGTCTGCCCTGGCCTGGGGATGCGGTGACCCTGAGTCTGTCCTGGAGGGGGGTCAGCCTGACCCGCTGGCCCCGGGCTGATGTAGGCCCAGGGCGGGGCTGGCACTGACCACAGCCCCCTCCCCCAGGACGCAGTTTGGAGCCCAGCTCCAGTGTGTCACCGGGCCCCAGCCGACCGTGGGAGAGCTGCCGCTGGAGATCTCCTACGGGGGCTCCCGGGTCCCCAGCCCCGACGTCACCTTCCACTACCGCGAGAACCCGGTGCTGCGGGCCTTCGAGCCCCTGAGGAGCTTCGTCAGGTACGCCTGCCGCCGGGGCTGCCCACCCAGCAGTGGGCTGCTGTGGCTGGGGGTGGTCAGGTGGCAGGAGGAGCCCTCGCGAGCCCCACTGAGCACCCCCAGGTCTGCTCCCGACTGTGCCCAGGCGCAGTGCCCACCGGCAGGGTTGACTCAGAGGCCATGCCCCTCTCGTGCCAGTGCTGGGCGGGACCGGTGGGGGCACCTGGCTGGGTGCTGCCCCTGCCCAGTCGCTCCTACTCAGGCAATGTCTACCCGCAGTGGTGGCCGGAGCATCAACGTCACCGGGCAGGGCTTCAGCCTGATTCAGAGGTTCGCCATGGTGGTCATAGCCGAGCCCTGGCAGCAGCAACAGACGGCCGGACCCCCGCAGCCCACGGTGGTCAGTCCTGGGCCCTCGGCTGGGGAGGGGTGGCCCGGCCCAGTGGCCTGACCGTCCAGCCTTCGCCCACAGATCACCGGCACGGAGTACACCTTCCACAACGACTCCAAGGTCGTGTTCCGGTCCCCGGCGGTCCCCGAGGAGCCCGAGGCCTACAACCTCACAGTGCTCATCCAGATGGATGGGCACCGGGCCCTGCTCAGGAGCGAGGCCGGCGCCTTCGAGTACGTGGCCGACCCGACCTTCGAGAACTTCACTGGGGGTGTCAAGAAGCAGGTCAACAATCTCATCCACGCCCAGGTGAGCAGCCCTGGGCGCCGGGCTGATGGAGCTGGGGGAGGTGGCCACTGCGCTCCTGCCGCCCTGACCCTCCCGCCCGACACCACTCTCAGGGCACCAACCTGAACAAGGCCATGACGCTGCACGAGGCAGAGGCCTTTGTGGGGGCTGAGCGCTGCATCATGAAGACGCTGACCGAGACCGACCTGTACTGTGAGCCCCCGGAGGTGCAGCCACCCCCCAAGCGCAGGCAGAAGCGGGACACGGCGCACAACCTGCCTGAGTTCATCGTGCGTGGCCCCGGCCAGTGGGGAAGGGTGGGGGCGGGCGGGGACGGGGGCGGGCTGGGGCCGGCCCAAGCAGCCAGTCCTGTCGGCCCCCCGCAGGTCAAGTTTGGATCTCGCGAGTGGGTGCTGGGCCGTGTGGAATATGACACGCGGGTGAGCGACGTGCCGCTCAGTCTCATCCTGCCGCTGGTCATCGTGCCCATGGTGCTGGTCATTGCCGTGTCCGTCTACTGCTACTGGTGAGCTGGGTCCCCCACGCCGCCCCCAACGCCCGGCCCCCCGCTCGCAGCCCTGTCCGTCCCCACCGCCCCTGCTCGCGCCTCCAGGCCGGGTCCCGGGTCCCAGAACGCTGTGCCCGCAGGAGGAAGAGCCAGCAGGCCGAGCGGGAGTACGAGAAGATCAAGTCCCAGCTGGAGGGCCTGGAGGAGAGCGTGCGGGACCGCTGCAAGAAGGAGTTCACAGGTGGGCGCCACCCCTCGCCCCCGGGCGGGCGGGCACGCGGGGGTCCGGGCAGCGCGAAGAGGACCCCTCACCCCGCCTCCCTGCAGACCTGATGATCGAGATGGAGGACCAGACCAACGACGTGCACGAGGCGGGCATACCCGTGCTGGACTACAAGACCTACACCGACCGTGTCTTCTTCCTGCCGTCGAAGGACGGGGACAAGGACGTGATGATCACGGGCCGGCTGGACATCCCGGAGTCGCGGCGGCCCACGGTGGAGCAGGCCCTCTACCAGTTCTCCAACCTGCTCAACAGCAAGTCCTTCCTCATCAATGTGAGTGGAGGGGAGCTGGAGGCACGCGGGCGGGGGCGGCGGCTGTGGGGCTGGGCCTGACCGCTGCCCCCGCAGTTCATCCACACGCTGGAGAACCAGCGCGAGTTCTCGGCGCGCGCCAAGGTGTACTTTGCGTCGCTGCTGACCGTGGCGCTGCACGGCAAGCTGGAGTACTACACGGACATCATGCGCACGCTCTTTCTGGAGCTCATGGAGCAATACGTGGTGGCCAAGAACCCCAAGCTCATGCTGCGCAGGTGTGTGGGGGTGTGCGGGTCGGGGCTGTGTGAGCAGATGAGGGCCAGGGTGCCGCCTGTCAGGCCCCTGCTTTGACGGCAGGCACAGGTGCGTGGGCGGGATGGCCACCCTGCTCCTGGCTGCCAGTCTGCACTGGTCACTTAGCAACTGCCCTTGGCATGGGCCTCGGGTGGGCTGGGGCCTTCTGACGGAGCGCCAGGGCCGGGTAGGAAGGCTGGGCTGGGGAGGGGTGGTCTGGGGCAGCGCCGGCCGGCTTCAAGGCTCCCTGCCCCCAGGTCCGAGACTGTGGTGGAGAGGATGCTGTCCAACTGGATGTCCATCTGCCTGTACCAGTACCTCAAGGTGCTTGTGGCACCGCCCCACCAGGGCCGGGGAGGAGCGGGCTCACCCCACTGACCACCTGGGGGTGCGTCCCCCCGTGGGCCCAGTCTCTCCCCCACTCCTCATGGCCTGAGGCTGCGCCTGCCCTCCCCAGGACAGCGCCGGTGAGCCGCTGTACAAGCTCTTCAAGGCCATCAAGCACCAGGTGGAGAAGGGGCCGGTGGACGCTGTGCAGAAGAAGGCCAAGTACACCCTCAATGACACGGGGCTGCTGGGCGACGATGTGGAGTATGCCACCCTGGTGAGCGGGCGGGCATGACCAGAGCTGCCCACGCGGCCGGCCGCAGCACCAGCGTAGAGTCCCTTGCCCACAGGACCACCGCTGGGTGGTCCCCGGGCACGGGTCCTGGTCTGCTGCTGTGGACGTGTGGGGCCAGGACAGTCGCTGGGCGTTGATTTGGGGGCGGAGGGGCCCGGGCCCCACAGCAGAGGCCGCTCGGGGTGTGGGCCTGGGAGGTCTCTCCCTGACCCCTTGGCCTTCCCGGCAGACGGTGAACGTGATCGTCCAGGACGAAGGGGTTGACGCCATCCCTGTCAAGGTCCTCAACTGCGACACCATCTCCCAGGTCAAGGAGAAGATCATCGACCAGGTGTACCGCACGCAGCCATGCTCCCGCTGGCCCAAGGTGGACAGCGTGGTGCTGGGTGAGCGGGGCGGCCAGGGGCGGCCAGGGGCGGGGTGGCTGGCCGGGGCACTGGCCCCCATCGGGAGCTGGGCTGTGTCCCCCCCGCAGAGTGGCGTCCAGGCTCCACAGCCCAGATCCTGTCGGACCTGGACCTGACGTCTCAGCGGGACGGCCGCTGGAAGCGCATCAACACGCTGATGCACTACAACGTGAGTGCGGGGGGCGGGGCGACAACGTGGCGGGGGTGACAAGGTGCGGGGGGGGTGGTCCTCCCCTCACCGCTCTCCTCCCCAGGTCCGGGACGGAGCCACCCTCATCCTGTCCAAGGTGGGGGTCTCGCAGCAGCAGGAGGACAGCCAGCAGGACCTGCCCGGGGAGCGTGAGTCGCTGCCTCTGACGGCGTGAATCAGTGTCCGCCGGGCTGCCCAGGGGGGACCGGCTCCCGCCCGGGGTCCTCAGCGTCCTCTCCGCGCAGGCCACGCCCTCCTGGAGGAGGAGAACCGCGTGTGGCACCTGGTGCGGCCCACGGAGGAGGTGGACGAGGGCAAGTCCAAGCGCGGGAGCGTGAAGGAGAAGGAGCGCACCAAGGCCATCACGGAGCTCTACCTGACCCGCCTGCTGTCCGTCAAGGTGGGGGCCCCGCCCCGCCCCTCGCTGCCCCCGCTGCCCCCGCTGCCCTCGCGGGCGCTGACCCGCCCTTGCCGCTCCCAGGGCACGCTGCAGCAGTTTGTGGACAACTTCTTCCAGAGCGTGCTGGGGCCCGGGCTGGCCGTGCCGCCCGCGGTCAAGTACTTCTTCGACTTCCTGGACGAGCAGGCGGACAAGCACGACATCAAGGACGAGGACACCATCCACATCTGGAAGACCAACAGGTGGGGCCCGCGCGGCGCCCCCGCCCCCGTGCGTGCCCCCTTGGCCCCCACTCACTCGCTGCTGCTCTGCCTCAGTTTACCGCTGCGGTTCTGGGTGAACATCCTCAAGAACCCCCACTTCATCTTCGACGTGCACGTGCCCGAGGTGGTGGACGCCTCGCTGTCGGTCATCGCACAGACCTTCATGGACGCCTGCACGCGCACCGAGCACAAGCTGAGCCGGGTGGGTGGCCCCGCGCCGCCGCTGTGCAGGGCGAGCAGCTGGGCCTGCACCTTGCGGCTGTGCTGCCCCACCCTGCTCCCCCACCCCAGGCTGCGATCCACTGCAGCGCAGTGCCCCTGAGGCCTGGGTGGACGGGCGAGGTGTCACGGCCAAGCCCCTCCCCTGCCCCCCACCCCCGTCTCCTCCCGGGGCTCACTGGCCTTCCCGCCCCGCAGGATTCTCCTAGCAACAAGCTGCTTTATGCCAAGGAGATCTCTACCTACAAGAAGATGGTGGAGGAGTGAGTGCGCCCCTGTAGCCCGGGTGCCCCCTCCACCTCCCACCCAGGGGGTCCAGGGGGTGGGAGGTCTCACTGCCCCACCCCTTCCCACGCCCCCACACTCTGGGTGACTCGTATCCCCGACCCTACCCTGCAGTTACTACAAGGGGATCCGCCAGATGGTGCAAGTCAGCGACCAGGACATGAACACACACCTGGCCGAGATTTCCCGGGTAAGGGGGGGATGCTCCAGGTAGCCTCTGTGGAGCCCCACCCGAGCCCCATAGTGCTGGGGTCCCCACTGCTCTATAGGACCGGTGGGCAGGGGATGGGGGGGCAGATGAGCTGGCACCTGCAGCCGGTGTGTGCTGGGGGAGGCCATGAGGGCCCTGGGTTACCCCGGTGGGTGTCCACCTGCCCCCTGGGGGCCGCCTCCCTGTACAGGGCCCTCCAGAGCTCCCCTGCCCTGAGTGCACTGTCCCCCCAGGCGCATACGGACTCCCTGAACACCCTGGTGGCCCTGCACCAACTGTACCAGTACACGCAGAAGTACTACGACGAGGTAGGTGTCCCGGGGTGGCCACCCCACAGCCCCGCCCCCGCCCGGCCTCCGCCTGACCCGGCCTCTCCGCAGATCATCAACGCCCTGGAGGCCGACTCTGCAGCCCAGAAGATGCAGCTGGCCTTCCGCCTGCAGCAGATCGCGGCCGCGCTGGAGAACAAGGTCACAGACCTCTGACGCTCCCGGTGCAGGTGCCTGCTGTGCGGCGCCCCGGTGGGGGATGGGCACCGGTGGGGGTGACGCCGGCGTCTCAGCCCCTGCTCTTCCCACAGAGGACGAGCCGGCACGCGAACGTGGGCCCAGCGGGAGCCCCGCTCCGTGTCTGTAGCCGGTAGCCCCCCTCCTGAGCAATACCGCCAGGCCACCAGCACCAGCCCCCGCAGACCAGCATCGGATGCCCCTCCACGCAGAGCCTCCCAGGACTGAATTCGCAAACGTGCCTTAGGCTCCGGCGCCACGCTGGGCCCTGGGGGCAGCAGGCGCCTCCCCAGCACCAGCAGCTGACTCACAGCCTGGGTTTCTCCCCCGGGTGGTCAGTGTGCCTGGACCCCAGGGCCTAGTGTCCGGACGGTCCTGCGGGCCGAGAGGAGAAAAGCGGTACAATGCCTTCCTGACCTCACCGCCCTCCCTGCGGGGTGCAGCGCTGCGGGGGCTCCGGGCAAGGGCCCCACCTTAAAGGTCAAGGTGGACGTCAGACGTCGGGGCCCCGGCAGCCAGGGGACCCAGCAGATGGGGTCCTGGCCTTGGCCTGTCAGACAGGCGATCCTAGGGGCCCTCACGGGCCTTGGGGCCAGTATCATCCCCCAGGACTCCCACCCCCTTTTGTAAATCTTTGTAAATCAAATAGAAGAGTCTTTTTCACGCTGCTGGTTGGCTGGGTTCCTGGGGCCTCACGGCCCTCCTTCCGAGAACAGTGGTCCTGCCACCGGTGTGTCCTCGCACCCCAGCCACACCGTCTGCACCATGCTTGCTGGGGTTCCAGCCCCCGGCTCCCCTGGGAGCCCCCAGGTCCCAGGCATGAGCTGTGGACTAGGGCGCGGCTGCTGCAGACAGTGGCCTCAGAACAGCCCCATGCCTTGGCGCAGGCTGGCCGGGGCACCCTCTGCTGGCTGCCTCGGCCGGCCTCTGGGGCTGGGTGTGGTGTCCACCTGGACCTGGAGCTCCTGGACCTGGCCCGGCCGCTCCCACACTCCTCAGGGCGGGCACTTTGCCAGCATGCTCTGCAAAGCCTGTGTCTAGTCAGCCCTACTGCGCGCAGAACCCCCTGGGCACGGGTGGCCCAGGGAGAACCAGCACCCCCCAGGCACATGCGTTGGCTCAGGTGAGCGCGCGTCGGCCAGTCCACACTGAGCGGTGGCCGAGGAAGGACGAGCCTGCCCGGGGCCTCCTGCTCCCCACACGCCCAGATACCAGGGCGCTCGGTGGGCCAGAGCGGAGGGTCAGCCTGGAAGAGGCTGCGCCAGGCATCGTGTCCTCTGTTGGATTCAGGCACCCCGCTGGACTGGTCAGCCTGGATGACTGGACCCGCGGCGAGAGTGGTGCCCCCCGTGGGGTGGGGTGCTGCCCAGATACCCCCAGGGCTCCAGAGCAACCCCGCTGTGCCCCCTGGTCCCATCTCCCAGAGCCCGGTGGAAGTGCAACTCCAGCAGAGCTCAGCAGGGGTTCAGTCGCTGTGGAGCTGGGGGGGGGGGGCCTGGAGCCCTGACCACTGCCCCTCCCCACTGGGCAGCCAGGCCAGAGGGATATAGGGTCACTGCTGCAGCTTGGAGAAGAGGGGCTGGGGCAGGAATTGGGCCTGGATGTTGGGGTGCACGGGGTGGGTGAGGTACTGAGAGATGAAGGGCTGACCAGCTGTTCCTGTTGCTCTCTCCACTTTCCATTTCCCCTCCCGAGGCGGGGGCGGGACGGTCATCGGGCTGACCTTCCTTTCCTAGTCCAGAGGACAGCCAGGGCCACATCCTGCTCACTGGCCAGGGGCCAGCCCTCCCCTGTCACCAGGCCCACACCGTGGTGGTCAGCGTTGCTTGACATTTGTGACCTCGGGACAAGTGCTGTCCAGCCTGGAGCTGGAAAGGGGGGGGCCTGGCGCCCGTGGGCAGCGGTCACCCCAAGCACCAAGAAGGTGAAGGGAGGTTTAAGTGGGGCCCCGGTGGCCGACCTCCCACCTGCGGACCTGCCATCGGGCTGCACCCCCACTCCTGGCCTCTACCGGCCTCTGGGTCTGCTGGCCGGACTCCATGACACCCCGGCGGGACGGCCCCGGGTCCAGCCGGCCCTGACCCTCGGGGCTTGGTGACCGCCAGGCCCTGACTGCGCTGCCCCCACCTTCCCCGGCACTCGGCGGTGGGGCGGACAAGCTGGGGGTGCCCCGACCCGGGGCAGGACGCCCACTGAGCACCCCACTGGGACTGCGGGGTGGGGGGGGGCGCCGAACCTCCGGGCCGGGGGACCTGCTGGAGCCGCCCCCGGAAAGGCGCGGCCGGTCGCCATGGGAACGCGCTGCGCCCCGCCCCGCGGCAGACAAAGGCCGCGCCCCGCCGGCGGCCCCCGCCCCGCGGCGCCCCCACAGCACGCCGCCGGGGGTCGAGGCAGCGCGCGGGCCCGCCCGCCCCGCCCGCCCCGTCCCGGGCCGCGCCTCGCCGCGCGCAGCGTCCCCCGGCGCCGCCCGAGCCCGCGGGGGGTCGCGGAACCCGGTTCCTGCGCGTCGGGAGCCGCCGGGAGGGGGGGGGGGCCGCCCGGGCCCGGGACACGCGCCCCCCGCGGGCCGGGCGCGGGGCGGGGCCGCTGCGGGGGGGGCGGGCGGGGCGGGCCCCGGGGAGGCGCCGCTGCGGGGGGGGCGCGGCCCTGGCGCGCGGGGCCCTCGGGACCCCGCGCACCCCCGGGCGCCCCGGGGCCGCCGCTGTCCCTGGTGCTGACGGCGCCCGCTCCCCGCAGGCCGGGGTGGGGGGCGGGAGGGACCCCGCGCCCGCGCCGCGTCCTGCCCGGCCCGGGGGCGCCGCACCCACCGGCGGCGAGTCCTGCGCGGACGCGAGCCCCGGCCGCCCTGGAGTCTGGGCGTCGCGGTTCCCCCACTTCAGGAGCGGGGGGGGCGGGGCGGGGCGGGGCGGCGGGGGCCGGGGCCGCCGGGGTGCGCGCGGGGCCGGGCGGGCGCCGGGCCGGGAGCGGGGGGCGCCGCCCGCGCGTCCCTCCCCGCCGCCCCCCCGACCGCCCCGCGGGTGCCGCGGAGGGGCAGGAGGCCGGGCCCCGCGAACCCCCGCGAACCCCCGCGCCGCCTGCGCCGGGGCAGCCCCGCCCGCGCCCCGCCCGCGCCCCGCCCCCCTCGCCTGGCGGGGCGCGGACGGGGCGCAGACGGGGCGCGGGCGGGCGCGGGCGGCGGCTCCGGCCATGTCGGGCGCCCGCGCCGGCTTCTACCGGCAGGAGCTGGACGAGACGGCGTGGGAGGTGCCGCGGCGGCTGCAGGGGCTGCGCCCCGTGGGCTCCGGCGCCTACGGCTCGGTCTGGTAGGGCGCGGCGAGGGCGCGGGGCGGCGCGGGGGGAGGCCGCGGCCCGCCCGGCCGGGGTGCACCGAGGCGGCGGGGCCGTGACGGCCGCGCTCCTGCCGGCCCCGCTGCGGACGGGCCGAGGGGCGCCCCCCGCGCCCCCCGCGCCCCCTCTCCCGGCCCGGGTCCTGCGCGCCGCGGCCGCGAAAGGGCGGGTCTCGCGCCCCAGACGTTCGGCTGCTGCAGGGCGCCGGGGCCTGGCGGGCCGCCCTAAGGGGCGCTTTCTGGGCCAGACAGCCAGAGCTGGCCTCACCCCTAGGATGGCCGCAGGCTCCCCAGGGACGCTGCCCCCTCCCGGGTGTTGGAGGGGTTGGGGCCCGAGAAGGGAGATGCCCAACCATCCCCTACATTTGCCCCCTGTAGTTTTGCTCCAACACAGCCAGCCCGCACCACAGCGGGTGACGAGGCCCTGGGGCCCCGGCCCAGGGCAGGGGGTGGAGGAAGGTGCTGGGGTTCCCCAAGGTGCCGCTGGGGCTGGCGGCGGGGCTTGCACAGCTGCAGGGGTGGTGGAGGGTGAGCTTCATGGGATGGCCGGGAGGCCCCCTCCAGCGCCCAGTCGGAGCCTACGTGGGGCGGGTGCCAGGTGACTGCTGGCCACCCGGCGTCCTGAGGAGGAGGCAGACACCCGTGGGGGGCTGGGCATCGCCCTGGCAGCACTGGGGCTGGGGGCTGCTTGGGCCCCCCCAGGCTCAGGGGGTCGCCTAGAGCAGGGCTGGGGACCTGGCTCGGCCCCCCTCCAGCCCAGCGGGAGGTCAGGAGCCCCAGGCCTGCGATGTCAAGCATCCGGCCAGGTTCTGTCTTCATCTGAAGACCTGACGGGCAGGTCAGGGACAGCGTGCGCGCCCCGGCCAGGACGGCTCCTTCTGGAAGTTGCTAGGGAACGTGCAGTGACCAGAGGCGGCTCTGGCTACAGCTGGGCAGGCAGCCCCTCTCAGGTCCCTGAGGTGGATGACCCCGCGGGCCCCCGCTGCTTTCCGGGCAGGACAGCTGCCAGCAGGTCCCCAGACAGCAGGGAGGCGGGGGAGGGGGTGGCCGTGCGGTGGTCCTGCAGAGCCCAGCCTGAGGGCGGGGCTGGGGCGGGTGGCATTGCCTTTGAGGGTGCTGCCCTGAGCCGCTTGACTCCTGTGGAAAGCAGGGTGTGTGGGGTGTCGGTTCTGGCCCCTGGGGTCGGGTGCAGGGAAGTAACGGGAGTGCAGATTCTGCCGGGCGCCCACCACGCAGGGCTCACTGCTCGGTGATGGCACAGGAGCGCCCGCCACATCCCTCCCTGCTCTGCATGTTCAGAGACACTGGGGGGCCAGAAACGTTGGAGGTGGCTCTGGAACCCCTGGGGTGTCTCCCTGGACCCATGCCCTTGCGGAGGAGCAGGCAGGCTACTCTCCAGCCTGGATCTGGGGCCGAGAGACAAGATCCTGGTCCTGCCCGGGCTCCAGCCGGGAGAGGGTGGCGCGCGAGCTGCCTCTTGAGAGAGAACAGACCCCAGGAGGTGGGGTCCACCCAGGCCCCTCCAGTAGGGTGGAGGAATGGCCGTTGTGCTGTCCCCACCCAGGAGCGCGGGCCCTGCCCTCCCAGGGGGCGTGGGGGGCACCGGGGAGAGGCCGGGGTGGCCTCAGCCCGGGCACCTCATTCACCCGCCTTTCAGCTCGGCCTATGACTCACGGCTGCGCCAGAAAGTGGCGGTGAAGAAGCTGTCCCGCCCCTTCCAGTCCCTGACCCACGCGCGGAGGACGTACCGCGAGCTCCGGCTGCTCAAGCACCTCAAGCACGAGAACGTGAGCTGCCCGGCGGGGTGCGGGGCTTCGGGCAGGGCGCCCGGGGGGCCTCCCGCCGCGGGCCCGGGCCCCGGCCGCCACCGAGGTCTGAGTGCCCGCCCCGCCCAGGTCATCGGGCTGCTGGACGTCTTCACGCCGGCCACCTCCATCGAGGACTTCAGCGAAGTGTGAGTGGCGGTGCGCGCCGGGAGCGGGGGCCGGGGCGGCGCTGCGCCTGACCCCCGCCCCCCCAGGTACCTGGTGACCACCCTGATGGGCGCCGACCTGAACAGCATCGTCAAGTGCCAGGCGCTGAGCGACGAGCACGTCCAGTTCCTGGTCTACCAGCTGCTGCGCGGGCTGAAGGTAGGCGCGGGCGCGCGGGGGGCGGGGCGGGGCGCAGGCGGCCCTGAAGCTCCCCTCTCCTGCAGTACATCCACTCGGCCGGGATCATCCACCGGGTAGGTGTGGCCGCGGGGCGCGTGCTCCCCGGGCGCCAGGGACCCCGCGCTCTGCCGCTCTCACGCGGGCCGCTGCCGTGCAGGACCTGAAGCCCAGCAACGTGGCGGTGAACGAGGACTGCGAGCTGCGGGTGAGCGGCGGGGGGCGCGGGGGCCGGGGCGCGGGGCGGCAAGGCACTGAGGCGCCCGGTGCGCCCTAGATCCTGGACTTCGGGCTGGCCAGGCAAGCTGACGAGGAGATGACCGGCTACGTGGCCACCCGCTGGTACCGGGCACCTGAGATCATGCTCAACTGGATGCACTACAACCAGACAGGTGTGCCCGCCCGGGGCGGGGGTGCTGGGGGCAGCTGGGGCCCAGAGGGCGGGCAGATCTCAGGCCCAGGCCGTCCGAACCGGACCTCATGGGCCTTGGGCGCCCACTGGCCCCACGGGATGGGCGAGCAGGCACCACCCCTGCCCATCGCCTGTAGCTCTTGGGGCCTGGGGGCCACGGGCTGGCTCTTCTGGGGTGTCCCAGATAACCAAGGAGGGACTTGGGGTGGGCAGACTGATGGAGACTCCCCCCAACAGTGGACATCTGGTCTGTGGGCTGCATCATGGCCGAGCTGCTCCAGGGAAAGGCGCTGTTCCCAGGAAACGACTGTATCCTTGTCGCGGGCTGGGCCCGGCCAGCGATGCCCGGGGGGAGGGGGGGAAGGCCAGGCAGGGCACGGACTCTCTGGCCACTCTGTCTCCCAGCCCCGCACCTCGCCACGTGGGTGGGCAGCTCAGGCGGCTTCCCGAGGTCTCCGGCCGGGAGGGTCCGCCCACCACATGCAGTTCCTGAGCCCACAGACATCGACCAGCTGAAGCGAATCATGGAGGTGGTGGGCACACCCACCCCCGAGGTCCTGGCGAAGATATCCTCAGAACACGTGAGCCCCTGGCCTCCCTGCTGGCCCAGCCCCCGGGGGAGGTGCGGGGGGGAAAGCTCGGGGACAGCTGGGGCATCAGGGGGCACTGTGGACTCTAGCCCAGGGCTTCCTCAGGGGCAGACAGGGAAGGTTTTCCTGGCATGAGGGTCCACGAGTACAAAGTCAGCACGGGTGAGAGTGCCCTGCCAGGGACAGTGGGGCAGTGCCAGACGGCAGCACCCTAAGGAGCAGCTCTGGCCTGTGCCTGCCCTGGCTGGGCCCTTGGGGGTGAGGGAGCCTGGGCCTCCCTCTGCCAGCCCCGCCTGGCTGGGAGCAGCCCCTCAGGCCCTTTCCCTGTGCTCCAGGCCCGGACCTACGTCCAGTCCCTGCCCCCCATGCCCCAGAAGGACCTCAGGAGCATCTTCCATGGAGCCAACCCCCTAGGTGAGGCCGGGCCCTGGGTTGGGCTGGTCTCCACATCTGGCCTTGGGTGCCAAGCTGACCGCCCCCGCTGGCCTGGCCACCCTGTAGCTGTGGACCTCCTGGGAAGGATGCTGGTGCTGGACAGTGACCAGAGGGTCAGCGCGGCCGAGGCCCTGGCCCACGCCTACTTCAGCCAGTACCACGACCCTGAGGACGAGCCCGAGGCCGAGCCCTACGATGAGAGCGCGGAGGCCCCAGAGCGCACCCTGGAGGAGTGGAAGGGTGGGTGTGGGCGCCTGTGGGGGGTTGGGGGGCTCCTGGAGCAGCCGGGGACGGGGGTGGCTGCCCACAGGGCCTCACCCAGGCCCTGGCCTCCCAGCGCTCACCTACCAGGAAGTCCTCAGCTTCAAGCCCCCGGAGCCACCGCAGCCCCCGGCAGCCTGGAGAGCGAGTGCCGAGCAGTGAGGCTCCGCCCAGCGCTGGCCGCCCCAGCCCAGGAGCACCTGCGCCCCTCCGCCCGCCAACTGGCCTCCCCCCACTCGCCCCCGACGGCCCAGGTGCCGCTGCCTCTGGTCTGGGACCCCCGGGTGCAGGGTCTGCACAGAGTGGACGCTGCCGTGGGTCCCTGAGGGATGGGCTTGTTCCGGACTGCCCCAGCCCTGCAGAGGCTGCCTGCAGCTGCGCTGGACCCCAAGGGAGGGGTCCCGTCGGTCAGGCTGGAAGTGCTGGAGCTGAAGGCCGCAGGCTGGCTGGGGCCTCCCTGGGGTTGGCGGGGTGGGGATGCTGCTGGCCCGTGCTGGGCAGGCTGGACGCCTGGGCCATGGCTGTGGCCGGCAGCAGGCCAGCGGGGGACATCTGCATGTCGTCCCCCTGCAGCACAGTGGCACTGAGGTCCTGCTGGGCACCATGCCAGGCGGGCAGCAGCACGCAGAGCAGAGGCCTGGCTTCCTCCGGTGCGTGGGCGGCCCCAGGGCACAACACCAGTAGGAGCTCGCCTGGAGGGTGCCAAGGTAGATGGTGCCCCCCCCCCCAGTAGACTCAGGCTCGGAGTTTCCTGCCACAGGGCTCAGCCCAGAGCTGGCGAAGATGCCCACAGCTGCCCTGGCCCTGCCAGCTCTGGCCCCAGCTGAGCGGCCTGCCCGGCTGCGGTCAGCCTTCACCCCCCCACCCCCCTTACAGAGCTGAGCTGACCTTCGCCTTTGAGCCAGGCCCTGCTGGCTGGGGTGGCGGGGCGGTGGCGGGGGTGCGTGGCGACCTCCACGCACAGGACGGGGAGTCTGGATGTGCAGCACCTGCACCGGGGTTTCGAATAAAGCGGTTTCCTCCGGCTCAGCTTGTGTCCCAGGCCTGCTGCCCCCGCCTCGTCCCCACTGCCTGCAGGGGACACTGGATGGCCATGCATGCCGGCCTGGTCCCACAAAAGGCCTCCTCTTCACTCTGTTGTGCCCAGGAGCTGGGTAGTGGGCAAGGCCTCTGCCCAGGCCCGGCCTGGAGCTGCCAGGGAGTGATGACAGCTCATCACTCTATCCCTGTCAGCGGTTGCTGCCTAGCCTCTGGGCCAGACCCAGACCTGCCCTGACTCACGGGGGGCACTGGGACCCGCCCTTCCCGGGGCTGGGGGAGAGAGCTTTCCGTTTCTCCTGGCCAGGAGGGAGAGACCGCCCTGCCTCGGAGACACACGGGTTCTGCCATGGCAGCTCTCTGGAGGCCGGGCTGCCAGGGCCAGGCAGGATGTCCCCAGGATGAGGGTCTTGCCCTGACTTGAGTGGCCTCCATCTGGGTGCTGCACCCCGAAGGCCTCATCCGTGTGGCTATGGTCTCTGGGGCAGAGGGGGGAGGGGGCCGGGGCCTGCCCCACCCGGGAGTCTTCCTAGAGAAGGTGGCCGCAGCGCGCGGGCGGCCAGGGCATAAAGGGCAGGTGGCTGTGCCCCCCGCGTGGCCTCTCACTGGCCCCCAGTCAGCGGCCGGTGCAGGTGCAAATCCACTCTGGCAGCCTCGGGCAGGGAGCTGCTGATTCATGGCAGGTGGGCAGGGCTCAGAGGGAGGGGCAGGGGGCCCGGGATCCTGTTACACCCCCTTCCTCAGGCCTGGGTCACTGGGGGGGGTGATGCTGGAGGGCTGGGGGCCGTCCTGGTCCTAATGGCCGCTGCTCCAGGGTGGAGTCCAGCCCTTGAAAGGGTGACGATGCCCTGGGGGTGCGGGGGCGCCAGAGCCAGGGCCTCCCGAGGGGTCCGGCAGCCCCTCCTGGAGGGTGGGCAGAGTGTGAAGCACAGAGAGGAGGGGTGACCCGCCAGTTGGGGGCACAGGCGGAAGGGCTTGGGGGGGCGGCCCCTGCCTGCCGTGGCCGCTGCTGGGGAGCACACTGGGCGGGGGCCACTGGGGCAGCCGGGGTCAGCGAGCACCGGGCTACTGGATGCCACAACTCGCGCCACGTGAGCGGCGGGTGGAGGGGCCCCTGGGAGCCCGCGGGGGGGGGGGGCGGGCACGGGCTCAGCGCCCCCCCCCACCCCGTCAGGCGGGCCCCTGGGGCTGGGGTGCGGGTCAGGTGGACGCGCCCCACTGGACCCCGTGCCCTGGGGCCACTGGCGCGGGCAGCGCAGTCCCGGGGCGCCTGGACACCCCACGTGGGCGCCCCGCGAGCGCGGAGGCGGGTGGGCGTCCGCCCCGCCCGGCCCGGCCCCGCCCCCCGCGGCCGCTCGGGTTTCCGGAGGGGCCGGCGGGGCGGGTCACGTGCGCGGCCGGGCCGGCGGGCCGGTCGGTCCGGGCCGGGGGCGGGAGAGCGGCGGGGCCGGGAGTCGCGCGCGGGGCGGCGGCGCGGGCGCGGGGTGCGCGGGGTCCCGGCGAGCGCGGTCCCGGGGCGGCCCGGCCCGGCCCGCCATGAGCTCGCCGCCGCCCGCGCGCCGGGGCTTCTACCGCCAGGAGGTGACCAGCACGGCCTGGGAGGTGCGCGCCGAGTACCGCGACCTGCAGCCCGTGGGCTCGGGCGCCTACGGCGCCGTGTGGTGAGCGCGGCGGGGCGGGCGGGCGCTGCCGGGGGGCGGGGGCCCCGCTAAGCCGCGCGCCCCGCAGCTCGGCCGTGGACAGCCGCTCCGGCGCCAAGGTGGCCATCAAGAAGCTGTACCGGCCCTTCCAGTCCGCGCTGTTCGCCAAGCGCGCCTACCGCGAGCTGCGCCTCCTCAAGCACATGCGGCACGAGAACGTGAGTGTCCCGGGCGCGCGGCGGCCGCTCCTCCCCGGCCGCCTCTGGCCCCGCAGCCCAGCCCGCCCGGCCTGACAGCCGCCGCCGGCCGCGCCCAGGGCCTCCCTCGCCAGCCCGGGGAGAGGACAGGCCGCGGGCGCCACTCCGGAGGGGCCGCGCGCCTCCCCCTCCTGGGGCGCCCCGTCCCCGCTCCTGAGTCCTCGTCCTGGGAACTGGGGCCCGGCGGGCACACCCCGTGCTGGGCTCTGCTGCCAGGGCCGGGCGCCGTCTAGTGAAGGGGCCGGGTTCGGGGCACCTCCTTGGGGTGCCTGGGCCCCGAGACCCTGGCTCCCGGAGCTCCCGGTCGGGGCCTCTTCCCCCAGAGAGCAGGCTCTGGGCCACCAGGGCCCTTGTCCCGGCTGATGCCCACACCCCAGCCGCTCGGGCGGGGTGGCCACATCCCCTCACGCTTCCTGTCCCCGCCCTTGACCCCAGTGAAATCCCTTCGTGCTGGACGGCAGCCCAGCCCCGGCTCCCGCCTCCCGGCCCCCGCCTCCTGGCCCCCCGCCGTCCAGGCAGATTCCACTGCCCTGGACGTCCTCCCTCCCACCCCCCGCGGCCATCCAGCAGGGCCCGGGCTCGCGCTCAGTACCCTCTGCCCTGCCCCGGCCCGGCCCCTCCTCGGGCTGGCTCCCCAGCCGGCCCGGGGTCCCCCGGGGGCTCCTGGGCCGCCACGCCCAGGCTGCTCGCATCCAGCCACTTTCCTGGGGGGGACTGGGTCTGAGGCTGGGTGTGGGCTGCCCTCTGCCCCCCACTGCTGGCGTCCTCCATGCTCAGGGGCTCGCTGCTCTCTGAAGAGGGCCCCCTCAAACTCCAGGGCCCTGCCCCGTCCTCTGGCTAAAGCCTCCCAGCGCCCCAGCCTCGCCTGCTCCAGGCCCCGCTGGCATGCTCCTCTGTCCTCCTGGCACCGCCACCCGCGCCGCTGGCCCTGGTGGCCGCAGTGGCCACCCAGCTGTCCCTCCACCTCCTGTGCACTCCCGCCTCTCCCTGCTCTGCCTCCACAGGGCAGCCGGGGACTCAGGGTCAGCCGTGGCCTGAGGCGCAGGGGCACCTTCCCTGCACGCGGGGCCCTCGGCTCCCTCGGCTCCCGCGGCCTCGCAGGCTCCCCTCCCCGTGCCCCCGGCCTGGGCCTCAGCACCTGGCCTCCCTCCTCGGTTCCTTAAACTCTCGAGTGCCCTCCCTCTGCACTGCCGCTGGGGCCTCCATCAGGTGTCCCCCTGGACTCGTCTCACCCACTCGGGGGCCCAGATGTGCCGCCGCCTTGGGCCCGGGAGGCCGTCACTGCCTCGGCCAGCTGCCCCACGAGCTGCCTGCTGCCCACCCTCCCCGGCAGGGCTGTGCGGCCGGTCTGCCCTGGGCCGTCGCCGGGCTGCCTGTCTGGGCCTCTGGCCCGGGGGACCTCCTGAGGCGGCTGCGCCCGCTGGCCCCAGGCCTTCCGCAATGGGAAGCGGGAGAGAGAGGGGCCACGGCCGGAGCGCTGACGCCTGCCCTTCCCCCAGGGGATCCCGGCCGTCACTATCCAAAAATACCCCATGTCCTGGTTCTGGGCGCCAGGGCTGCTTGCGCCGCTGGGGGCAGAGCGGGCCCCGTGGGCCTCGGGGGTGAGGGCGGCAGGCAGGCCTGGCTGCCAGCGTGGGCTCTCTAGCCCCCCCGTGCCCCGCCCACCAGGCTGTGGCCTCTCCAGGTGATCGGGCTGCTGGACGTCTTCACTCCAGACGAGAGCCTGGATGACTTCACGGACTTGTGAGTGCCGCTGGGGCTGGCCAGGGGCCTCCCGGGACGCCCCCAGCCCGCACCCCAGGGCCCCCTCCCCCGTGCCGGGCACCGGCTCCGTCCCCGCAGCGGGTGTGTGCTCGGGCCTGAGCGTTGGGGGCCAGAGCCTTGCCTCTGGCCCCTGCCCCAAGGGTGACCGAGACCAGGGCTGCGGCCTTGCCAGCGGGCCGGGGAGGGTGGCAGGGAGGACCGTCGCGGCCTTCAGGGGCCCAGGCAGCCTTCAGGGCTGGGGCCGAGAGGGCTGGGGCCTCAGTGTCCCTGGGTGCCGACTGCCCCTCCAGCCTGCCCAGCCCTGCCCGCCCCGCTGTCCTGCCGCTCCTGCCCCCTGCGGGCCTCCGCTGCCCCATGTCCGGGGGCCAGGGAGGGCGGTGCTGGCAGGCGTCCGTGCTCCGCGGCTGTGCTGGGCAGCGCCCTCAGGCTGAGCCGGCCAGTGACCTCGCCCCTGCCCGCAGCTACCTGGTGATGCCCTTCATGGGCACCGACCTGGGCAAGCTCATGAAGCACGAGCAGCTGAGTGAGGACCGCGTGCAGTTCCTTGTCTTCCAGATGCTGAAGGGGCTGAAGGTGAGCTCGTGCGGGGCGGGGCCGGGGCCGGGGTGCGGGGTGCTGGGGCACGCGGGGCCTGACCGCCCCTCTGTCCCCGCAGTACATCCACGCTGCCGGCGTCATCCACAGGGTGAGTCTCGGTCTGGGTGGATGGGGGCCCCGCTCCTCTGCTGCCTCCAGTGGCCATGGCCAGTCCAGGCCGCCCTCCCTGTGGCGCCGCGTGGGAGCTTGCGGGGCCGTGGCCAGCGCACTCTGCAGGTCGCCAAGGCCGCTGCTCTCACCCCCAGGACCTGAAGCCGGGCAACCTGGCGGTGAACGAGGACTGTGAGCTGAAGGTGCTTGTGGGCTGGCACCCGCGAGGGCCACAAGGGCCCCCCAGCAGCTGGACCCCTCCAGGCAGTGGTGGCTGGCGGACAGCATCCTGCACATGCCTGCTCCCCAAACCCTTGCTGGAGCAGGCCCGGAGGCCTCCCAGAAGGGCTGGCCATGTGCTGGGGGGGCCAGCAGGGGTTGGAGGAATGGGGGAGCCCCCTGGCATACCAGCTCCTGAGGGTGGGGGAGGCAATGTCAGCTGAACTGGCCATTGGGGAGGAGCCCCAGGGGAGACCTGGGCTCTGGCTGAGACCTTGGGCCTGGAAGGCTGGCAGGGGGTCTGGGGAGCGGCCGGTCCCCCGAGGCCCCTGACCACAGCCTGTCCGCCACCCCCCTGGAGTACCTCTGCCGCACCTTCCCGGTTCTGACACAGATCCTGGACTTCGGCCTGGCCAGGCAGGCAGACAGCGAGATGACCGGGTACGTGGTCACCCGGTGGTACCGGGCGCCAGAGGTCATCTTGAATTGGATGCACTATACACAGACGGGTGAGCAGCTGCCCAGGCTGCGCCCACCTGCTGCCATCCCCCCAAGCCTGAGGCAGCTGCCCCTCAGGAGACGTCTGGTGGTGGGTGGGGGCCAGGTGGGGCCAGCAGCCCTCACGCCTGAGTCCTCGTGCCCGGCCCCAGCCCCTCTGCCCCCGTCCCGCCCATGCTCCTCCTCGTCTGTGGCCCTGTCCCCCGTCCCCACCCTCCCGTGCGCAGAGCCCTGATGCGGGGGCTTCTGTCTCAGTGGACATCTGGTCGGTGGGCTGCATCATGGCGGAGATGCTCACGGGCAAGACGCTGTTCAAGGGCAACGACCGTATCCTTGGCCTGCGCGCGGGGCGGGCGGGTTGGGGGGGGCCCTGGCTGCCCGCTGTGCTCCTGACCTCGCCCAGACCTGGACCAGCTGAAGGAGATCATGAAGGTGACCGGCACGCCCCCCGAGGAGTTTGTGCAGCGGCTGCAGAGTGAGGAGGTCAGTGGGGGGCGGGGGCCGGGGCCCGGGGGGCGGGCCTCACCTCCTGCACCCCACAGGCTAAGACCTACATGGAGAGCCTCCCCGAGCTGGAGAAGAAGGATTTTGCCTCCATCCTGACCAACGCGAGTCCTCTGGGTAGGGACAGCCGGGGAGCGTGGGGCCAGCTGGCGGGAGGACGGTCGGCCTGGGCCGGCCCTGGGGCTGCCTGACCGGCCCGCCCCGCAGCCGTGAACCTCCTGGAGAAAATGCTGGTGCTGGATGCGCAGCAGCGGGTGACGGCGGCCGAGGCACTGGCCCACCCCTACTTTGAGTCGCTGCGGGACGCGGAGGACGACCCCAAGGCCCAGAAGTACGACGAGTCCTCTGACGACATGGACCGCACGCTGGATGAGTGGAAGCGTGAGTGGGGAGGGGCAGGTGGCCCGGTCCTGACGCCCCCACCCCAGCTGGGGTCGGGGAGGAACACGAGGCCCAGGGCTGAGCGCCCCCAGCGGAGGCGGCCCAGCCGGAGCAAGCGAGGGCGTCCCAGCAGGAGCTCTCCATAAACAGGAACCGGGGATGAGTCCCGGAAATGGCGGGAGGCCAGGGGCTCAGGGCGTCCGAATTCCTAGCCTTCCCGGCCCCCAGCCTGCGGGCAGCCTCCCGGGTCCAGGCCAGGGCTGCGGCCCCCAGAAGCCTCGCTGCCCTCGGCGCCCAGGCTCACTGCTGCTGAGCTCGGCCTGCCCCCTCCTGGGCCCATGTCAGGGCCCTTCCGCCAGACAACCGCACCTCCCCGCCGCGGGAGAAGGGGCACCCAGGCCTCCCCTCCCCCCGTTAGTCCAGGCGGTGGCGCTTCCGCCGACCTCCCAGCAGGGCCGGCCACCCCTGCGCCACAGCCAGCCTTCCAGCTCAGCCCCCGCCACCGGCCCTGCGCCGGCCCCACTCGGCACAGGCCACGAGGGCCAAGCCCCCTCCTCCTCGGGGCCACGGGACGCCCGAGGCAGCAGGGCCCTGGTGGCGCAGTGGCCACTGTGTCCGGCCTCGGCGCTGCCTGCCAAGAGGGCGGGGCGGGGTGGGCTGCGGTCCTCCGACCGGGCCCCTTGGGCAGCCGGCCTGCCTGGTCCCTCCAGCGGGCTCCACCCATCTGTGCTGAGTTTGCTGCTTCACCGTCTGGTTTGGGGGATGTTCTCTACGGCGTCGAGGCGGTAGAAACCCACAGCCCCGGGCCCCTCGGCCCTGCACGCATCCCTCGTCCGTCCCCCGGAGCGGCCCACGGCCGTGGCCTGCTTGGGAGTCAGGCTCTGCGCCCACGTTCAATGGCCGCTGCCGCACACCCACCTTCCCGGTGTCCTGGCCCCGCGGAGGTCAGCGCAGGGCTCGAGGGTGTGCCCAGCCACGGGCCTGCCCTGGACGCTGCTCCTGGAGTCCCCAGATGGGTGCCTTAGGGGTGCCACCCCGGAGCCTGCAGTCAGGCGGGGGTGCAGGGGCAGTTGGCAGCGGCTCCCACGTCTTTACGCCTCTGCGGTTATTCTGCATCCCAGGGGACTCTGGGCTGACACCCCTGGCCGCATTCACTCGGGGGCCTGGAGCTGAGGGCCCCGGAGCTGTGGGTGCCCGCCAGGTGCCGCTGTGAGAGGCTGTGCCCGGGATGGAGTTTTGGGCGTGGACAGACAAGCCCTCCGGCAGTGACCTCTGACCTCGACGTCTGGGGGGTCTCTGTCAGTGGCTGACGTGGCGGGTGCCTGCCCGGCCCCCTTGTGTGGACTGACCCCTCCTCTGGCTGGATCCCCCAGGTATCACGTATAAAGAGGTGCTCAGCTTCAAGCCTCCCCGGCAGCTGGGGGCCAAAGTGTCCAAGGAGACGGCCCTGTGAGGGCAGCAGGGACCCGGCTGTGTCGTCGCCGACTAGCCCTCGCCCGGAGGAGGCGCCTGCCTGGCCCTGGCTTGGTCCCGAGGCTCCGCGTCCCCGGACCAGGACCCGTCAGCCTGGCTCTCTGCCCTCAGCCTGACCATGGAGGAGCAGCTGGACTTCCCGCGCCGGGTGCCCCAGCTGAGCAGCGTCCAGCCTGCGCGGGGTGGCTGGGCCTGGGGTGGGCTCTCCTGCACCCACAGCCCAGAATGCAGCGTGCCATCGGGTGTGGGTGGGTGTGGCCGCGTGCGGGAGGAATAAAGGCTTTTGTAGACGCGGGCTCTGGCCACTGTGCCCTGCTGGGGGATCTGCCTCTGGGCCTGCAGCTGCTGCCGGTCACAAAGCTGGTGCCCACCTCCCCGTCATGTGCCTTCGCCCCTCCTGTGGGGTGAGCTGCCAATGACCTAGACCCGAGGGCAGGCCCCTCAGGGAGAAGGTTCAGGCCTGTCCCACCCTGCGGCCAGCAGGGCTTTGGAGAGCAGCCCTCTGCTGGACGCCTGCTGACAGGCTGGTCAGGGCGCAGTGGGCTCCTCTCCCTGCCGCCCCCACGGGTATCAGCAGGGTCAGGCAGACCCCGTGTGCTCCCCGCCCCCTGCCCGGTACACGGCTGGACACACACACAGTAGGTCCAGCCTGCAGCGGTCCAGCGCCTCAGAGTGCACACTGTGCCCCCGGGCCCTGTGGGCACGCGACCAGTCCGTCCACAAGGGTCGCCCAGGGGCCCCTCCTTGGGGACCCCGTCCCCCAGGCCGCTTGCTGGCCTGCAGGCCCACTCCGGGCCTGCTCCTGGCGCCTCCTTGCCGGGTCTGTCACCCACTCGCCCCTTGCGAGGGCCCTCCCTGCTCCCCTCCCCCTTGGCTGGTCTGGGTGCCCTCGGCTTCTCGGCCACCTCCCTGCCCTTCCCACACCACCCGGGGTGCTGGGGGGGCTGCCTCGCGGGGCACCCTGCACCCCGGGGCCCGCTCCTACATCTTGGGGCGGGCCCCTGGGCAGCGGTGGCCGCTGGCACGCCTGGCCCCCGGGGTCTGCGCGGTCAGGGTGGCCTGCGGTCGCCCCATTCCTGCCCGCCCCTCCATGAGGCTGCGGGGGGGGGGGGGGGGAAGGGGCGGGCAGCCGGGAGGCGCGCTCGGGGCGGAGTCGGGGGGGGGCGGGCAGCGGGAGGGGCGCTCGGGGCGGAGTCGGGGCGCGGGCAGCGGGAGGGGCGCTCGGGGCGGAGTCGGGGGGCGGGCAGCGGGAGGGGCGCTCGGGGCGGAGTCGGGGCGCGGGCAGCGGGAGGCGCGCTCGGGGCGGAGTCGGGGCGCGGGCAGCGGGAGGCGCGCTCGGGGCGGAGTCGGGGGGGGCGGGCAGCGGGAGGGGCGCTCGGGGCGGAGTCGGGGCGCGGGCAGCGGGAGGGGCGCTCGGGGCGGAGTCGGGGGGCGGGCAGCGGGAGGGGCGCTCGGGGCGGAGTCGGGGCGCGGGCAGCGGGAGGCGCGCTCGGGGCGGAGTCGGGGGGGGCGGGCAGCGGGAGGGGCGCTCGGGGCGGAGTCGGGGCGCGGGCAGCGGGAGGCGCGCTCGGGGCGGAGTCGCGGGGGGCGGGCAGCGGGAGGGGCGCTCGGGGCGGAGTCGGGGCGCGGGCAGCGGGAGGGGCGCTCGGGGCGGAGTCGGGGCGCGGGCAGCGGGAGGGGCGCTCGGGGCGGAGTCGGGGGGCGGGCGGCCGGCGGGGCGGGGCGGCCCCGGAAGTCCCGCGGCTGCGCCCGCCCGCGCCCCCGCCCGGGCCCCGCGCTGGGCGGCCTCGGCCCCGTCCCCGCGGTGTCCCTCGCCGGCGGCCCGCGCGGAGGGCCGGGAGCGGCGCGTTCGGATCCTGCCGCCCGGGGCCGCCGCGGCCGCGCCATGGGGACCGCGCTCGTGTACCACGAGGACATGGCGGCGCCCAGGCTGCTCTGGGCCGAGTGAGTGTGGCCGGGGGCGGGGCGCGGCGGGGCGGGGGGCCGGGGGGCCGGCGCTGAGCTGCCGTCCGTTCAGCCCCGAGTGCGAGATCGAGTGCCCCGCGCGCCTGACCGCGGTCCTGGAGAGCCTGCGGCGGCACGGCCTGGAGCAGAGGTGCCTCCGGCTGGTGGCCAGGGAGGCCTCTGAGGAGGAGCTGGGCCTGGTGCACAGGTCAGCCCCGCGCCCCGGACGCCCCCAGCCGCCCCGCGCCCTGCCCCGGCCGAGCCTTGCAGTCAGAGCCCCCGCCCCACCCCGACCTCTCCGCGCGGCGGGGGAGGGAGCAAGGAGGTGAGCGCCCCCAGGGCCCCAGCCCTCGCGGGGCCTGCCCTCCCGCTGGTGACCCGGCCTGCCCGCTGCCCCCCCCAGCCCTGAGTACGTGGCCCTGTTGCGGGGCACCCAGGCCTTGGACACGGACGCGCTGTGGGCGCTGTCTGCGCAGTTCGACGCCGTCTACCTCCACCCGGTGGGTACCCCGCGCTCCCCGCCCCTGCTGCGCCTGGCCTGGCCCTGCTGCCCAGCGCCGCGTCCTGCAGGTCCTGCAGCCCGGCACGGGCCGGAGGCTCCGCAGGCGGGCTCAGGTGCGGCCTCTCCCCGCAGAGCACCTTCCACTCTGCGCGGCTGGCCGCGGGGGCGGCCCTGCAGCTGGTGGACGCGGTGCTGACCGGAGCTGTGCACAACGGGCTCGCCCTGGTGAGGTGAGAGCTGCCCCTCGCCCGCCGCCCCACCTGTGGCTGCCCCGGCGTGGCTGACACGGGCGACTCCGCGCCCCTCTCTGCCCCAGGCCTCCCGGGCACCACAGCCAGAGGGCGGCCGCCAGCGGGTTCTGCGTGTTCAACAACGTGGCGGTGGCGGCCCAGTACGCCAAGCAGCGGCACGGCCTGCGCAGGTGCGCCCGCTGGGGGCCGGGGGGGCGCGGGGGGGCCGGGGGTGGCGCGGGGGCGGGCCCTCACAGGCCTGCGCCTGCTGCCCGGTCCCAGGATCCTCATCGTCGACTGGGACATCCACCACGGCCAGGGCATCCAGTACATCTTCAAGGACGACCCCAGGTGGGCTGGGGCGCCGGCGCGGCCCCCGTTGGGGGCGCACAGCTGGGGGTCGGTGCCACGCGTCCCGGGTGGAGCGTCCTGCCCGCTGACCTGGCCCGACCTGGCCCGCAGCGTCCTTTACTTCTCCTGGCATCGCTACGAGCACGGGCGCTTCTGGCCCTACCTCCGCGACTCGGACGCAGATGCCGTCGGGCAGGGGCCTGGTCGCGGCTTCACCGTGAACCTGCCCTGGAACCAGGTACCTGCTGCACCCCAGGGGCCCCAGCGCTCGCCTCCAGGCTCTGGGTCCCCCAAACACCGTCCAGGGCAGGCTGAGGGTCCGACCGCAGGGTGAGGACCCCCGCGCTCCTGGCAGGCCTAACCCTGAGCCTGTGGCTGCAGGTGGGGATGGGGAACGCTGACTACCTGGCCGCCTTCCTCAGCGTGGTGCTGCCCCTGGCCTTCGAGGTGACCGGTGCACTGGGGTGGTCTGCATGGCGGGCGGGTGGGAGGGGCTCAACGGCGAGTGCCCTGCTTTGGAGGAGGCCGTGAGGAGCCACCTGGCAAGTGGCATGGGGCCCGGGCAGGGGTGCTGTCTGGGGGCCGCCCCTTCACCCCGTCCCAGCCTCTCTGTCCCCTGCACCCGGCCCCCGTGCAGTTTGACCCCGAGCTGGTGCTGGTCTCGGCAGGATTTGACTCAGCGATTGGCGACCCCGAGGTGAGAGCCGGCCTGGCTGGGGAGGGCCCTGGGTCCCGCCAGGCCCGTCACACCGGTTCTTTCCAGGGGCAGATGCTGGCCACGCCTGAGTGCTTCGCCCACCTCACCCGGCTGCTGCAGGCGCTGGCCGGGGGCAGGGTCTGCGCTGTGCTGGAGGTGACTGTGCCCACCGGGCGTGGGGGTGGGGCGAGGCGCCCGGCGGGGAGGTGTGGCCAGGGGCCCCTGGGCACGGCCTCCTCAGTCACGTCCCCCGCAGGGCGGCTACCACCTGGACTCGCTCTCCCTGTCGGTGTGCATGACCTTGCAGGCGCTTTTGGGTGACCCGCCCCCGCCCCTGCAGGGGCCCCTGGTGCCGCAGAGCAGGTGCCTGTGCGAGGGGCGGGAGGGGGTGGGGCTGGGCGCTGCCGGCCGGGCCTCACGCTCTCTTGCCTCCCAGCGCCCTGGAGTCCATCCAGAGCACCCGGGCAGCCCAGGCCCCTCACTGGATGAGCCTCCGGCAGTCGGGTTGGTGCGACTCGGACCAGGCTGGGGGTCCAGGTGTCTCCCCTGGGTCCACGCGTCCCTCCGGCCTCCCATCAGTGACCGCGACTCTGAACCACCTCCCAGACGCAGCCCCAGTGCTGAGTCCCGGCCCCCGCTCCTCAGAGGGGGGCCCCTCGCCTCTGCCGCCCGGGGGGCCTGAGGTTCCTGCAGGTGCCGTGCAGGCAGCGGCCACGCTGAGTTCCCTCCTGGGCAGGCTTTGCCTCTGCCCCACGCCGCCCTTGCGCACCGCAGCAGCCCTGCCCGCATCGTTCGCGGCTCTGGCCCTGCCCCCTGCCATCGGCCGGCAGGAGGAGTCAGTTCCATGGGGAGAGCTGCAGGCCTGGGCTAGGTGAGCAACGTGGCCGCCCTGGGTGGGCTGTGTCCACACGCTCCTGTGTTTCCCTTCGGTCCATGCGTCGCTCTGGCTTGCCCACCACAGGCCACATGATGTCCTGACCCAGGCCGAGGCCCTCGCTGCACTGGGGAAGGCCCTGCGCCTTTTGGACAGGATCCTGGACGGGCAGGTGGGGGCACCTCTTGGAGGCTGGGGGTGGTTGTGGAGCTGGCTGGCCTGTCTAGGGGAGGGCTGGGCAGTGCAGGGCCACGTGGACGTGATGTTGCCTGTGGGGGACCTTCCCAGAACGGCTTCAGATGGGGTTCACGAGCCTTTCTCCTCTCAGCTGAATGCTCCTTGGCAGACAGGTGAGGGTGATGATGTCAAGTGTAGCTTTTCAGCATCTGGTCTCCAGAAATGGAGTGTAAGGAAGGGCCACTGAAGTGACAGAGCTGGGGGCCCAGGGGAGTGGATGGTCAGCTCCACTTCGGCTCACTGTCCCACAGGTGAGCAGCGGCCTTGCAGCCCTCCCCACCCCCGCGGTGGCCACCGCCCTGGACATAGCCCTTTGGCGCTGTCTGTCCCGGGGAACCCAGAGGTGAGCCTTGCCTGGCTGACCTGGGCCTTGGTGGGCTGAGTCCGCACCCCTGCCCTGGTGGGCCCAGTGGGAGGACTCTGGGCATGCTCACCAGGCAGCTGGGTGCACCTGGCCCCACTGACTCTCTTCCAGGCTGTTCTGTGTGGCTGTGGGACAGCTGGACCCGCCCCCAAGCCTCTCCCACGACAGGTGAGACTCTCAGTGCCTGTGTGTCCTCTCCTGACTGTGACAGGCGTGTGACCCTGGTCCCGGGTGCGGGCTGGGCGGAAGGCACCCAGGGTGGTGCGGGCTGGGTGGAAGGTGCCCCAGGGAGCTGCGAAAAGGGGCTCCGGCACAGGGTCCCAGCATGCCCTGCCCCCAGCTCCCTCGCTGCCCCTGCGCTCTGGCTTTGGGGGTGAGGGCGCCTCATACTTGCGCGCGTGTCCACGTGCTCATCCCCTCCTAGAAGGAGGACTCTGTTCCTGAGCATCGGGGGCCAGGAGGCGGCCGCCCCATCCATGTTCCGCGTCTCCATGCCACTGCCAGGGGTGAGTGGTGGAGCCACAGGCAGGCCATGGCCGCCCGATGACACCGCCACTGGCCTGTCCCTGCCCATCCCGGCTTCCTGCTGGGACTGTTGCTGTGGTTGCCCCAGAGGCCGGGGAAACGGCCTGGGCTGGCAGGAGCGCTGCCCGAGAGGAGGGTGGGGCCACGCCGCTGTCTCTCCCGCAGACGACGGGTGGCTTCCTGAACGGTGTCCTGGCCCTGGTGCTGCCTCTGGCCTATGACTTCCAGCCCGACCTGGTGCTGGTGGTGCTGGGCCCGGCCCACGGCCTGCAGGCCCCCAAGCTGCACTCCTGGCCGCCCTGCTGCAGGCGCCGGCAGGGGGCCGCGTCTTGGTCCTGCTGGAAGAGGTGAGTGGGGGGCCGGGCCCGCCGTGGGGGTGAGGGGGGACCCCAGGGCTGACTGCTTCTCACCCTGCCCCAGGCCGCCCCGCCCCAGCTCGCAGGGGCGCTGGCACGGGCGCTGCACGGAGAGGCACCCCCCGGCCTGGGCCCGTTCTCCCCGGCCGCCCCGGCGGAGATGCAGGCCCTGGCGTACCTGAGGGGGCAGCTGGGACCGCGGTGGAAGCTGCTGCGCGCGGCCGGTGAGCGGGACCTCGGGCACCTGCCTGGCGCTTTGCGGGGGCGGCCGCCGCCCGCCTGACGCCCGTGGGTGTCTTCCAGGCCCTCCCTGAGCGCGGCCGCCCGAGAGCGGCGGGCGGGGATCCCGGCCAGGAGCCCCGCGGGCCGGTCGCGGAGACACCAGCACCCGCCGCCGGCCTCGGCACCCCCGCGGCTCGCGCGGCCAGCGGACCCCGCGGGGCGCCGCCCCGGAAGCCCCGCCCCGGAAGCCCCGCCCCCAGTAAACATCGTCACGCGACACCTGACTCCGCCTCCTTCTTGGGCCCGCCTCCTGCCCAGCTGCGCCGGAACGCGACGGGCGGGAGCGGCTCTGGCCCCGCCCCCGGCCCCGCCCCGCGCGCCGGGCCCGCCCCTGCTCGGGCCGCACCGCCCCTCGGCCGGAGGCCCGCCCGCCCCCGCGGTGACGCAGTTCCTGCGCGCCCGTCCGCGCGGCGGCGGCGCCGGGGTGACGCGGCGGCGCGGGGGTGACGCGCCGGGGCGGGCGGCGGGCCTGGCGCGCCCGCGCTCTCGGGCCGGCGGCATGGCCAGCATCACGCAGCTGTTCGACGACCTGTGCGAGGCCTTCCTGCCGGCCGCCGAGGCGCGCCTGGGCCAGCGCGACGGCAGCCGCCGGCGGGCGAAGCGCAGCCTCCGGAGGGCGGCGTACGGCGCGCTCTTCCCGCGGCGCCCCCGGGACGCGACGGCCGCGGCCCGGCCCGCGCCCCCGCGGCGCGCGCTGCGCAGCGAGGTGCTCATGCTGTCCTTCGACCTGCGCGTGGGCGGCCGCGGCCCCGAGGCCGACCGGCTGGAGGCGCTGGTGGAGCTGCTGGCCGCGGCGCCGGGCCGCGCGCCCGCCGAGCTGGAGCCGGTGCTGGACCTGCTGGTGCGGCTGGCGGGGAGCGGCCCGCCCCCGGCGCGCCCGCCCGGCCGCGGCTACGCCTTCCACAGCAGGCTCGTCGGCAGGCGCGTCCCCTACGGCGGCTACGACTGCGCCGGCCTGAGCGGGTGCGAGAGGGACGTGCGGTCCCTGCTGTCCAGAGAGGAGGGTCTGTGCCGGGACGCGATCCAGAAGACGCTGCAGGTGATGGAGGCGGCCCCGGGCACCGGCCTGCCGGCCGTCGGGCGCTTCTTGGCGGGCGACCCCTGCGGCGACAGGTTCGAGAGAGACACCCGGCTCTCCCTCTTCGGCGCCCTCGTGCACAGCCGCGCGTGGGACATGGACGTGCGGCTGGACCTGCCCCCGGTGCCCGCAGGCGCGGCCCTCTCCGGACTGGCCATCAAGGTGGGGTGTTTGCCTCCCGCGTGGCTTTCGGGTAGGAAAAGCTGTCTGGGACCTTTCTTGAATCGCAGTTGGGGGCGGGGGGGGGGCAGCCTGAGCCCGGGGTCTTGGCCAGATTGAGGTGTGGGGAAGCCGGTGTCCCCACCCGAGGCCAGAGCCGTGGCCGCCGTGCACCTCCCACCTCACGCCTGGCGAAGGCACTCATTCTGCCCCTGGAGCGGCCCTAAGCCCCGTGGGCCACCCGCCAAGCACTCCTGCCTGGTGGGCTCATGAGGGGGCTTTGCCTAGTACAGCTCAGGGCATGGGGCCTCTGGCCTGTGTCTTCTTAGTGTCCTTGAGAGAGCCTGGGCGGGCCTACGCCCTTCTGGGGTGCGGAGGTCCTGTCCACACTCCACAACGTTGTGGCGCACAGTTCCCAGCACGTGACACCGTGTCCAGTGTGACCTTGTTAGGTGCGGGTCCCCAGAGTGGGGTTTCCGGGCCAGAGGCATTTTTTGAAAAATGCGTTAGGTGCACCGAGTCCATGTGTTAGGTGAAGTTAGGAGTTGATCATCTTAATGAATGTAATTCTGTGAATGATCCGCTGGGGGTGAGAAAGTTGTGTGGTATGGTGCAGGCTTGAGAGCAAGAGGAGAAGCATTCTAGGTCCTCCCTGAGATGGCGAGCAGACGCGGGGGCTTCCCTGAGGCCCGACCTCAGCGGGGGAGCCTGGGCACAGGCACGTGGGGCTCCTCCTTTCCTGTGGTCCCCAGGTTCCTCGGAGCGTGGATCAGTCGGAAGATGAAGGGTTCCAGTCAGCATCCAACCTGACGCCTGACTCCCAGTCCGAGCTGGGCCTGACCCCCGACGTGGACCTGTGGGACGCCGTGCTCACCTACAGGGCCAGCAAGCGGAGGTGCTGGGAGCAGGTTGGCTGGTACGTGAGTCTTTTCCTATAAGTCATCCCTGCCCTTGGAGGAACGAGGTCCTGCTCAGAAGAGCTGTGAAGTTTGTGCCCCTTTCGGCATAAGCGTGGGTGCTGGTGCCAGCCTGGACCGCTGCGAGAGCGAGGACCCCTGCTGGGGCTCTGGGACATTTCTGCCCCCGTCCGGGGTGGGTGGTCCCAGCTGTGCGCACCATGTGCCGGGAAGCTGGCGGTTGCTTGGGGTCCACAGTGGTGTGTTTCCGCTGTGCCTTCTGGGTCGCCCTTGCTTCCCTGTCACTGCTCTCAGCCTCTGCTCTGCCCACGCAGCCCCCCGGGCCACAGAGAGGAGCCCTACCTCACCGAGGCGGGAAGGGATGCCTTCGACAGGTTCTGCAGGCTCCGCCAAGGGGAGCTGCAGGTGCTCGGTGGAGGCCTCCTGCAGACCCCGCAGCCGGCGCTGCTGAAGGAGTGCGAGCTGGTGAAAGACGCGCTCAACGTCCTGATCGGGGTGGTGTCCACCACCTTCTCCCTCTGCCAGGTGAGGCGGTGCGCACGGCCTGCGCACACCCACCCGGCGCTGGGCCTTCCCAGGGCAGGGTGCAGCCTGGGCCTAAGTTAAGCAAGTGGGGCCTGTGTCTGGTTCGTGGCCTGGAAGGGAAGCCGCTCGGTCTGTAGCGCGGCCTTTGTGACGCCGAGCTGGCCCTGCCTCGCGTTTGTATCCGGGGCGCTGAAGCTCATCACCCGCTTTCTCTGCACCCGTTGAAGTCGTCCTGTTCTTCTCGCCTGCGCTTCTTTCGCTGTGGTGTGTCGCATCACTTTTGTGTGCGAGCGGCCCCCTGGACGGTCCCAGGGGTTGGGACGTGCGGGCGTCATGCCGGGACGTGGAGGCTGAGCTGCCCTCGGTGTTCCCCGGGCGTGCAGCACGGTGACTTCCTCTCGTCTGGCGGGCTGCGGGGTGAGGGGCGCTGGGGTCACACTGTTTGGGAAGTGTTCCTGCTTCTTGGGCCTTTGCTCGGCCTGTGAGTGGGATGAGCTTATGTTCTTCAGAGGTTCGGGCACGACTGTTCGCAAAGACATTTGGCCCCGCACTTCTGTGGTGGGGGATGCTTGTAATTGCTGTGAAGTCCGCTGTTAATGACTTGATCGCTATGAGATCCAGTGCTTGCGGTCAGTTCATTCAACTTCTGTTTCTCCCCAGTTTACTCTCGGTAAACTGTACTGATTTTCAGGATCGTCGAATTTACTGGCGTTTACCTGTTGACGTGCTCTCTTAGATCCCTGCGTTTCGGTGCCATCTGTGGTAATTCCTCCTCTTTCGTGTGCGATTCTGTTTATTAATGTTGTCTCTCGTTTCGTTGCTAGCCTGCCTGCAGGTTTGTTTGCTATATCTTCTCGACGAACAGGTGCTTTTTTCCTTTGAATAACTAATTTTTTTTTAGAGGCACGTAGACGGTACAGAAAGTAAGTATCCAGTCAGATTTTAACTCCCGCCAAGTAGACTCCATCCTCGAATTGTTCCATTACGTTCTGGTCTCTAAACATTTCAAACCCACAGTCATCTTCGTCCGAGTACTTCCCTCCTGTTGAATTTAACTGCTGTCTTCTTCTCTGTTGTTGACTGACTTTTTCAAGGGTTCCCGTTAACTCTTGTTCTGTGTGTTCTCAGCCGCCCATATCTTGCCACCTGCCCGAGGTGCTTCGCTTCTGCTTCTGTTTCTTCGGGCTTTACAAGTGCTATGTCGCTTCCCCGAGCCTGGGCTGATCCTGAACTGGGGCCAAGATACTGCTTCTCATTTTCTGCTTTTCTGCGCTTTGCTTCCTGTTCTGCTGCGTCTCCAGGAGCCCAGCCAGCCTCTGCCTACGCACTGCTGCCAGCTCCCCTTCCGCCAGGGTTCGGGCCGGGGTGCAGCAGCAGTCATGGCCCGCTCGGGGAGCTTCAACTCTTACTTTGGTTGAGCTTCTGTATAGTCCTTTAAATCTCTGTTTATTTCAACTCTCATTTTCATTATTTCTTTTAATTACTTTTCTTTTTTAAAGGTTTACTTATTTACGCATGTAAGAACTGGGGTACAGGCCAGATGTGCGGGAGGGTGAGAGGACTCACCAGAGACAGAGCGGGGAGCAGAACAGGCAGACTGACTGAAACACTGCTGAGGGGAGCAGCGGGCGATTCAGGAGAGGTCTGCGGCGCCCCTGGCCGGCTGGGCATCGAACTCGTGCTGCAGAGGCTGCGGATTGCTTCATAGTGCGGTGCTTAACCCCTTGCGCCACCAGGGAGGCCCTCCTTCGACTTACTTTGGGTCTTGTTTGTTTCTAAGTTGCTTTATGTATGGTATTAAATGTGCTTGTTTGGGAGTTTTTATTTCTGTGAGTAATTCTGTATTTCTTTCACTCTTTTGTATTTTGGGGCACCAGTATTTGGCGCACTTATATTTATAAGTGTTATTTTTTGTAGTTGATTTAGGCCCCTAATCATTCTGTAATGTGTTTTTATCTCATAGTTTTTTTTGTAATTGAAAGTTTTTTTTAGCCTCGGTGTAGTTTTTCCTGCTTTATTTATTTATTTAAAAAAATATTTATTTATTTATGCACACAAGAGCTGAGGTACAGGCCAGAGGTGCAGGGGGCGAGAGGACTCCCCAGACACAGAGTGGGGAACAGAACAGGCAGATCCACTGAAACCCACTGCTGAGGGGAGCAGCGGGGAGACCGGAGAGGTCTGCTGCGCCCTGTGGGTAGCTCCCTGGCTGGGGATCAAACTCATGCTGCAGTGGCTGTGGACAGCTTCATAGGTTGTGTCTTAACCCCTTGCGCCACCAGGGAGGCCCCTTTTATAGTAGTTTTGAATTTGGTGATAGGATTTTCCAGATCCATTAGTCCTGGTTGTAACACTCTCCTGTTCTCCTCCTCTTTATTTTGTTCCTTTTTACATCATCCTTTTTTTTTTTTAAAGATTTATTTACACAAGCACTGGGTACAGTCAGAAGCGCGGGAGGGTGAGAGAATTCACCAGAGCCAGAGCGGGGAGCAGAGCAGGCAGAAGGACCGAAGGACACTGCTGAGGGGAGCAGCGGGCGGCAGGAGAGGTCTGCGCGCCATGCGGGACCCTCCTCCGGTGGCCGGGGAGCAGCCGGGGATCGAACCGGCGCTGCAGAGGCTGCGGGCAGCTTCGCAACCCGCAGGTCACCCCAGGCTGTGCTCAACCACTGCACCCCCAGGGAGGCCCCCCCTTTTTTTTTTTTAACGTTCAGTTAAACATTGTTAGAACTGCTGCTCTGAACGCCTCTTAGTCAAGTTCTGCCGGCCTGTGATTTCTCTTGGGGTTTTTTCTTTGCTCTAGAATTTGTGATTTTTTTGTCTTATTTTTAGGTTTTATGGGTTGTGGCAGGGGTAGACTTGGACTGCTGCCTTTGCATCTCTCCAGGTAACCAGGAACTGGTCCTCACGAGGGGCAGCACGCCTGGAGAAACCAGTGCTGTAGACACTGAAAGTTCACCTCAGTGAGCATCGAAGGGTCAAGCTTCCTAGTGTGCTCTTGGCACCAGAGTGGTTTGGTGGGGAGCCACGTGGTCAGCCTTTCTAGGCTGCCGCCTCGGCTAAAATGCCTGGTGTAAGGTTTAGTGGGTTATTTTTGTGGGTCTGGAAATGCTAAAATTTTTTCTCATGTAAATTGATGGTGACAGCAACCGAAGACCTAAAAATAACCTATCAAATAGGAGCATGCTCCTCTTGGGTAGCTGGGTAACTTACCCCACTGCTCGGTTTACTGTAGCTTTGTAGTCAGTCGTGAGCTTTTAAAGTATGAGTTCTCCAACTTTTTCTTCTTTTCCAAGATTGTTTGCTTGTTCAGGGTCCCTTGGCGTTGAAAATAAATTTTAGGATTTCTTTTTCTGCAAAAAACCCAGGGCCTGCGCTCAGCCTGGCGGCCTGTCACGCAGCATGTTGCCTCCGTGCACCAGCCGCTGCAGGCTGAGCGCCCGCGTCTTCCCAGTGTGTTTGAAGCCCTTTACACAGCGACCAGTGCTTCTGTGGTTTACAGTTTTCACTGTAATCTTTTCCCTTCTTGGTTTAGCTTGTTCCGAAGTATCTTATTTCTGCGTTGCTATTGCAGTGGAACTGCTTTCCTGATTTCCTTTCAGCGCTCTCTTTGCTGGTTTACGGAAATTCGGCTGATGTTTGTGTTGATTTTATAGTTTGCAACTTCGCTGAATTTATTCTGCTGGTATCTTTGGTGGATTCTTCGGGTTTCTCCGTCATATAAGGCTGTCACCTGCAAATAGGTCGTTTTCCTTTTCACTTTGGATGCCTTTTCCTTCTTTTTTCTCGCCTAATTGCTCTGACTGGTACTGTTTTGAACAAAAATGTTTAAAACGGGCATCTTTGCTTCTAAGATCCTAGGGGGAGATTTTCTGCCTTTCACCCTGGAGTAGGCCCGGCTCGTGCATTTTCCCTGTGTGGCCGTGGTCACGCGCACGAGGAGGCCCCTGCCGGGGCGGGCTGAGCGCTTTGGTGACGAAAGCGGGGTACAGTCTGTCAGATGCTTCTCTCCTTGCATCGGTCAAGCTAAGACTTGGTCTCGCCTTTCTTCTGTGACTGTGATCCATAGCCTGGGGTGACCTCGCATGGCGGCGCCTCCGTGTTGCTTTCGGGAGGCCTGTGGGACCCGTAGTTTTCTTTCCCCGTGATGTCTTCGTCTTGCTCTGGGCTCAAGGTCATACTGGTCTCTTAGAGTAGGGCAGGCCCGTGTGGAAGGCTGCGGCCTCAGTGACCAGTCCTCCACCTTCCCAGCTGACCCAGGTCTTCGTGGTGAAGCAGGGCGTGCACGTCTCGGGCGCATCCCCTGAGAGCACCAGCAGCCTCCTCTCGGAGCTGGCCGAGCACGGGACCTACTACGCCCGCCTGAGCCACTTCTCTGTGCAGCCGGCGCTGGACACCGCGTGTAGCAGGGGCCTCGTGTTCCAGGTGCGCCTCCCTCTGCTGCCACAGCCCAGGAGCCTGCGCGCCTGGAAGGCAGCCCCAGGCACCCCACCTTTGTCTCTGCGGGCACACCCCGGAGTGACCCTGGCTGTGCCGCCCGCGAACCGCCGCCTGTCCTGAGTCCCCGAGCACTGCCCTGCCAACAGTGCGCCCCTCACTGGAGGGGTAGAAGGTCCAGGGGTCACTGGGCCAGGCTTGCCCAGAGAGTTCCCCGGTTGGCCCGTCTGCTCCCCCAGACTCGTGGTGTGGTCCTGGGGCCGTCCCACCCCCCGGCAGCACTGGGGCGAGTGAGCAGGCGCCTCAGCAGGGGCCCTTTGGTGCAGGTGGGGGTTCGGGTTGGGATGTCAGGCTGGGCCTGTGGGGGCCAGGGTGATGGCTCTGGCGAGGCCTGGGGGCCGTGCAGGGCAGCTTGTTGGAGGGCGTTCTGGGTGGGCTGTGTGTTGGGGAGCCTGTCTGAGCCTCCCTGACGAAGCCCTCTAGCCCCAGCAGCCACATTCCTGGTGCAGCCCATGGAGGCTGCAGGGGTTGGGCTTGGAAGGGTCCCTGCCTTCGGCTGGGCCGGGGTGCTGGGCCGGACCCACAGAGGGGTACCCTGGGGAGTGGCCCCTGGGGTGGAGGCTGGCCCTTCCCAGCACAGGCTCGGGCCTGGGTCTCCCCAGCGTGCTCCCCCGCCCCTCCCCACAGGCCTTCACCAGTGGCCTGCGGCGCTACCTGCAGTACTACCGGGCCTGCGTGCTCGCCACGCAGCCCACGCTCAGCCTGCTCGCGCTCAGCTTTCTCTTCAAGAGGCTGGGCCGGCAGCTCAGGTGAGCCTCGGCCCGTGGGAGCAGCCCTCCTGGTGGGGTCTTGGGGGTGTGGGTGCCATCCAGGCCCGCAGGCTCCTGGAGACTCCGCCCCTCCCCCAGCCGGCTCTGAGCCACCGGGCGTCCGCAGGTGCCCTGGGCAGGTGGGCCCGGCCGGAGGGGAGCCCTTCTGGGCCCAGGGGCTGCGGGGTGCCTCAGGGAAGCGGGAGCCTGAGGAGCGTAAAGGGGCCGGGCCTTGGGGCCTCCAGGGTGGGGGGTTTCCCTAGGCCACAACCGCCTGCACTCGGGGCCTGGGGACGGGTCTGGAGAGGCCTGCGGGCTGGCCTTGGGGCCCTCTGGCCCGGACGCCCCTCCCGCCCCCCCGCAGGCCCCCGGTGCCAGCGGGTCTGACAGGCTGTGTGTCCAGGTACCTGGCCGAGCTCTGTGGGGTGGGTGCCGTGCCTCCGGGAGCCGGCGGAGAAGAGCCTCGGGCTGCGTTCCCCAGCGTGAGTCCAGCTTGCAGGTTGGGGGGGGGGTGGTTCAGGGGTCCCCCCGGAGCTGGTGGTCCAAGCCCCTCCCTGTGTCTCCAGGGGGTGAAGCTGCTGTCCTACCTCTACCAGGAGGCTCTGGACAACTGCAGCAACGAGCACTACCCGGTGCTGCTGTCCCTGCTGAAGACCAGCTGCGAGCCCTACACGCGGTGCGGGCCGGGTGGGGCCGGGCGGGGTGTCGGTGGGGCGGGGCCGGGGCCAGGCCACCCTCATGCTCGGGCCCGCCCGCAGCTTCATCCACGACTGGGTGTACAGCGGGGTGTTCAGGGACCTCTACGGCGAGTTCATGATCCAGGTGAACCACGAGTACCTGGGCTTCAGAGGTAGGTGGCTCCGGGCGGGCCCCGGCAGCATGCGGCGCGGCTGGGGCAGGACGCAGGCCAGCGTGTCCTGTCCTCGCAGACAAATCCTACTGGACGCGCGGCTACGTGCTCCTGGCCGAGGCGGCGGCGGACGGCGTGCCCGCCTTCCTCAGGCACGTGGCCCAGGACGTGTACGTGTGCGGCAAGACGGTCAACCTGCTGAGGCTCTGCTGCCCGCGGGTGAGGCCCTGGGGCGGCCAGTCGCCCCGTGTCCCTTGGTGGCTCCTGAGTTTCGGGGCGCCTTCAGAGGTGGGAGAAAAGCTGAAGGTCCTCAGGACCCCAGGGCCCGCGGGCTCCCCTGCGCGGGGAAACGCCCTGTGGGGGGCGCTGGTTTAGGGGCTTTGCTCCTCTGGCCTGAGGAGTGGGGCCTGGTGGGTGTTGCTGGGCAGCTGCCCCGTACGTGGGGGTCCGCGCGCGGCCGAGGGTCCTGGGTCGGGCTGAAGAGGGAGAGTCACGGCTTCCCAGGCTCAGGCAGCTCTCGCCCAGCAGCATTACCTGTGCTGGTCCGACGTGCCCGTGCCCCCCATCTCCGTGACCTTCTCCCTGGAGGAGCTGAGGCGGGTGGAGCAGGAGTGCGCCATCTACGTGGGCCGCGTGGAGAGGGCGGCTCGCCTCAGCTGTGTCAGCAAAGAGGAGAAGGTGCCGGTGCCTCTGGGCTGCGGGGTGGCCCCCTGGCTCCTGCGTCCTGGGAGCGCCTGTGCGGGGCGGGGCCTCTGTGGTCTTCTTGGGCTGGCGCTGGCCAGGCTTGGCTCGGGCCGTCCGTGGCTTCGGCTCGCAAGACCCCATCACTGCCCCGGGTGGCCCCGGCCGCTGACCTCCCTCTCAGAGGGGTGGGGGTGCCACTGTGCAGGGGGGCTGACTGCGGGCGCTGTGGATCCCGCCCTGCCCCGCTGGGCTGCGGGTGGACCGCCTGGGGGCGGGCCTGAGGGGAGGGGGGCCCTCAGGCCCCGGGCTACTCAGAACGGACAGCCTGGCCTCCCTGCGCCAGGGGGAGGAGGGCGGGATTGGGCGCATGTTCACCCTTTGCCTTTCTCAGGAGTTGCGGATGGAAATGGCAAAGCAAGAGCTGATCATCCACGCCCGGGCAGCTGCGTCCAGGGCCCTGCAAGCGCTGAGCGGTGAGTGTGGCGTGGGCCCCGCGCATCTGGGCTGGCCGGGCTCCTGACACCACCCTGGTCCCGGCAGATCAGCAGGCGTCCGAGCGCTCGGCCTTGGATGCGCGGAAGCGAGAGCAGTTTCGGGAGCTGCAGGAGCAGTTTGTGAAGGACCAGGAGGTACGTGGGGCCGCTAGGGGGTGGGGGGCACCCCAGGGTGAGGGTGGGGTGGGCCGTGGGGTCCAGGTCCTGCAGCAGGCGCTGTGTCTTGCAGCGACGCCGGGCGGCCAGACAGGAGCCGGAGAACAACCTCGGCCGTGCCGGCGAGCTGTGGGGCGGTCAGGAGAGGCCGTGGGCCCTGGAGGAGTGGCGGGAGCGGACGGCCAGGTGGGTGGCAGGCCGGGGGCTGGGGCGGCCCATGGATGTGGCATTTTGAGTCCTGTGAATGGGCACTTGGGCGGGGGAGCGGCCGCTGGCCACATGGACCAGGAGGCCCTGGGTGCCCGGCAGGTGCAGGTCAGTGGGCGGGCCGTGACCCTTGTTCTCGGCTCCGTGTGTGAGTGGCCCCGTCTGTTTCCGTGGACTGTGAGCAGCTCGGCAGAGGGCAGCCTTTCCAGGCATCCTCCGGCATCCATCTGGGGTGTCCTCGGCCCTGCCCCTGCACTCCCGCTGGCGGGCACGGAGCTGGCGTGTGGAGGGGGCTCCCTGCTGCCCGCCCACCCCGGGACTGCTGCTGGGGTGCGCCGCTGGCCTTTCTTCTCTAGATCTGGGGTTTGTACTCACAGAGCAGGAGGGGGCCTTGCTTCAGGCCGTGGGGGAGTGCAGTGGCGCTTGTCCAGCAGGTGCCTACCCAGGCGAGGCCTGGTATGCAGGGCAGAGACCTGCAGCACTGCTGGCCATGGCCGACAGGTGGGGTGGGGGCGGCTGTGGTGACTGTGCCCTCCACTCTGGCGCAGGCAGGCGCTGGCCAGCCACTGCGGCGAGCTGTCGGCAGAGGCAGCACGGCGGGAGCAGGTGGCGCTGTGGAGAGTCCAGCGGCTCAGGCTGGCCGGCGCGCGGCGGCGTTTCCTCCTGGACGATGAGGAGCATGTCCAGGTGCTTTGGGGTCCGGCATGGTCCCTCTGGGGCTCAGGGCCTGGCTGTGTCCTGCGCCTTCCACGGTGTGCAGCTGCGGGAGGGAGGGTGGTGGCGCCAGCTGAGGGGCAGCGCCGGGTGCTGCTCAGCCCTCACCACCTGCTTGCTGGGACTCCAGGGGCTGCTGAGGGCCAGGCCTGAGGGGAGGCCCCTGGAGCAGCCTGCCCTCTCCCCAAGTGCAGACTCCCAGGTAGGCTCGGAGCAGCCCGCCCTCCCAAGTGCAGACTCCCAGGTAGGCTCACCGCACCGCAGGGTACGCCCCCGAGGGTCTGGGTGCGGGGCGAGGTGGTCGGGCCCTCAAGGAGGCTGAGGGACAGGCGGGACCAGCAGGCTCTTTTGTGCGTGTTTCAGGGCCTCCCTGTGGGTGCTGGGTCCCCGGCCGCTGGCCACAGCCCAGACACGGCTTGGGATTGCTCGGATCTGCCCCCAGCGCCCGCGCCTGTGACAGCAGGGACCTGCGCCCAGGGCCTGGGGACAGGCCTGAAGCTGGACCAGCCCGAGGGGCAGGCACCTTTCCCAGAGACCCTCAGCATCCAAGACTTTCTGCCTGCAGGAGGGGGCGCTGAGCCCCCCCTGCATGCTGATGGGACCCCCATGCTAGAAGCGGCGCTGCAGACCATCGGCTCGGACCTGCCACCTGCCACCCCGCCCGCCCTGCAGCCCTCTGAACCCCAGGAGTACGACTTCGGAACCGTCTTGAGGCCGGCCGAGGCTGCTACCACCCCTTCCCTGGGGCCCCTGCAGACCGCGGGGGGCAGCGAGGGAGGGCAGCCTGGGGGGCCCTCTCTGGTAGAACTGGACACAGGTGTCCCCAGTGGGCACCGCTGCCCCCTCAGGAATGACCCCTGCCTGGAGGGGAAGAGCCAGACTGCCAGGCTGCTGCCCGGGCCTGTGTCGGACAGCAGCGCCTCCTCCCGGCCCCGGTGGCAGGTCCGTGGGCACGTGTCTGAGGCCAGCGTCAGGGTAGGGGAGAACGTGTGGGATGTGGCCTCCTCCCGGCCCCGGTGGAATGTCCACGGGCACGTGTCTCAGTCCCACGTGGTCCTGGGGGCACTTTCCGGGGAAGCTCAACCCCACGGGCCCCTGCACAAACCCTTCACGCGCCGGAGCCCCCGAGACCGTGTGTGCCCGGAAGCCCAGAGCCCAGCCCAGGAGGCTGACCCAGAGCCTGCTGTCGGTTTGGCTTCTGGTGGCACCGGCTCCCAGGAGGCCGGGCCAGGCCCCGGGGAAGAATGCATCCCGCAGGGCCTGTCCCAGGCTGCGGCCACGCCTGGCGTGCTGGGAGGCACCCCTGGGGAGCCAGGTCAGTGGGCCCAGCGTCTGCAAGGATTTTGTGGGCCCGGGAGGCGGGGGGTGGTGGTGGGAGGATACATCCCATGTCGGGGTGTCAGGACTGGGAGAAGCTGGTCCTGACACCCTCCCCTGTGCTGCTCAGGCCCAGGGACAAGGGACACAGAGGCGCCCTCCCCAAGTCAGGCTCCTGGCACACAGGTAGGATAGCTGCAGCCAGGGCTCGGGAGGGCATGCCTGCTGGCCTCCCGGGTTGGGGAGTACTTGGGGACCCCACCCCCTTGCACCCTCTTCCACCCCAGTGGTGAGAACAAAGTCGTTCTTTGAGGCTGGGTTTTCTTAGCAAGTCACGGTTGCCCAGAGGAGCCCAGGCCTGGAGCAGCAGCAGCAGGAGGAGCAGCAGCAGGAGGCGGCCTGGCGCAGGGAGCAGGCCTACCTGGCAGGCCTGGCCGGGCAGTACTGCCTGGAGCAGTACCCGGACAGCTTCGCGTCCATGTGTGAGTGGGGGCCCCGGTGGGCAGTGGGGCAGACGCAGGGGAGGGGGGATCTACCTGCTCTGCTCTCTCACCGCAGCGGAGCCACCCCTCGCCCGCCTCCTGCACCATGGCCTTCCCCGCGCCTTTGCCCTCCCCGAGGACCCCGGGCACCAGGGGGACCCAGAGGAGACGGCGGCGCAGCTGAGCGAGCTCCTGCCACTGCCCGTGCTCATGAAGCACTCGCTCATGACCCCACTGGCTGCCCAGTGAGTGCCCTGCCCGCCTGCCCGGTGGGTGCCCATCCAGCCCCGAGCCCCACAGCCTGACCCCCCCCACCCCCGGCCGCAGTGTCTCCCTGGTCAACAAGGCGGCCGTGGACCACTTCTTCGTGGACCTGCGCCTGGAGGCGCACCTGGAGGCCCTGCGGCACTTCCTGCTGATGGAGGACGGCGAGTTCGCCCAGTCCCTCAGCGACCTGCTCTTCGAGAAGGTGACGTGGGCAAAGGGCTGGCTGGCTGGGGGGCAGGCGGGGGCCCGGGAGGGCCGTGGCTCACCAGGCCCTGCCATCCAGCAGCTGGGGGCGGGGCAGACGCCGGGGGAGCTGCTCACCCCACTGGCACTCAACGGGCTGCTGAGCAAGGCGCTGCAGTACAGCTTGCATGGGCATGGCCCGCTGGCCGCCAGGCTCTCCTTCGCCCTCAAGTTCCTGCCTGAGGCCTTCACACCCAACGCGCCGGACGTGCTGAGCTGCCTGGAGCTCAGATACAAGGTCAGGGGCTACGGGGGCGGCGGGGGGGGCGGGGGGCCGGGCCAGGCCGAGCTGCGCCTAGCAGTGCGTCCCGCAGGTCGACTGGCCTCTCAACATCGTCATCACCGAGGGCTGCCTGAGCAGGTACAGCGGCATCTGCTCCTTCCTGCTGCAGCTGAAGCTCATGATGTGGACGCTCAAGGACATCTGCTTCCACCTCAAGCGCACAGGTGAGGCCGGCCCCTCCGCCTCGCCCCCCCCCCGGCCCCCCCCCCCCCCCCCGCCCGCCCCTCACGGTCCCGTCCCCCAGCGCTGGTGAGCCAGGTGGCCGGCTCGGTGCAGTTCCGCCAGCTGCAGCTGTTCAAGCACGAGATGCAGCACTTCGTCAAAGTCATCCAGGGCTACATCGCCAACCAGATCCTGCACGTCACCTGGTGCGAGTTCCGGGCCCGGCTGGCCCGGGCGGGCGACCTGGAGGAGGTGCAGCGCGCCCACGCCGAGTACCTGCACCGGGCCGTGTTCAGGTGAGCGGGCGCGGGCCGTGGCGGGCCGGCGGCCCCGGAGCTGCTGCCCCTCACGGCCCTCCTCCCCAGGGGCCTGCTGACGGAGAAGGCGGCGCCCGTCATGAACGTCATCCACAGCATCTTCAGCCTCGTGCTCAAGTTCCGCAGCCAGCTCATCTCCCAGCCCTGGGGCCCCGCCCGCGGCCCCCGTGGCGCCGAGCACCCCAACTTCGCCCTCATGCAGCAGTCCTACAGCACCTTCAAGTACTACTCCCACTTCCTCTTCAAAGGTGAGCACCCCGGCGGCGGCGGGCGGGCGGGCGCGTGGGGAGTGCAGCTCACTGACCCCCGCCACCCCCCCAGTGGTGACCAAGCTGGTGAACCGAGGCTACCAGCCCCACCTGGAGGACTTCCTGCTGCGCATCAACTTCAACAACTACTACCAGGAGGCCTGACCACGGCGGGCGGGCGGGGCCAATAAAGGGCCTGCTGGCCGGTGCCTCTCCTCCTGGGCCTTGCGTGGCAAGTGACCACACGGCGGGCTGGGGGAGCTGCGGGTTTATTAGGGGATCTACCCAGGGTGGGAGCAGTGAGGCGGGGGGGGGGGGGGGTGAGCGTGAGCGGGCAGTGCTGGGAGTCTGCGTCAGACAGAGACGGGTCAGGCCCTGACTGGATGTCTCTGCCGTCATGGAGAGGCGGGCCGGCGGCGTGGGGGCACCGCCTCGGGGACTCCAAGGTTGCAGGCCCCGGGGGTCTCCGGCGGGAGGCCTCTGAGGCGACTATGAGGATCATGTCACGCAGAGCTCGGCAGCCCAGAGGGGGGGCTTGCTGCTGTCGGCGTCTGGCTCGACGGCCCCCTCCTCCCCATGGTAAGGGGTCTCCAGTAGCTTCAGCAGCCGCCGCACCTGCAAGGAGCCAGATGGAGGGCGTCGGGCAGGCTGTCCCGCCCAGGCCAGCAGGCGCGGGCCCCGGGGCGGCCCAGGGTGCTTGCCTCAGAGAAGTCGTCCCGCTCGGCGGCCTCGATGGCGCGCTGGGCCAGGTGGTTCCGCAGCACGTACCTGGGGTTGCTGGCGCGCATGACACGTACCCGCTCGGCCTGCCAGGCCTCCTTGCTGCTGGCCCCCTCGCGGTCCTGCTCCAGCCGGGCCCTTGGAGTCACACCCAAGCCCCCTGTCAGCAAGGCCCGCCCCTCTGCCCCGGCCCTCCCAGCCCCCCCACCCTGCTGGCCCCTCACCTGTACTCGCCCAGCCAGGCCGTCCAGTGGGCCTCGTTCCTGCTCAGCAGCTCAGCCGGGTTCAGCTGCTCCAGCCGGGACAGCTGCTCTGCACGCTCCAGCTCCCTGGCAAGGCCCTCCCGGCTGCCCAGGAGTGCCAGGAGCTGCGGGTTCGACTGGGCCAGCGCCAGCATCATGGAGAGCTGCCTGTGCCAGGCCCCGGTGTGAGGTGCCTGAGCGCGTGGGCACCTCGAGTAGACACTACCCAGCCCTGTCGTTTCTCTGCTCAGGCAGGCGCCAGCTTCCGCTGAGATCAGCGTCACCTCCCTGGCCCCCCCCAGGGGGCCCTGCTCAGTGTCCACTCAAGTCTTAGGAACCAGCCCCCCAGCCTACAGGCCCCGAAGCTGTCCAGAGCAGGGACCTGGGCCAACTAACCCCCTCCCAATAGTGCCACCCCTGGGCAGGCGGGCTGTGCAGTGTGGGGTCCCCAGGTACCCACCGGGGGTCCATCTGGGGCCGGAAGGCGAGCCGCAGCTCCTCCAGGGAGGCGCACTGCTCCGCCAGCGCGGCCAGGAACTCGGCGAGGCCTGCAGGCTCCGAGTCGGCCGGGAAGGCGCTCAGCAGGAAGAAGGTATTGGTGAAGTCGGCTCCTGGAACAGGCACGCTCAGCCTGGCCGCCCCCTGGCCCTACTGCTGCGTCCCTGCGCTGACCCCACCCGTGCGGCAGGCACCCCGTGCCCAGCCCCTGCCCCACCATGGGCGGGCAGAGACGGCACTGGGGCCGGCCCGGCCCTCCTGGCCACCTCCCGACCACGCGCCTGCTCTGGGGCCGCCCCACCAGCTTTGCCGTGGCCCGAGACTCCCTGGCACACAAGGGGGCAGCTGCTGCGGGGCCGGAGGAGGGGAAGCGTCTCCCTCCGTGGTGTCCTCGGGGATTAGCGTCTGACCTGAGGGCAGAGGCTGGCAGAGGAGGCAGCCAGGACCCAGGTCTACGCAATACAAGACGTGCTTTTGTCTGGGGGAACACGTGACCGCAGCACCCAAGGTGCCAGCTCCTTGCTGAAACCCAGCAGAGAGAGATTGTCTGCTGCCCAGCCCGGGGCCACCAGCACTTGCCGCTTAACTGACCGTGGCCGGGCTCGAAGGCAGGAAGCTGCAGCCCAAAATGGGCACCGGAGGGAACGTTCCCCCAGCGGTGAACTGCCCAGCTCGGACAAGAGGCGCTCGCGGCTCGGCCCTGATCGCCCACTTCCACCACAGCGTTGCCAGCCAAGACCAGGGGAGGAGCAGGCCCTGGGCCTGGCCACAGGGGGCTCCATGCTGTGGACATGGCTCAGCCCCGAAGAAGAGGCCTGGGGGCTGCCTGCCACGGGTGGACGCTGAGGCGGACACGGACGGTGCCCTGGGGCCCACGTGGAGCCTTGGGGCTGTTGTAGCGCAGCAGCTGCGGAGCCACCACAGCGAGTTGCCCTGGAGGCCAACGTCGCCCTCCCGTTTCCTGCCCAGGGCGAGCCGAGGCCCACTGACCGGTCAGGTGCATGGTCTCCAGGAGCCCGGCCACCAGGGCGCCGTCGGCCTCCAGTGCCGTCCGCACCAGGCCCAGCTTCCGGCGCATCTTCTGCAGGTAGTGTCGGCGGAACTCGGCGTCGAACTCCTCCTCCAGGACGGCCCGGCCCAGCGCCGCGGGCAGCTCGGGCTCCAGGGCCTCCGCCAGCTTCTGCAGGTTCCAGCGGCACACGGCCGGCTGCTTGCCGAAGGCGTAGCGCCCCGCGCTGTCCGAGGCGTTGCACACGTGCTCGGGGTCGTACCTGGCGGGGAGAGTCTCTGGCTGCTGGGCCGCCGCAGCCCTCCAGCCGGTGGCGGCGGCCCTTGGAAAGCGCCGCGGCCCTGCCCGGCCCCAGGGGGCGCGCACCTGTCCATGAAGCCGAAGGGCCCGTAGTCCAGGGTGAGCCCCACGATGCTCATGTTGTCCGTGTTGAGCACGCCGTGGCAGAAGCCGACACACTGCCACTCGGCCACCAGCCGGGCCGTGCGCCGCGTCACCTGGGGGTGCCCGCCCCGCCGAGGTCAGACCCGGCCCCATGGGCCCCGACCCGCGCCGGCAGGCAGCAGGCAGGGGAGGGGTTGAGGAAGAGGAACGCCCCGCAGGCTCCTTCCCGCACCCCACCTCGCGGAAGAAGGCCACGTTCCTCTGCACGCGGTCGCCGGGGTGCGCGGCCTGGACCTCGGGGTAGAAGGAGCCGATCACGTAGTCCAGCATCTGCGCCCGGATGTCGTCCCTCCCGACGCTGGGGCCAGCCCGGCCCGTGAGCTCGTCCGCGGGCTTGAAGATCTCAAAGGACCCGAACCTGGCGCCGGGATGGCGGCCACTTAGCCCCATGCGCTCCCCCGCTCGGAGGCCCCTCAGAGACCCTGCCGGCCCCCGGGCTGGCGTCCTCCGCCGCAGGCAGGGCTGCCAGGACACGGCCCGGGGCACCAGTCACCCCCGCGGCAAGGGCCCTGGTCCAGGTCCTCTTGGGGTCACCGCGGAGACGCCGGCGCCCCCTCCCCAGGGCGGGCTGTCTGCGTGCCCCGCCCGGCCGGTCAGCTGGCCACGGGCAGAAGCGCCGCGAGGCCCACAGGGCCGCCCCGCCAGGACACGCACCTGAGGAAGGTGGGCGCCATGCGCAGCACCACGGCGCAGCGCTCGAGCCTGGGGTTGCCGTCGTAGAGCACGTCCCGCTCCACCGTGTCCTGGGACACCACGCAGGCGGCCGCGCGCGTGCTGGGGACGCCCAGGTGGAACATGGCCTCGCTGCACAGCAGCTCCCGGACGCTCGAGCGCAGCACCTTGCGGCCGTCCGCCTGCCTGCGAGAGACGGGCCGCGCCCGGTCTGTCCGGGCGGCCTCGGCGCCTCCGACCACGGCCGCCCCACGTCCTCCTCCCAAGGGGCTCTGCCGCGCGCCACCAGGCCGGCCGCAGGGCCGGCTCCCTCCGTCCTCGGTGGCTTCCCCCCCGGCCACCGCTCGCAGGGTGGCAAGGCCCCCTCGGACGCCCCCACCCCGCCGCGGGCTCCTCCGACCTCCTGGCTGCCCCGCGCCTCATCTCCGGGCTTTCCGGCCTCCACGTTCGTCTGGGGAAAGCGCCGTCCCCGCGCGGCTATCTGTCCTCAGGCGCCACCCTCCCCTGGCCACGGGACCCCTTGGCCCGGCTGGACTTAGCCCGCTCGGCAGGACGCAGACTGGCCACGCCAGCTCCCGGGGCAGCAGCAAGGATCCAGCCGGGCGGCTGCGGCGCAAAGCGGGGCCGGGGGCATCACCCCTCGTGCACACCCCACTCCCGGCTGGGCCACGGGGGCCCGGCTGAGGACGAGTGACGGCGCCGGCCAGGAGGGCCCGGCTCGGGCCGTGAAGTGCAGGAGCCACCCCCGGCCGGACGCCCCTCTCCGGAGTCCGTCTCTGGGGCAGGGCCCCGCCGGGCGCCGGCCCCCGGGCGGCAGCGGCTTTTCCTGACTCGGGACCCTCCTCAGACGCGCCGGGAGGCCGGGGAAGGCGGCGGCGGGAGGGCGCCGCCCGCGAGCGCCACCCTCGGCCGGGGAGGCCCCCAGGGCAGGCCCGGGGGGGGGGCGAGCCCGGGGACCTTCTGGGGGGCGGGGCGGCCGGCCGGGCCCCCCGCGGGCGCCGCGCCCCGGAACTTCCAGAAGCTCGGCGGCCCGCCCGCGGCGCGCACCTGGAGTAGGGCGTGGGGCCCGCGCCCTTGAGCTGCAGCTCCCAGCGCTCGCCGGCCGCCGTGCACGCCTCGCCCAGGTACATGGCGGCGCCGTCGCCCAGCTGCCCGGCGAACCGGCCGAACTGGTGGCCGCAGTAGCAGTGCGCGGCGGGCTCGGCGCCCGGCAGCAGCGCGTTGCCGCTGAGGAAGAGCGCGGCCTCCGCCTCGCGCGCCGCCCGGGCCGCGGCGTCGGCGGGCGGCGCGCCCAGCCCCAGGCGCGCCAGCGCGGGCTCCGACAGCGCCACGACGCGCGGCCGGCGCAGGGGCGCGGGGCGCGCGCGGCTGAAGCAGGCCCCGGGCACGGGCCGCGGCGCGGTCGGGGCGCCCGCGGGGCCGGGCGGCGGCGTCTCCAGCGGCAGCTCGCGCAGCGCGCGGTTGTCGAAGCGCAGCCCCGCCAGCCAGCGCGGCGCCGGCTCCATGGCGCCGCGGGCGGCGGCCGAGGCGGGGCGGGGCGCGGCGGGCGGGCGGCGGCCGAGGGAACGGGCGAGCGCGAGCGCCGTCCTGAAGGCGGCCATCCGCGGCGGCGGCCTCCCTCTCCCGCGGCGCGCCGCCCGGCCGGAAGCCGGCCCGCCCCGACCGGAAGCCGCGCCTCCCCGGCCCGCCGTCGGCCGCCCCGACCGGAAGCCGGCCCGCCCCGACCGGAAGCCGGCCGTCCGCCGCGCGCTTCGCGCCCGAGGGGCCTTGACGGCCGCCCCGCCCCGCGGCGGGGTGGGCCCGGGTGGGCCGGGCCGGGAGCGGCCAGCGCCGGCCTCGGTGCGTGGAGGCGCGGGCGTCGGGGAGGGCCGGCTTCGGGGAGCGCCCGCCCTGGGCCGGCCCGCGGCCCCCCGCGCACCCCCCCCCCAGCCCGTCCGCCGCGCAGGGCCCCGGGAGCACCCCCCGCGGGCCGCCCCCCGCCCGGCCGGCCGGGCGCCCCGTCCCGCTCCCGCGGCGGAGTCCACGCGGCACACGACGCGGCACACGACGCGGCTGCCGGGCGACAGTTTATTCCCAGTTCCGGGGACCACACTCTGGGCGGGCGGGCGCTGTCCGGGCTCGTCCCGCCCGCAGTTAAGGCTCCGGGCCCGGCCGCGCGCGTCTGTCAATTTCTTAAGTTAAAATTACCTGAGTAAAAAACTTCAGACATTTTTAAAAGCCAACGGGCCCGCGCGGGCGGCGGCGGGCGGCGGCGGCGGGCGGGCCGGGCCGGGGCGGGCCGGGGCGGGCCGGGGCGGGCCGGGCCGGCTACTCGGGCGGCCGCGCCTCGGACGCGCGCTGCAGGCAGAGCTGGGCGGCGGGCAGCGACAGGACCAGGCGGGCGGCGCGGCGGCCCATCCAGAACAGGCCGTAGCCCAGCAGGCCCAGGGCGGCAGCCTTCGCGGCCAGGCGGGACACCCTGCCGGAGACGGACGGCGGGGGCACGCTGGGAGCCGGGGCGGCTGGGGGCGGCCGGGGGCGGCCCGCGGCCCCCCGCGCCCCCCGCGCCCGCCGGCACTCACGTCATGATCTCCTGCACGTCCAGCTCGGCCGTCCAGTTCTTCTCGATGCCGGGCACGTGGCCCATGCCCACGACGCCCACCACCACGGCGGGCACGCTCTGGCGGGGCTCGGCTGCGGGGGCAGCGGCGTCAGCGCGGGGCCCGGCCCCGCCCCCCCCGCCCCCCGCCCCCGCCCCGGGGCGGCCGTCACCGTCGGAGGCGCGGGGCAGCTCGAGGCGCCGGGCGGCCTGGCGCAGCATGTAGGTCAGGTAGACGTCGCGCTCCGAGACGATGGTGCGGTGCAGGTCGGGGAACTCGCCGATCATCTCCGCCATCATCTGCTCCAGCAGGTCCTTCTGCTTGCAGCGCTCCACGTCGTCCTTGCTGGGCAGAGGGCGCTGCCAGTCCGGGGCGGGGCGGGGCCGTGGGGAGGGGCCGGGCGCGCGAGGGGCGGGGCGGGCGGGCGGGCGGGGCCGCAGGGCGAGCCCTACCTGATGGGGTCTGACAGGAAGCACAGGCCCCAGGCCAGCTTCACCTTCTGCCAGAAGGACAGCGCCGCGATGGCCCTCTTGAAGGTCACGGGGATGGGCCGGTCGCCCAGGTGGAACTTGCAGAAAGGCACCTTGCTGGCCTGGGGCAGAGGGGGTGTCACCGGGGTGTCGAGCACCCGCGGCCCCCCCGGGCGCCCGGCCCGCCGAGCCCGGCCCACCTCCTTGAAGGCCTCCCTGAATTCGCCGCCGGGCGCCATGCCCAGCTGCTCCGTGATGTGGGCGGACACCTTCAGCAGCAGCATCTGCATGAGCCCCGACATGACCCCGTTCTGCAGGACAGGGCCCTCTCAGCCCGAGCGGTGGCCAGTCCTGCCCCGGAGGGCATGGCTGGCCTGCCAGGCTGACCCCCAGGCAGGCGGAGTGAGGTCCCACCAGTGCAGGCCTCCAAGTGGGCGCCCACAGCATAGGGGCTCCCGCGGCCATGCAGACCCCCCAGGCAAACAGTCATGCTCTGGCCACGTGGCCTCGGCCCCCTCCAGCCGGACCCCACGTTCTCTGCCCACGTGCCCCTGCAGGCCAGCGAGTGGGCCTTGACTTGGGGCTCTCGACCTCCCACCCGGCGGTGCTCAGGGCCAGCACCGCCCGCCCGCCGGCGCACCTGCCTCACGGCCTGCCGCAGCTTCTCCAGGCTGAGCTCCTTGGCCTCCCGCAGCAGCGTGCGCTCGTCCATCTTGAGCATGGACACGCGGTACTGGCACAGCTCCACCACCACCACGTCGGGCTGCACCGCCCGGATGGTCTAAAGAGAGAGGCCGGCTCAGCGCCCTCACGGCAGCGCCCATTCGCTGAAGCCCCTCCAGGCGGCCAGGGGCCGCGGCGGCCCTCACCCTCACAACGTCCCTCTTGCTGTCATCGCTGAAGTGGGCCGTGCCCACCACGTACACCTTGCTGCCATCCTCGGCCACCAGCTGGGTCACGGTGCGGGGCAGCTTGGGGCGCTCCCGCCGCCGCTTCAGCTTCACCTCCAGGAGCAGGTGGAAGGCGTCCACGTCAGCTGCAGGGGGCAGGGCCAGCCTGAGACGGGGCCCCTGCTAGGGAGGGTGGGAGGGGCCGCCCACAGGGTCTGCGAGGCCCCCACCCGCCCGCCCGCCCCAGGACCCGCACGCACACAGGTTCTGGGGGTCTCCAGGGAGCGCCCGGGGCACCTCCTCCGCGGGCCCTGACGTGGCCGCAGCTTCTGCATCAGCCTGCGGGGAAGGGGAGCGCTGAGGCGGGCTGCCTGCTGAGGGGGGTGTCCTTGTGCCCCCGGCAGGGGCAGGATGCCCCCAGGGATGGCCACCCACGACCGGAAGTCGCGCCAGCTGCCCCCATGAAGGCCACGAGGCCGCATCTGCACAGAATCACCTGGGAGGCCCCAAGCAGGTCACAGCGTGGGGCGTCCTCTGATGTCCCCCTCAGGCTGCTGGCCTCTTGAGGTGGCCGCTCCTCCTCGCTCTCCATGGCTGGAAGGCTGGGCGGTGGCTCCTGGCAGCGAGGGCAGAGCCTGAGGAGACAGGGACCATCCCCGCCTGAGGGAGGCGCAGGGCCCGGGAGGCCGCCAACAGCACTGGCCACCAGCGTCCCTGGCCAGCCCCGACCCTCGGGGCCACCAAGGCCAGGGTCCCTGGGGTGGCCTTGGCATGGGAGGCGTGAGCTGCCCTGTGATGTGAGGCTGGCAGTGGGGGCTCAGAACAGGCCTGGGGGGCCTGGGGTCCCCCAAGGACAGGACTTTCCCTGGCAGAGGAAACAGCGTCGGCCTCGGGCACCAGCCCCAGGAGCCTCGGCTTCTGACTTTCTGAGCAAAACAGTCACGCAATCCCGGAAAGGAAGAAAGAGCAGGCCCCTCGGGGTGGGTCAGCCCCGCCTGCCCGTGCTCCCACCCGGGGCCTGCTGGGCTTGCTCCAGGCACCATCCTGGGGGTGGGGGGGCGCAGCGGACCCCGGTGTGTGGGCAGGAGGTGGGCCTAGCCTTCCTGCAGGGAGCCCAGGGGACGGCTGCAGCTCCAGGGCCTGCCTGCCGGCTCGGTAGAGGTCGGGGTGCCCCAGGACCCATGGTCTTGCAGTCCCAGCGCGGCTCCTCCCAGGAAAAGCGAACCCTGACACCTGGCGGCTGAGCCCCACGGCGGTAGCGCAGCTCAGCCAGCGGTTCCGGTTGCGCCCGCCCTGCACCTTGGGTGCTGCAGGTCAGAGCCACCTTCTGGCTTCCCCAGAGGGCGTCCGAGGCCAGGAAGGGAAGCGCGAGGCCCCGCCCACTCCAGGGCCGCCCCGCCCCTGGGCTCTGCCAGGGCCCCTGCCCAGCCAGGCCCGCCCCGGCAGTGGGGCAGCTGGTGGCCCTCGGGCATGGGGCACAGATGTGGTGGCCTCTGCCTGCCCCTCCTGCTCAGCCTGGCTGGACCCACCCTGCTCACCGCCCGCCATCTGTGCTGGGGGTGCCCGGCCTCGGGGCCGGGACCAGGCCATAGAGCTTCCTCTCGGCTCTAAGGCGCCTGTCCTGGAAGGGGCTGCCAGGACCCCCCAATCCCTGTGCCCTGATGTGTCACAGGCCCGCACCCCCTGCCCTGGCCAGGCACGGCAACATGAGAGCTGGCCCCTCCTTGCACTGGACTCAGAGGCTGGGGCCCACACCCCGGGGCCAGCCCCCAGCTCCGCCAGCATGCTCGAACCCTGGTGCTGCCCGGCCCCTCCCGGCCCCCGTGCTCCCCACTGCACGCGGCAGTGACCCGAAGTTCCCTCCAGTGTCCGGCCCACCGGCCAGCACAGCTCCAGGGGGTCTGCCCAAAGCGGGGTACTGCACCACCCCGCATCACCCTCCAGCACCGCCACCAGACAGTCCGACCCGGGGTCTCCTGGGCCGCGGGCAGAGCACGGCCACTGGGCGTGGAGGAGCAGGACCCTCCTCCAGCCTTGAGGCCGACAGCCCTGCCCACAGCACACAGCGGGCCGCTGGGCGTGACCTCTGGCCCCTCCCTCTGCTGGGAGGCAGGGGTAGCCCCCCGCATGACCCGAACCGGCGTGGGGGGTTGCACAGCAGGCAGCAGCGGTTCCCACAGACGGGGCGGCGGTCTTCAACTCCCCAGGATTCCCCGCGCCAAGGGCAGAAGCCAGGGCTGCGCCGGGGTCCACACGGAGGCCCAAGGGAGAGCAAGGGTCCTGCTGCCCCAGCTCCTCCTCGCTGCCCCTCCAGGGCCCCGAGGCAGCCTGTCGCCTCGCTCAGTCCCGTCCACTCCCCTCCCCCCCTCCCCTCCACACAGGGACCTAGAAAGGGTGTCCAGACCCCAGAAAACCCTCATTCCCCCGGGGTCTGGCCTGTCCAGAAAGGCAGAGCCCAGACAGACAGGCCGGCCGGCCGGCGGCAGGCCCTGACCTCCCGCTGCCGCCTCTGAAGTCTGGGCATTCCTGGCCCCTGCACCTCCTGGGCCTGGCAGGCCTGCTCCGTGGGGGTGTGGTGGGGCTGGGGTGCCATCCCACATCTGCTCCTGGCCCGGCAGCCTGACCGGCCCTCCTGGGGCCTGGACACTGCCCAGGGCTGGGCCCGCACGGCCCCCACCACTGCAGCCTCCCGGGGGCATGCAGGCAGTCTTGTGGGTGACCCTGGCATCACAGCACCCGGTCCCTCGGGGGAAGCGGGCGGCACCCAGCCCGGCGCCCTCGTGTCCCCCGGGGGCTGCAGCAGCAGCAGGGGCACTTTCTGCAGTGCCTCGCCCTCCGGGGGGCTCCCCCGGGGTCCTGCCCCGCGCCGGGCCGGCTGGACCCAGCTCAGGCGAGCTTCGGGGCTGACCCCAGCGGCCGCGGGCAGCGGGAGCCGAGCCCCCTTCACGGGGCGGACCCGACGCGCGGCGCGGACCGGGCGTCACACCCCAGCGGCGCCGCTTCGCAGGAACACGTCAGCAGCACACCCCGCGGCGGCGAGCCGGCCCCGAACCCCGCGCCCCGGCCCCGAACCCCGCCCCCGCGCCCTGAACCCCGCGCCCCGCCGGGCCCTGCGCCCCTGCGCCCCGCGGCCCAAATCCCGTGTCCCGGGCACCGCACGCGAGCCCGCCCCGAACTCTGCGCCCCGCCCCGCCCCGGGCCTCCTGCCCCGCGCAGGGCCGGCGAGCAGGGCGCGGGCCTCGGCCTCCCGGCCCCCCGCGCCCCGAGGCCGCCCCGGCTCTCGCGCCCCGGCCCCGCGCCCGCCCCCCGCGGGCGGCCCGACCCCGCCCGCCCGCCCGGGCCCGCGCGCGGCGTACCGTGGCGGTCGGCGCGCCTCAGCCGGCCTCCATGCGGCGGGTCGCCCCACCGGACGGGGCGGGCCGGGCCTCGGGGAGGGGCGGCCGGACGGGCCGGACGGGTCGGTCGGGCCGGGGCGCGGGGCGACGCGCGGCATGCCGGGAAGCGTAGTTCCGCGCGCCTCCGGCTGGCCCCAGCGGCGCGCCCGGCCCGCGGCCGCGGACTACGCTTCCCAGGAGGCCATGCGAGAGCGGTCGCGAACTACACTTCCCGGGAGGCCGCGCGCCAGAAGCCCCGCCCGCCCCGCCCCGCCCCGCCCCCGGCGCTGCGGGTGTGCGGACGCTAGCGGTGGCCAAGGCGCCGGGAGAGTCGTGGGTTCGAGTCCCGGGCCGGCACCCGAGCGTGGCTGCCGCGCGCAGCGCTCTTCAATTCTCGGGCCGCAGCCCCCGCCGTCTGTAAGACGAGCTGACGTTAGTAGCGCGAACGTTTTGCGCCCGACAACACTGAGCCATCCATCCCCCAAGAAAGGGCAGGCCGACAGTGGCGTGCAAGGAGCCGAGAACTCGGGGTGTGTAGCACGCCCCGGGGCGGGCCAGTGGGGTGGGGGCGCCAAGACCCCGCGCGCACCGGGCACCCAGCAAGCCCCAGCCTGCAAGGCCTCTGGGGCCTTGCCACCGGTTCTGTCGGGAACCTGCACCCTCCCACCGAGTGGGCCAGGCGGCCCTGCTGAGTACCCCCATTGCCCCCCCTTGGGCCCAGGGGCTCAAGATGGCACCCGCACCCCTCCACGCGGGGCCCTCAGCTCCGTTCCTGGGGTGGCGTGTGCCGGGCTTGCAGGTGCGGGCTGCCTGGGAACGCAGCAGCAGAGGGGCCGGGGCACAGGTCGCCCCCCCTTCCCCACAGGAGCCCCAGCCCCACCCACGTGGAGCACCCAGGCCTCCGGCAGGCCCATTTCAGGCCAAGCACTGGCTGCCGGGTTCCCGCGCCCGCTTGCACGGTGCCCCCGCCACGGCACTTGGACTGCTGGCGACGCCACCCTGACCGCACAGGCTTCCTGGGGGCCGCGGTGCTGGGGCGCCTGCAAGGGGTGACTCGTCTGTCGCTTGCCCTGCACCCCCTGAGGCCACAAGCGCTGCCCAGGACTGGCCACTCCCTGGAGCCAGGCGCTGCAGTGGGGCCTCGGCCGCTGTGCCTGGGACTGGGGGCACTCCTGCCACCCTGAGGGGACCGAGAACCCCAGCCAGCAGAGCTGGGCCGCCCCTTTCCCTCAGGTCTGCAGATCCTGCCCCCAAACACCCCAGGATCTAAGAAGCTTCCCTGGGCACTGGGGGCCTGCAGTTGGGCGACTCCTGCCTTCCTGAGTTGGGCAACTCCTGCCGTCCAGTGGGTGGGGACAAGCCCCAGCTGCTCCTGGTGCCTGCGGGTCCGTTTGGGAAGAGGCCAAGGCAGCCCCGGGCTGAGGCTCAGCTGCCGGGCGTGACCCCTTCCTGGCTCCCGGTGGGCTCTGGCCTCGGGCTCCTGGCCAGCCCTCCAGCCGTCCCTCCTCCCTTGCGCCCGCCCTACCACTGGGCCTCACTGACAGGACAGGAGGACAGGGGCCTGGACAGGACTGCCGGCCCCCGCGCCCCCCCCTTCTCGGGTCCCCTCTGGTCTGCAGCACCTCAGCGGAGCTGGCCCGGGGCGTGGGCAAGGCCTGGACCCGGTCCTGGCTGGGGGCTCACGGACGGGTGCCAGGATACCGAGCCCCTCCTCTCCGGGAGGCCCGGGTCCCGTGGCTGGCGGGAAAGGAGCAGAGGGAGGGGACACCTGAGCCCGCCCGGGCACCCCCTGGCGGCGGCAGCGGGGGTCACAAGAGGGCCCTGTGCTTCCTCAAAGGGACAGACGCCACCCAGGCGGGACGTGTCACAGCTGTCCTGCCAGGCTCGCCCAGGGACAGAGATAGGCAGAGCCAACCACCCGCACCCCCCACCCCGGAGGCTCCTGCAGCCATTTGGACCCGCGTGCCAGGGGCAATTCTTGGGGTGGCGGGTGTCCACGAGTGAGGACGGGCGCAGGGCCCTGAGACTGGCCACAGGGAGCAGGCCAGGGGCATGGTGGTGCCATCGTGCCCCCCCCAACTCCGGGACCAGGTGGCTACCTGCACCGTCCGTGAGCCCCCGGCAGGTGGGGGCGCGGCCCGCGTCTGGAGGGAGGCCCAACCCTGACCCCCGCCCACCAGGCAGGCCGTGGGAGACCACGGGCCAGGCGGGGGGGGGAGGGGCGGGGCCGTGGCCTCGGGCGCGGTGGCTGCGTGGGGTCCTTTCCCTGGAGCTGCTGCCCGCCGGGTGCTGCTGGGGCACCGGGCGGGAGCCCGACTCGGGGGGACCCGGTCACCGCACCTCTTTGTTTTCTGATGTTTGCCCCGCACCTGGCCGGGAGGGCGGCCCCCCGGGGCTCACTGCGCCAGGACCCCCCCACACACAGAGCACCCAGCCGGCGGCTCTGCCTCGGCCTCTCCCGCCAGCCCTGCCCCGGCCGCCCGCAGCCAAGCAGCCCGCCCCACCGCCGCCTGCGCCCAGTCCTTCCGGAAGGGACTCAGGCTCCCCGGCCCGGCCGGCTTGGACGCAGCCTCGTCCCTGACATCCAGCCCGGGCACACATCAAGGGTGCCTCTTCCAGGAAGCCTTCAGAGCCCGCCCGCCCCCCGCGCCCCCCAGGACAGCCCCTGGGGTGCGGTCCTGTCTCCACAGCACGGGGCAGGGCGGGCCGGGAGGGGCCTGCGGGGCGGGGTGGGCGCCGGGCCGGACACTCGGGAGGCAGGCGGTATCAGAATAATATTTATTGATATGCTCGTTGCTACCTTGATACTGTCACGTCGCCGTGGCTGAGGTAATAGGGACGGGGCGCCAGGCCCAGGGGCCGGCGGTCCGCGTGGGGACGTGGTTATTGCGATGGGCCCTCCCTGGGGCTGCGGCCCGCCCCGCTGGCCTCGCCCGCCTGCCCGGCCCCGCGCCCCGGGAGACGCGCTCGCGGCCGGCGGCCTCTCCCAGGCCCGTCCCCGCAGGGCGGCCCCTCACAAGCCAGTGTCCTGGGCCCAGGAGAAAATCGACTAAAAAAATAAACTCTTCGTCTCGCAGCCGGGCGCCTGGGGCGGGCGGGGCGGCTCTCCCGGGCGGGCATGCGGGCGGAGGCCGAGTGCGGGCGGGCGAAGCGGCGGGCGGGCGGGCGGCATGCGGGGCCGAGCTGGCCGGCGCCGGCCCTCAGAACTCCACGGTACTCACTACTGTCCGGGGCTCGTCGAAGGTGGCGATGAGGATCTGCTGCGGCGGGGGGATGGCGATGAGGCTGCCCACGTCCGGGGGCGCCCGCGGCGCCCCGCTCTCCTCCTCCCGCGCCTCGTACAGCGTGCTGATGTGCAGCAGGGGGTGCGTGGCGTTCCGGCTCAGGAGGGCCAGGGGGTCGGCCTTGCCCAGGCTGGTCGGCGACAGGGGGGCCGTGGTGGGCGCGGCGGGGGGAGAGCGCACGTGGAACGGGCCCGCGGGGGGCAGTGCGGCGTGGGCCGGCTCTGCGGGGTACAGGATCTCCTTCTCGGGGAGCGGAGCCTCTGCGGGCGGGGCGAGGGCGGCGGTCACGTCCTGTGGCGCCCTGGGCAGGCGCCCGGGTGGAGGGCCAGCGGCCCCCGCCCCTCCCCAGCCCTCCGCCCCCGCCGGCCCGAGCCCCTGCCCCCCTCCCGGCCGTCGGGCCCGGTCCGGTCCGGGGGTTGGGGGGACCGCCCTCCCCGCCCCGGGCGCCCCCGCCCGCGCCTACCTTTGGTGGGGGCGACGGGCAGGCCCAGCCCACACTCCTCCTGGGACAGGAAGCCGCCCTCCTGGCTGCGCGAGGCGGGCAGGGCGGCGGCGGGCGCGGCCTCGGCCTTGGCCTTCTTGGAGCCCAGGATGTAGGGGTGCACGTCCAGGGAGAAGTGGCGCGCGTGCTTCTTGTCGGCCGGGGCCGGCCCGGGCGCGGGGCCCGCGTCGCCGTGGCCGCCCTTGTAGTGGTGCGCGGCGCGGGCGCCCGCGTCCAGCAGCGGCGCGATGAGCGTGTCGGTGGCCGTCTTGCGGCGCACGGGCTTGGGCTTGTCGGCCTTGCCGCCCTCCACGCGCATCACGGCCAGCTGCTCCCGGAAGGGCTGCGGCAGCGGGTTGCTGCTGGGGATCCACTTCATCTTCCTGCGCGGCCGCTTGACCACGGGCGGCTCGGCGGCGCCGTCGGGCTCGGCGGGGTTGGCGCTGGGGTCCAGCGTCTGCACGCCCGCGTCGCGCACCGTGGGCGTGGCGTCGTGGTTGGACTGCGCCAGCGCGGCCAGCAGCTGCCGCACCACGTTGTCGTACATGAGGTCGCTCTCGTTGGTGATGAAGTCCAGGCGGTTGAGCGACTTGATGTGGTCCCGGTTCTCGTTGCAGAACATGGCGAGGATGTTGATGTCGCAGAACTGCGAGCGGCGCCACTGGCGGCGCGTCTTGATGCCCACCTTGTGCAGCTTGTCGAAGATGAAGTTGCTCTTGCGGAAGATGAAGAGGTGGATGAGGTTGACCAGGATGATGAGGTTCATGGAGCAGAGCAGGACGATGTCCACGCCGGCCACGATGCGCTGCAGCTGCACGGCCGGGAGCTTGCAGCTGACCCGCACGGCGGCGCCCGCGCCCGCGGGGGTCTCGCCCAGCGCGCAGGTGAACTCGTTCTGCTTCTGCGTGGCGTAGTAGGTGCACAGGTAGGAGATGGGCGCCACGCTGAGCAGCAGGATGAGCAGGTGCCGGGCCAGGTACAGCTTGGCCAGGAAGTTGCTGCGGCCCCGGCGCTCCAGGTACTTCTCGAACAGGTTCTGCTCGGGGCTCTTCTCCTTCTCGGCGTTCTCGATGATCTCGCGCCGCTCGCGCTCCGTGATGCCCGGGCCCTTGGACTGGATCTGCTTCTCGATCTTGGGCGCGCGGCCCTCGGCCGCCCGGTGGTAGCAGTTGTCAATCTCCTGCAGCAGGAAGTTGAGCTCGGAGGTGAGGCGCGTGGAGGCCAGGAACTCCCAGCCCAGCGCCGGCACGTACATGATGGCCGCGAAGGCCAGCAGCGAGTAGGGCAGCAGCTTGTGCTCGAACAGCGATGGCCACAGGCTGGCGTCCACGCCGGGCAGCGCGTCCCGCAGCTCCGTCCAGCAGTAGCCACGGGCGTACAGCGCCTGGTCGCGGGTGAAGTTGTGCGGGGTGTAACAGTAAATGGGCTCCTCTGCGGGCGAGAGGGAGGCCGCTGGGGGACCGGGCGCCCTGCCCCGCCCCTCCCCTGCGTCCCAAGCATGGTGGAGGCCGCCCCGGGGCCCCCACCCACAGCAGCAGCAGACTGTGCCACGGCCTGGCCGCTCCCGGCCTGGGGCACGGACCCGCGCCCTGGACTCAGGCCCCTCCCAAACCCCACAAAGGCCCCACCGAGGGGCAAGACGGGCAAGGCCACGGCTGCCCGGGAGCCGGGTCCTGCCCGCCTGCACTGCCCAGCCCCGTCTCCACAACACCCAGCCGGGGCGCAAGGGCGGCGCCGGGACGGCGCCAGGGCGGCACACAGCGGGCCCTGCCTGCCCTGAGGGCAGGCATCCCCCAGGGCCCCGGCAAGGGCAGGGACCCCGGATGGGGGACGGGACAGTGCCCGCCACAGCCCGCAGGAAAGCGCCGGCCCGTCCCCTCCCCCTCCCGGAGCCCGCAGGTGGCCCGTGCTGGGCGCCAGCTGGGACCTCAAGGCGGCCGTTCCCCACACGGGGGCCGCGCAGAGGCCTGCCCACGGCCGCTCTGTCCTCGGCCCGCTGGTCTGCTCGGGACCCCCCGAGGCGGCGTGTGCCCCTCACTCGAGGGCGAGACCAGGCAGCCGCGGGGCGTCGGGGAGCGCATGGGGGTCGGGGGCACGGGCTGCAGGTACCCGCGTGCGGAGGGCCCGGCCGCCGGGGCAGGGGCGGGCAGCCATGGGCCAAGGCCCCAGGGAGGACGCGGTTTGGGGCCCGGCGGTGAGCAGGGCTCAGGGCACCGGACTGGAAAAGGCAAAGGAACCGACTCTTTGGTTAAGGAAACGGCATTTTATTCACTTAGGTCTCGCCCTCGCGGCCGCCCCAGGGGCTGCTCTTCTCCCTGGGGCCAGCACAGGCCGGTCACCGCCGGCTCCCCGGGGTCTGCACCCTGAGCAAGGAGGGGCGGCCCCGGGCCCCTGACCGGCTCCGGGGGCCAGCGGTGAGCTGGGAGATCACCCCCCCGGGTGGGGGCTTGGGCGGGTGCCGGCTCGTCCCCAGCTCTGCCATCCTGGCCTGGGGAGGACGGCGGGCCCGGGCAGCGCGCCAGGATGTCCCTCTGTCCCCAGAAGCGCCGGGGCCGTCAGCAGATGGCGCCCGCCCACAGCGCCCAGGGAGGCCACGCAGGCTCCGGCTGCAGGGGCCTCATCGCTGGGCCCGGCTGTCAGACACGGAGGGGCCTCGGGGCTCTGCGCTGCTGGCCGGGCGCTGGGCGGTGACAGGTGAGACCCGAGTGGCTCCAGAGCAAGCGGGGCCTGGCCGTGGTCGGGGACGCCCAGCCTCACGGCGCTGAGCACCTCGGGCCCCAGGGCCCCGGGCCCCAGGCAGCCCCAGCGGCAGGAGCCTGCCGGGAGCAGGGCCTCGTCCGGGGCTGGGGCCTGCTGACCTGCGCTCGGGCCAGGCGGCCGCGTGGCCCCAGACAAGGACGTGGCCCCCGCGCGAGAGCCGACAGCAGGGCCCTCGCGGGGCTCGGCGCCCTGGACGACGTCCGTCCTCAGGTCCAGCGCGCCCAGGTCTCGGGAGCCCCTCAAGGGCAGGACGTGAGATCTGGGGACAGAGCCGAGCGTCCCTGCTGGCTCCCCGGGGGTGCACGGGCGCCCGACGCCCCTGCCAGGCTCCCTGGACTGTGACGGCCTTCCTGGACCCCCGGCCCGCCTGACCCCAGCTGTCTCTGCCACCCTGTGCCGCGCTGCAGCTGGCTCCTCAGGGCGCCCTCCCGGCGCGGGGCTGCGTCTGCTCAGGAGGCCCCTAGGAGCCCCTCTGTGAGGGCAGGACGCCCCCTCACGTCCTCTGCCAGCCCCTGGCCACTGCCCTGGCTCCATCCTCTTCTCCCCGCGGGGGAGCCGCCAGCCGGGCCACGTGGGCCGCCCACCGTCCTCCAGGCGAGGACCCCACCCTCTGCGGGCAGGACCCGGCACCCGCGGGACGCCCCGCGCGGCCACTCCCCCTCCGGCGGCCCGGCGCCCCTTCTCCCCGCGGCTCCCCGGGGGCCGGGGCGGGGGCGGGGAAGGAGGGGAGGCGGCGCCCGCCCGCGCCCCTCACCTGCGAAGTTCTTGGTGAAGACCAGGGTGACCAGCAGGATGGGGACCAGCACGGTGCCGATGGTGACCACGCGGTCGAACGGCAGCTCGAGTTTCAGCTGCAGCAGCAGCGCGGCCAGCGCGCCCGCCTTGTCGTCCTGCGCGCCGGGCAGGATGAGCTCGCGCAGCTTCTCGCCCGCCAGCAGCGCCGTCGCCATGTCCGCGGACGGCTCCAGGAGGTGGTGCATGGGGGGCGGGGGGCGGCCCGGCGGGGGCGCGGGGCGGGGCGCCGGGCGGGGGGCGCGCGCCGGGCGGGCGGGGGCGCGGGGGCCGGGGGCGCCGCCGGGGGCGCGCGGGGGGCGCGCGGGGAGGGCCGAGGCGGGGCCGGGCGCGGAGCTGGGGCGCTGGGGCCGCCGCCCCCGCCTCGGCTGCAGCCCCGGCCGGGCCCTGGCGCGCGCTTCCCGGCGGGGGCGGCGGCGGGACCCCCGCCGGCGCGGGGTGCTCTGCGCAGGGGCCGGCCCGCTCCCGCCGCGGGGAGGGGCTGTTTACCTGCGGCGGCTCCGCGCGCTCCGCCCCGCCCGGCCGCCCGCCCGGCCCGGCGCGCAGCCGCGGCGCGATGACTCGGCGGAACGCGCGGGGCGCGGGGCGCGGGGCGCGGGGCGCGGGGCGCGGGGCGCGGGGCGCGGGGCGCGGGGCGCGGGGCGCGGGGCGCGGGGCGCGGGGCGCGGGGCGCGCGCTCTCCCGGAGGGCCCCTGCGCCCCGCTGTGCCCGAAGCCCGGCCCCCGCCGCGGTGCTGGGCGCCCCTCCCCGCTCGGCGCGGCCCCCGACCTGTCTCCCGCGGCCCGGCCCGGCCCGGTCCGCCCGCGGCAGCCATCCCGGGCCCCGCGCCCTCGCCGACCTTCGCCCCGGGGACCCCGGCCCGCAGGACCCCTCGGTCCAGCGCGTTCTCTTCCCGCGGGCGCGCCCGCCCCTGCCCCGCGGGGCCGCCCCGCAGCACGTCCACGCACCCGCCACCGCCTCCGACGGGCTTCGTCCTGCGGGGCGACCCTCGCCTCCTGCGGGCCCTGAGAGGGGTGCTGCCGGCCTGGCACGTCACCCCTCCTTCTTTGAGGGTCCCCAAGAACTTACACAAGCGCCGGCGTGTCCACACCCCCACATCGATCTTGCACCACTTCGGGACCACCGGGGCAACTCCCACCCCACAGCCCAAATCCCCCCTCCAGGCAAAGCAGCAGGACACCCTTGGGGCCCCTCTGAGAGCCTTAGTGCCGCTGGGGGTGCCCTTCCTGCTCTCAGGCTTTGGCTGGCTGCACCCCTCGGTGAGGGGGGTCCAGCTGCAGACTCTGTCTCCAGGCAGCGCGGGGCACCCCCTTTGCGCCTCTGGCGAGGACCTGCGCTGAGCTGTCAGCCGGCCCCCCCAGGCCTGGCCCTCCTGGTGGTGCTGGAGGCCCCTGGCTGGAGCGAGTCCCCCCGCCCCTCACTCCCCGTGAGCCAGTGCTGGGGTCTGGCGGGCTCTCGTTGGGGTGCGTCCAGTTCAAGTGGCTTGTGTGGACACGGAGGCCACACCCACCCCTGTGCATTTTCGGAGGTGTCCCCAGGCCTCGGCGGGTCGGAGTGCCCGCTGGGTGTGGGCCACGCCGTGGAGGTGGACCCTGCAGAAAGGCGGCAGCTGCCCGCCCACCTCGGGCAGGGGTGGAGCTCCGAGTAGCCGGGGCCTGGACCCCGAACTCGGCACCCAATCCTTGCAGCAGCCCCCTGGCCGGCGGCCCTCGTGCCCACAGGTCCTGGGCAGGGAGCACACGGCAAGGGTGGGCGGGAGCCCAGTGCTGTCCACAGGCCCCCCACCCAGAAGCGTCTGGGGGTGCCTGCGGCTCTCAGGCCAGGCTGACTGGGGCTGGACGCCCCCAGTTGGTCCCAGAAGGACCCGCGGGGCAGCTGCTCTCTCCAGGCCGCGCAGCAACCGGCAGGCGGTGCGAGGGCTCAGGAGGCCCTGACCCGCCTCGCCCGCCGCAGGCCACGACCACACCCCCGCCCATGCAGCGACGACGAAGCCCCCCCACCGCTATGTCCCCTGGCGCCCCCGACCAAGCAGGCCTGACTAGCCGCTGAGTCCAGACCAAGGCCAGGCTTCCTGGGCCCTCGAGGTCGCCCCAGCGAGGCGCTGCTGTCCCTGCAGACGCGGCAGCCAACGGAGGGCTTCGCTCGCCATCGGCCCAGCGGTACACACTTCTCCGCCCCACGAGTGCCCACACACCGGTGGACTCTGGCCCAGGGGTCCCCACTGGGACCCGGGACACCCCACCCCACTGACTGGCCACTTCCACTGGGGGACACCGTGGGCCAGCCAGCCAGTGGGGGGGGGCGCTCCAGACAGAACCTCGGCAGCCCCCCGGGGTGGTCTCCAGCCCTGGGTGGGGGTGGCGTCATTTGTGGCTGGCTAGGCCAGGCCAGGCCACCGGTGCCAGAGCCCCCGGGGCCCCCAGCTCCGACCGGCGGACGGGCAGCGTGGACCCCAGCAGGTGCAAGGCCCACCACATCCTCCTGGGTCTCTGGCCTCGATGCTAAAGTGGGCCCCTCCCCCACGCCGCACCTGTGCACCTCAAGTGCTTCTGCGGCCCCCCTCAGCGCCGCGCCTCCACCCACTCCTGGGCACAGAGGTGCCCAAAACAGGCCCTGAAGGGGCCAAGGGGATGTCCAGGTAACCCCCCACCACAGGGCCCCGAGTTTCACCTGGGAGACCCCCCAAGCACATTAGTCACCCCACCCGGCGCCCGCACGCCGGAGGTGGGTGCTCCCGCAGCTGGCCCTACCAGACGTGCCCTGAGGGCCCTGGACACAGGCCCCAGCCCTGGCGGGCCCCTCGGTGCCAGCGCCGGGCCAGGGGCAGGGCTGGCAGGTGTCAGCGGACCCTAAGGCCTCCGTGCACCCCGCGGACGTACACACTGGCATCTGCTTGAGTGTTTATTGGGGGGGTTGGGGCACCCCAGGGCGGAAGGGAGGGGTGTAATCCCTGCGCGAGGACACCCCTCCGGCCGTCAGTGGTGGCCAGACAGGGCGGCGCAGCAACAGCCTCTCGGCCGGTCGCCCGCTCCCTCCTGGGCTGGGTCCTCGGCAGGCGAGGCCGGACAGCGAGGGGCAGGGGCAGCCCCACGGCGCTTCTGCCTGTCTGGGCGGCCACAGGGTGTCGCGCTCACGCCGGCAGGGACTGCAGCTCGGCTGGCAGGTCACACCCCGTGTACACGCCGTTGGTGATGCTGTACTCCAGCAGCGCCCCGAAACAGGGGTCCTGCGGGAAGGCGCCGGCTGAGCCACGTGAGCCCCGCCCCAGCCCCCGCGGCCCGCCCTGGCCCCACTCACCCTGACGAGGACGTGGGGGTTCCCCAGCACGATGAGCAGGGCCTTGGGCCTGGTGATGGCCACGTTGAACCTCTTCGAGTTGGACAGGAAGCCCAGGAAGTACCTGTCGTCCTCAAACCTGTCTTCGTTTGACCGCACCTGGGGAAACACAAGCGGGGTTCAGAGGTTTTGGGGGCGCCTGCTATATGAAAACATTTAGCAAAGAGAACCATCACTGTCCCCCATTTTAGGTTAGAAACAAACAAAGCAGGGGCAGACACCCATCGACAGCAAGGGACACCCTCTTCCGGCCAGGCTTTTGGGGCGCCCTTAAGGGCTCTCCTTTCCCCACTGCCCTGAGCACCCTAGGCAGGCCAGATGGCTCTCTGGCACCCACGGGCCGCCCAATGCCCCACCTCCGGCCCTTCCCCAGCTGCTCCACCTGCCCTCGGCCAAGCAGCTGCTGGGGTGCCCCTCCCGCCTCTGCCTCCCAGTCCCTGTTGTGGGTCCACCCCCAGGGCCCGACGCGCCGGCCAGCTGACCCACCGTGGAGATGACGACAACCAGGTACTCCTGGCCCTGGAACTCCTCCACTGACCCCACCTTGATGTCCGTCAGGTCCACATTGCGCAGCAGGATTTTGATTTTCTCCACCTGTGAGCGGGACCGACGACGAGGGCGCGTCTCCAGGCCCCTCTGCACCCAGCACCAGCCAGTGGCGCCTTCCGGCCCCAGGGGCCAGTGGGTCAGACCCCGGCCGGACCCCAGGCCTGGGGTGGCATGGGCTGAGGCGAGGCCTCTCCTGCCCTGGGGCCCCCGCCAGGGCTGGGCGCCTGTGGTGCTGTCCGGTGTGGTCAGCCCAACACCCGCGGCTCCTGAGGGGGCGGCCGGGACTGCCCGAGGGCTGAGAGTGGAGGCCAGGCTGACGCCCAGGACAGAACCAGCCAGAGACATGGGGCCCACACCTGCTTCCGGTAGGGGGTGATCACGCCGATGTCGCCGGCCGACACGCGACGGGCGGAGCTCCGGGCCAGCAGGCAGCAGTAGCGCATGACCTGGACAGCTTCCGCGGGGTTGAACCAGGACGGGCTCCTCCCTTCCCGCGCCTCGTTGCCCTGGGCGGGCGGGAGAGAAGGGGCAATCACAAGCCCGGCTTCCCCAGGCGCGGGGGTCGGCGCAAGGCCCCAGCATGTGGGCCCCACTGGGGAGGCCGGGGCTGCTTGGGGCCCCCACGCCAGGAGGAGAACTGTCAGGGCTCGGCCCACGCCCCACGCCGAGGCCGGCCTCCCAGCGTCAGGGAGCCTCCAGTCACCCCACGCGAGGCTCTGGCCAGTGGGGCGGCATCACCCCCATGCGCCGCCTCCCCAGGCCCTTCGGGGCGGGGCTGGCTGGCTCCGCTGACTTCCCTGCAGCCCCCTCCGCCCAGCCCGTGACGGGGCAGCTCACCCTGACGCCATGGAAGATGAGCGGGAACCCCTTCTTGGGCAGCTTCTCCCAGCCCAGCAGGGAGGCCACCACCCCGGGGTCTGCACAGACCTCGAGCTCCCGGTGGTAGAACAGCCTGGACGGCAGGGCCAGCAGGGCCGAGTGCGACCGGTAGTTCTTCACCAGCTTGGTCACCTAGAGGGGCAGGCGGGCGGCACAAGCTAGACAGCTCGGCCTTTCTGGAGGTGTCCCCCACGCGGCCAGGCTGTGCGTGAGCCGGGGAGGCCGCAGGACGGCAGTGCCCCAAGCCACAGGCCAGGGAGGCCCTGCTGAGCGCTTCCTCCTCGGCAACGAGAACCAACTGGGCAGGCTCCAGACTCGTTCACACTGGCAGCCCCCGCCTGCCCAGCCGGCCGGGGGCAGCAGCGGCCCGGGGAGCCTGCCCTGCTCCTGGCGACTCCAGGGGGCAGCATCCGCCCCGCCGGCAGGGGGCCTGAGCAGGAGCCTGAGCCCCTCGCCCAGCGAAGCCGCCGCAGCTCCTCGGTGGGGGCGGGTGCTGCCACGGGGCTACTCACCAGCAGGGGGTTGTAGGCGCCACAGGCCCCGAACGCGTCCTCGTCTCGCAGGTACGCAGGCCGGGACATCAGCCTCTCCAACATGGACACGTGCAGCCCGTAGGCCATGGCCAGCCTGGACTTGATGACGGGGCCCAGCTGCATGGGGTCTCCCGCCAGGACTATCTGGGGGCAAGGCCCGAGGGGGGCAGCTGCAGATGGTGGCACTGCCGCGGGCGGGGGAGGAGGGAGGGGAACAGGAAGCTGCCAGCTCCCCTTCCCCGTGGCCCTGCTCTCGCCAGGGCCCGTCTGGCAGCCCAGCACTGTCCAGGGAGCCCTGCCCCCTCCCTGGCACCCCTCCGTGGCACAGAGCTTCTGGGGAGCAGGCCCAGGGCCACGAGCCAGCCCAGCCTGCTGCCCTCCCGTCTCCCTGCTGCCCAGGCCTGGGGGGGGGGGCGGGAGGAGCCACCCACACCCCTCCTTCCCGCATGCAGAACTGGGGGCACCAGGGAGCTGAAGGGCCCCTGGTCTGCCCACAGGTGCTGGGAGGGGAGCAGCTGCCCGGGCAGCCGGCCAGGGCTGTGGGGACTCGCCCCAGCATGCCCCACACCCACGATTGAGTCCGTCCCGAGTGCACAGGGGGGCCCTCCCTGAGCTATGACCCCAGGTTAGGCCGGCAGCTCCAGGGCCGTGGGGTCCCGGCCACCCTCCCTGCCATCAGAGTGCGGGACGGCGCAGAGTACCTGGCCGCTGACGTCTGAGATCAGCCCCAGGGGGATGAGGCACTCGGGCTCGCTGGCCTGCCCTGCCTCGTCCACGAATACGTGGGTGAAGTGGCCAACCCTGGAGCAAGGTGTCTGCGTCAGCCCCGCAGGTCTCGGGCCAGTGCACCTGGGCCAGCTGGACGCCCCCAGGGGCCCTTGTCTAAGCTGGGATATGGGGTGGGGTTGTGATGAAAGGCCAGCACCTGTGGGCACCTGCATGGCGGGCACTGGCCAGTCCTGGACCTGCAGACCGGCCACCTGCTGCTGCCACCCTCCCCTCCGCTGGGCCCCAAGCCTCCACGCTGGGAGCATGCTGGCCAGCCGGCCCAGCACGGGTGCTGAGGGACACACAGCAAGGGCCCGGGGCCTGGTCTCCCGCTGGCCGGGTCTGGTTTCCCGCTGGCCCAGGCCCATGCCCTATGGGCCAGGGAAGTGCTCATCCTCACCTGGGCAGGCAGCCCCTCCTCCCCCGCAGCTGGACTGGCCCCGGCAGGTGTGTGGCTGAGGGAAATGGGCTGCGACTCCTCCTTCCCCACCACGACCCTCACCAGGGGGTGACCCTCCTCGCAGCCTGGAGGGTGGGGGCGCTGCTGCAGCTGGGCACTTGGTTGCTGACTATGCCCGAGCTCGACCTCCCTTGCCCCCTGGACCAGCCCAGATGCCTCCTCACAGCCCCCCAGGCCAGAGGCCAAGGCGTCCTGGTCAGTCCCGCCCTGAGGGCTGGCTGGGCCAACGCCCCGGGTATGTGAACGTGCTGGGCCCCGTGGGCGCACCTCACACCGATCTGGTAGAAGAGGCCGGCGCTGCTGCAGGTGGTGATGATGACCCGGAAGCGCGAGGCTCTCCAGATGTCCTCCCCGTCCTTGCAGTACGGCTTGATGGCCTCCAGGACCGTCTGCGCAAGAGGCAGCCGCTCACACGCCAGCCCTGGGGCCTTTCTTGGACCAGATGCGTTCCGGCGCGGGGGCGGCTCGGCCTGTCCCGCTGCTCCCCTGGCAACCTAGCTGCCAGCCTGCCACGGCCCAGGCTGCTTTTGGAAGTCAAGGCCTCCGGTTCCCCCCAATCTAACTGGGGGGCTCAGTGCCAGGGGCACAGCGCGCGCCCCGCGAGCCTCCCCGGACACCACACTATGGCCAGGGCTGGGCTCTTGGCAGACAACGCTCCACCTGGGGGCAGACCTGGAGCTCTGAGGCCTCCTCAGAAAAGGCTCCCCCAAAACCGGTAGGAGAGCCCCGGTGTGCGACACCCCAGCAGTCTGACCGCTCTGGCGGGCAGGCTCACCTCCTCGAACCTGCAGGTGGCGTTCACGCGAACCATGGCGCCGGGCCGCAGAGCGCGGCTCTCGTGCAGCCGCAGGCACACCAGGTCGGCGGCGCTGTTGGAGGGCGCGCACACCAGGACCCGGCTATCGGGCAGCGCGTGGTGCACCTGCAGCCGGGGCGGGAGGGCGGTTAGGACCCCCACCCTGGTCGCCGCCTGCGCACAGGCACGTGCTCCTGGCAGGGACTCGCTCCCACGCCTGGGACGGCCCAACAGGCCCCGGTGCAGCCGGGCAATCCCCTCTGTGGGACCAGGGTCCCCAACCACGCAAGACTGCCGGGCGCGCCGTCGACAGGCCTGCCCCCCCACGCAAGCGGGAGCACGCGCAACCCCCCCCCCCCCCCCCGCTGTGGAGGGAACGTCTCCGCAAGATGCCACACTCCAGCACCCTCCCCCAAGTGGAGACGCGGTCCCCACCCCCAGCCCCGCAGAACGAGGCCAGCCAGGAGCCGGCAAGGCGGGTGCCCACCCCGCCCTGTGCTGGCCACGCTTCAGCGGGAGGCCTGGCAGTGGGCGCTGCGCCGCACCTGTAACACGGCCTCGATGATGGTCACGGTCTTCCCGGTGCCCGGAGGCCCAAAGAGCACATAGGGGAGTGGGCGGCAATCCCCACTCAGGATGCGTCTCACTGCCAGCTGCTGGTTCTCGTTCAGCACCGGGTTGAAGAACTCCCTCTCCCGGGCCCTCTCGTGCGCTGCCAGGGGAGAGGGCGGTCGGGCCGGGCGGAGGGGGTCAGCTTGGCCTCTGGCGCACAGCCCCGCCCGCAGGAGCAGGCCCCTGAGCCGGAGCATCCAGTCTCCGCGGCCGCTTCAGCCCTGGCCCCGGGATACGCACCCAGGAGACCCGTATCTGCCGCCAGCCCCAGCGTGTCCTGAGCGCCCCCACGCCTCGCCGGCGCCGCAGTCTGAGCTGGATCCTTCCCGGCAGTCCTAGCCTGAAGTAACCGTGCAGGAGAACGACTGGAAATTAAGGCTCTGCGCCTACGCGCTCACGCGCAGAGCAGACAGGCCAGAGACAGGCCCCGGGAACCGCCGCCCTGCGAATTTTCCCGTGTGGCCCGGCTCCAGGGCGGCTCCAGACACGAGCCCGCCACGCGGAGACTCACGCGGAGACACCCAGTTTGTCACCACCACACACCAGGCCTGGCTGCTGCCCCCAGGGCCCCCCGCGCCCTCTCCTGGGACTGTGGGGGCCCCAGCTTGCTGGGCACCACCACTGGGGACACGAGCTGCAGCCTGCCCTGCCTGGGGTGGACACTGGTAGCCCCCGCGAGGCGGCTGTGACATGTGAGCCAGCGCCGGGTTCAGCTTGCTCAGGTGGCCGCCCCCTCCCCACCCGTCCACTGGCCCCCCCCCCCACCGCCCAGCGGCACAGCCCAAAAGGGCAGGTCAGATGTGCGGCGGCCACATGGCCAGGGCCCTCACAGCCGTGGGATGCCCTGGAACTCACAGCTCTGCGTCTTTGGAGAGAGCCCTTCCAGTACAAGGTTTCTAAGCGTGCGCTAGCACCGAGCGTTCCGCCACCATAAACCGCAGACACGCCCCTTCAGGCCCCGCTGCCCAGGCCCGGGGGCACTGGTGGGACGGGGCAGTCACTGGGCGTTGGGCTGCGGCAGGAGCTGGGCGCGCGGGCGGCCTCCAGATAGGCAGCGCCACCGGGAGCAGGCAGGGCCACCTGCTGCAAGGCCCACCCTCCCAGGACCCCACGGCCGCCCCCCTGAGCTGCGGCAGGGACACTGGGCCGGCTCTGGTGGCCCCTCTGGCACACCAGCGGCCGAGCCTCTGGGCCACGTGGCCACACCAGGCCATCCCTGCCATACCTCGGTGGGGGAGGGCCTGCTGCTTCTGGAGGGCATCCACGTCCCGGCCACTTGGGGAGACTGCAGGACGACTTCATCTGGAAACAGCACTTGTGGCACAAGAAGCAGAAGTGGCGTCAAGGAAACATTTTCAAGCAGCAGCAGAAGCAGCCAACCGCTCCCGGCCAGCCCCAGTGGACCCAGCCCGGGCAGGGCGGTGCTCCTCAGCCAGGCGTCCCCGACGCAGGAGCCCGCAGGGCGGACAGGGCAGGTGTGGCCGGGCGGGCTCCCCGCGAGGGCGGGGGCGCTACCTCTCACGCCCAGGTGCACGGCCTGCTCGAGGGCGAAGTGGCACCGGCGGCTTGTGGTCCTGCGGAGAGAAGATGCTGGTCACACCCGAGGCCAGGGGCAGGGCCCTCTCCCAAGCCAAGGGGCGGGAGCCGCGGCCGGAGGAGGTCACGCGTGTCTCGGCAGGATAGGGAAGTCACTGGCAGTTTCCCAAGGACCAAAGTGACCGGCTCAGGCCGGGGGGAGAGGAGCCGGCGCCCGAGGGCACAGCCCAGGGCAGGGGGGCAGAACACCCCAAACTCCACTTCCGAGGACCAGGACAGAAGAGCCCCGGGGCCCCACCAGCAGGCCCGTGCCTGGGATGGGGGTGGGTATTGGGCCCTCGGAGCTCCAGCTGCAGGCGGGTGGGCGGGACACACCCGGCAGCCCCCAAAACCTGACTCTGAGGAAGCTGCCGGAACAGGAGTGGGGGTGGGAGGCGGAGGAGGGCAGTGGGCTTGGCCCTGGGACCGAAGGGTCTTCAGAGCCCAGTCTGCAAGTTCCCACAGCAAAGACTCGAGGCGCGGAGAGTGCTCCCGGACCCCGACCTGGGCCACCTCTGGCCATACGGCAGGACGCGCTGGAGCCAGGCGAGAGGCAAGTGCGGCGTGGAGGGCACCGGAAGAACCTGTGTGCCCCTCCGGGTGCACGGAACTCCCCGAGAGGCTCCAGGGCGTCTCCAGAGCTGGGAAGGCGGGTGCCAGGAGCTCCCGCCAATGTCCCAAGCCCCGTCACAGATGCGGGAGCAGCCCGCCTGGTGAGGGCTGGCACCAGGGCCCAGGGGTGGCCAGGGCGGTGGCAGGACATGACAGGATGTGGACAGGGGCCTCATGACCTGCGGAAGGCCACGGCACAGTGGGCCGGGAAGCACGGGAGATCCAGCTGTGAAGATGCCCCTCGGGGGCTGGGGCTCCCCACCGTTTTGGCGACGGACCCCAAGGGTCCCTGGAGGGACACGCCCCACCCTTTCAACGGCCGATGGATGCTCATGCGGGTCCCAGATACTGGGCCTGGGGCCAGCAGAGGCCAGTGGGGGTAGCTGGGGTGGACCACGGGCTCGCAGTGGAGTGTGGTAAGAGCGGGGGTCAGTGCGCACCCTGGGGACCGAGGCAGCCCCGTCACCAGGAGGGGATGGGGTGTGGGCTGCACCCACCCCCCTCCCCCCGCCCTCCTGGAGACGGCACCGCCGAGGGGCACAGCGGCCAGCAGGGACACCTGTTGTACGTAAACTCCACGTCCATGGGCTCCGAGTTGTACGTGCGCTCGAATTCAGGGTTGAGCTTCAGGGTCACGTCCTCCTCGCGGATCTGAGAGAGGAGCAGACGCTTGCCCGGAGTCAGCCTCAGCCCCCCCCGCCCTCCCCCACGGCGTGAACACCCCCTCCCCGCGGGCCAGAACGCAGTGGCAGTGTCTGGGCTGCGCCCCAGGGGCCGGGGCCCAGGAGGCACCATCAGCGCAGCAGTCTGGCCGGCGGGGGCCGGGGCTCAGCGGTGTCCCCAAAGGTGGGGGACCTTGGGCCACAGAGGGGACCGAGCCACTCCCCTGGGGAAGGCCCTACCGGGCCCCTCAGTCAACACAGAGTCCTGGGAGCGAGACCAGACGTGGGTCCACCCAGAGGCGAGGCGGGTAGAGCTGGGACGGGAGGCGTCAGGGACCACAGACGTGGGCTGGGGGTGGGGGCGGGGGTCCAGGCGGGGCCTGTGCTCAGCCGAGGCGGGCAGTTTACCCGGGGGAAATAGGACCAGGGCAGGCCACTGCGCCCAGAAGTCAGGTCTGAAGCCACTGACCGGCCGAGCACGGCAGGCGAGGGTCCAGAGGACAGAGACCAGTGCCAGAGGAGGCCCGGCCAGCATGGGAGCCTGCCCCGTGGGGCACCCAGTGGGCGCAGAGGCCACCACCAGGGCAGTGAGCGTGGGGCCCTCACCTCCGTTACGTAGCCGATGTACTCGATGACGTGCCCGTTGTACTCCTGGGTCTTCAAAACCAGCTTGTCGCCTGCTTGGCCGACAGGGCCTGTCACTCGGAGCCCGGACTGCTGCGTGGGGCCCGCGCCGGGGTGGGGCATGCGGGGGTGGGGGGCTTGGACAGGCCGGGCGCCCCAGACACACCTGCATACAGGGAGGGCCTGCTCTCGGCCAGCCCCGGCACCTCCAGTGCCAGCAGGTCCCCGCTGCGCCTGAGCGTGACGCCGCTCATGTTGTATTCCCTGAGCTCGATCTCCGCGTGGATCTCCTCAAGCCACAGCAGGGCGGAGAACTTCTCCTTGTAGTTGTTCACATTCAGAAGCTGAGCAAGACGGCAAGTAGAGAGTGATTGAGGGGGAGCGTGCGGACAGCGGGGGGCGCGCCACACCTCAGCGGCTGTCTGGGGTGAGCGGCTGGACAGCCATCCCCAGCCCCGGCCGCTGGGCTCGGGCCGCAGCCCCAGCTGCTCCCCAGCAGGGTTTTGGTGGGGGGGGTGCTGTGGGCAGGAGCAGGCCTGGGGAGGGGCTGGGAGGGAGCAGAGACCCCCGGGGAAGCGTGAGCAGCCCCGAGGTGCACGGGAGCAGCACAGGGCCTGGGGTGAGAGTCCCATCCAGCTGGGAGCAGCACCCCTGGCTTCTCCCTGCACCCGAGCCACTACCCCAGGAGCGTCTCCTGGGAGAAGGCCCCGTTCCTGCTGAGACCACCGGGCAGAGCTGCGGCGGCCGCCCACGTAGAGCGTGGGGGTGAGCCCACAGCTCAGCAGCCCTGAGCGCCTGGCCGTGCCGCAGTGGAAGCCACTCCAGAGGACCAGTTCCAGGGGCGCAGAGGGCCCCAGGGCAGAGCCAGGCCGATCTCAACAGGCAGCACCAGCAGTCAGGCCACACGGCAGCCCCGGCCAGATTGGGGGGACAGCGGGAGCCTGCCGGAGGGGCCAGGTGCTGCGTTCGGAGAGCTCAGGTCACAGGCAGGAGGTGACGGAGAGCAGAGCAGGTACAGGCCCTGGCCACACTGCCCCTCGCTGACCACGGAGAAGAGCTGCCCGTGGGCCTGTCCTTCTGACTGCATAGGACGCCGCCCCGAACCAGGCACATCCGGGGCTGTGAGAGATGCGGACGCGTGGCCGGTCCCCTGGCCACAGCGGGGTCAACGAGCGTCAAGACAGCGAAGCCCCCGGGCAAGTCCTGAGTACACAGAGTAAAGGACGGGGCGCCACACGCCGCAGAGCCAGCCAGGGTCCAGCCAGCTGGGGAGGGGGGCGGTGTGGGCTTGGCGTGCACACCCCCTGCGCTGCGCGGTCCAGGTCTGTCATCCTGCTCAGCCCATCGGTCACCTGGGCTCAGCGTCCCCGTGCAAGGTTGCAGCTGCCTGGTCAGCCATCCCAGGAGCCCGACCCTGCGAGGCGCCTTCCAGGTCAATCTGGAGCAAGAACTGGGTCAGCCGGGAGGGCAGGCATCACCATGACTGGGAGCGCCCAGCGCCAACCACCGACGTGCGACAGGGACCCCGAAGCTCGTCAGCGCACGCCTTGTAACTGGGAGCCGGGGGGTGGGGTGGGGCTGGGGTCTGGTTTCCATAACGACACTTGCTCGTGGAGCAGATAAACGTTATGGGGCCCGCAGACCCATGTCCCCCCTCAGCCCTGGGCGACAAAAGCCCGTCCTTCAGCACTCCCCTGTTGTTTCCTCTGCCTCCTGCCCCCGCCGCTGACGCGGGTTGACCCACGACAAATAAAGAGGCCGGGATCTTGCTGGGTCAGCAGCGTCCAGTGTGTGCAGCTGTTCCACGACGCCCGCTGGCCAGTGGGGCGCCGCCGACACAACAAGGCCTGGAGTTGGGCTCAGGGTTTCCAGGCCCTGGGGACAGGCAACCCTGGTGGCATCCCTGCCCCGTGCCTGCTCCCCGCCCCCTCCAGGCCCCAGTGGGCCTCCTGGTGGACCCCGGGCACCCTCTGGAGCTGCCCATCCCGGAGGTCAGTAGGCCCCAGGCAGGCAGGTGGGCCTCCTCCCCCTCTGCCCAGCCTCCCCGAAGCGCCTACCTACTGCTCGCCCGAGGGCGGCACCCCAGCCACAGCAGGCGCGGGGCCGCGACGCCCCACCTCCATCCATCCACCCCTGCTGTCTCCCGCTTTGGCAGCCGCGCCCCCGGTGCCTGCAGACAGGCCTCTCCCGTGCCGGCATGGCTCCCTGAAGAGGCACCGCAGCCTGCCTGCAGTCCCCTGTGCCCAGCATCCTGAGGTGCCCCTTCTCCAGGTCAGCGTGAGCGACGGGCTGTGACCTGACCCTGCAGACCCAGCCCGGGCCTGGGGTGGGCGCCGGAGGGCTGGGCCAGGCGCCCACCTCGGCCAGCAGCGGCTGGAAGGTCAGGACGTCGATCTTCTGCTCCACACACTTCCTCAGCCGGTCTGGGATCGGGTACTGGGGCAGGAAGCTGGGCAGCTGCCGCCTTGAGTTCCTGTGGGGGCGTCGGGACAGCTCTGCAGCCGGCGGGACCCCGGTTCCCCGCGTGCACACGGGCACCCCATACCAGTCCCGGCGCCTCCCGGAGGCCCAGACCGGAGGCGGGGTCACCCCCACCCGGCCGGCCCTGCTACCTCTTCTGCGTGGTCACCACCACTGTTGTCTTGGCGGAGGCCACGGCCGGGGGACCCCGCGACTTCCTCCAGGAGAAGGGCTCGCGCGCGGCGATCAGCGCCTCCTCCCCACTGATCACGTTCACTTCCAGGCAGCGCCCAATGATGAAGTGGGAGAAGCAGAGCAGCAGGAGCTCCCGGCAGCGCCCCGAGTTCCTGCCCGAGCGGCGGCCGGCTCAGGCGGGGGCGCGGGGAGCCCCCATGGCACAGGCGGCCTCACGCACCGGGCCAGCCCCGGGCGGCTCGGGCACACCCAGGGAGGACGGCGGGCGAGTGGGTCACCGGCCGGGTGCGGATGGGCCTGAAGCACGTGGGCAGGCGGGGCTCGGGGAGAGGCGCACAGGACAGGGCCTTGGGGGCTCCCCGTCCCTGCTGGGCGGGAGGCCACGTGTGGGGGTGGGGATCCTGCAGGGCTCGCCCCTGACGAGGCTCTTCCTAGAGCCCCAGAGCGGACATGTGGACGCCAGAGCGGACCGGCCGGGCCCCGACCACGTACTTGGCGTCACATGTGACCACGAGCAGCGTCTTCCCCCCCGGCGGGATGAGTCCAGCGGGCTCGGGCTCTGCCACCTGCTTCCTAGAGACCCCCTGGTCCCGTTCTCTGAGCTGCCCCCCACAGGCACAGTCACCTGCTGGGGGAGACGTCAGCGGTGAGGCCCCAGGGAACGCGGGGTTGGCGGGCAGAGTCAGGAGGGCTGGCACCCAGGCGGGGGCCCCCGGGCAGCAGAGGCCAGGGCCGCCCCGGGGGAGGGCTCGCCCTGTGGGACGACACCCGCGAGGACTAGGCACCCCCGGCACGGCAGGACACCTCTTCTGGGCATGGGGCCGGGCTTTTCCTTCCCTCTTCGGCCCCCAAATGGCAGGGGCGGGTGCAGCTCCAGCTGGCTAGGCCCATCCCGAGCCGCAGCAGCCAAGGGCCCGCCACCACCGCCGCACCCAGCACCCCTGGACCAGGCATCCCCCACGGGGGCGGCTACCTGGTGGGGGCTCGCTGGCACTGCCTGGGCCGCTGCCCAGTGCCTCATGGGTCTCGCTGTCCCGGCAGCCGTTTCCCGGAGGGACGTTCACGCCCGAGAACGTCTTCTCCTCAGGGGCAGAAGCGGGGCACACCCCCGGGCTTGCGGGATCTCTGTCCAGCTTTCGAAACCTGAACTGCTTGGCTTTATCCCAGCCAGCCAGCCTGCAGCTGACCAGGTTCTGAGGGGCGGCCCCTTTGTTCCTGGGAAGGAGAGCCGGCCGTGGCCTGGAGCAAGAGCCGACCCGGCCGGCGTGCGGCGCAGAGCCCCCCACCACGCAGGCGAGGGTGGCGTCTGGGGTCGGAGCACCGGCAGAGGCCAGCTCCGCGGGAAGCCGGACTCACTCGATCCAGATGCCCAGGCTCCTGCTGCCTCCCTCCCGCAGTGAGCCGAAGTTGGTCGCCCTGGTGACCTCAATGTCACCTTTGTCCTTCAGCAGGAGGGCCCCGCAGGCCTCCTCGGCAGGGCCACTTGCCGCAGGGGCGTTCCTGGAGAAAGCACCGACACAGGTCATGGAGGCCCCGGGGGACCACGCGGCCCAGGACACCCACCTGCCACAGAGGCTACTCCTTCAGCTCCTGGGCGGGGGGGGGGGGGGCGGCAGGGAGAGGGCAGGAGGAAGGGAGGGTGCCCCGTGCAGCCGGTGAGGAGACCGGCGCAGGAGCTTCTGACTCTGGGCACCAGTAAGGCCCCACCCATGGGTGTGTGGAGGGAAGGGGCTCCCCCACGAGGGCTCTGTGCCCTGGAGACCCCCAGCAGCCTTCCTGGCAACAAAGGCATCGACAAGCGGAAAGCCTCCCCCCCCTCCCCAGGACCCTGTCCCGGCCACTCTAGTCCTCAGGTGCACACACCCCCCGCCTGCCCCTCGCCCGCCCCAAGACGCCCCAGGTTCCCGGGCGCTCTGCCCTGCCCCAGGGGACGCACGGGGAAGGGGTCAGGGGAGGGGTCAGGGTGCCAACCAGGGCTTGCAGTGTCACCGGACTGCGCCTGGACTCGAGGGGGCAGGGCCCCGAGGGGCGAGGCTACCGGGCGGGACCTGCCGGCTCACATGGCCACTCGGGCTGGGCAGGAGGGACGTCCACGCCACACTCGCTGGGGGGTGGGGGGGTGCTCCTGGGCCCCAGACGCCCTTCCCCTCAGCCCCCCCAAATTGGCTGCTGCCCCCAAGACGGTGAAGCCTCAGGGAGCGGCAGGGAGGGGCGGTCAGCCCCGCACCAGCAGGCCCGGGGCAGCGTGATGATGGCCCCAGAGGCACGACCCATGCCCCGCCCACCAGGTGCCCCTGCTGAGGAGCCTAGACCCTCCTGGGTGCCCTGGCACTGGTGGCCGGCTCATTACCGGCTGCCCCAGGGCGTCAGGCACAGCGCCCGCCAGACGTAGCAGGACTGGCTGCTCTCTACCACCACCGCGCTGACCACGTCATGGCGCTGGGGCACGTAGCCCTCGGGGAGCCTCAGGGAGTCCAGCGTGAAGAAGATGCTGTCGTCGATTACCCCGTTGCGCCCACAGAGGCTGGAGATGCAGACCTGGGGGAGCGGGCGCTGGGGAGGCCCGTGTGCCCAGCCCCGCCACACAGCGCCCTCCAAGTCCACGGGACAGCCGAGCATGAAGCTGGGGCCCCGTGGGCAAGAGAGCTGGGGGCCCCAGATCGGCATCTTAGCCAGGCTCTCTCCACACCCCCCACGCGGCCCGACCCTGCCGAACGTCGTCGCCACCTCAAGCCACAAGGGCACCCCGGTCTGGGCCCCGGAGCCGCATGAGCGTGGCCACGGCTGGTCCCACCCCGAGGAGGGGCTCAGCTTCTCGGGAAGAAGGGGGCTCTCCCTCCCCCTGTGCAGGCGCCACCAGGGATACAGGGGCGGGGCCCAGAGGTAGCACCCACCTTGTCCACGCGCTTGTACCTCAGCGGCTTCACCGACACAGCCTCGCTGCTCCAGGTGCCCGGCCGGATCCAGTACTCGGCCTCCACCCAGTCTCCCTTGCAGGGCACGAAACCTCCAGAGGAAGACGGCGGTCACGGCCCCCCCCCGGCACAGAAACCAGGGCGGAGAAGAGCGGGAGCCCCCTGGGTCCACCGTGAGGTGGACAAGCCTCTAGCGCACGCCCAGGACTGTCTCCGGGGAATCCTCTCAACCCCACACCTCTGGCTGGCACCCCAAGGTAACATTCTCACATGTCCCCCCCACGGCTCTGGCCGACTCTGCTGCCCCTGGCCGTGCGCCCCTGGCCCTGCGAGGGTGGGAGAGTCTGGGTTTTGGTCATGCTTGGCCCAAACCACTCGGAAATCTCAAAGCACAGCAGACCCCGAGAGACAACACGGCCTCCCGTGACCCGGCGGAGGGACCCGGTCCTGGCGACTCTGGCAGACTCCCATCCGCGCCACAGGAGCCTCCTCTGGGACTCGGGGCTCATGCCCGGTCGCGGTTTCCCAGAACAGACCAAGGACCGGAGCGAGCACTCGCCGTGCTCAGTAAATTTGAGGCCCAGACACCGGCTTCTGACAGTGCCAACACCGGTGCCCGGCGCCCGCCCAGGACTCCACCAGCCGCTTGGGGCGGGAGGAGCATGAGGAGCATCCACTGAAGCCCTTGCTCTTGCCTGGGGGAGCTGCGAGCCCATCCCAAGTCGGAGGTGACCGGGCCTCCCAAAGTAAAGCGTTCAAATCCGGCACCCCCTGCAAAGCCCCAGAGACGGCTTGCGTGGCGAGTCCCTGCGCGCTGACCGGAGGCGGCACCAGGGCTTGGGCAAGGCCTTCCTTGTGCTGAGGCCCTCAAGAGGCAGCTGGCACAGGCAGGGCCCTGGTCTCCGCGTGGGCCTGGTCCCTGGGCCCAGAGGAGGGTCTCAGGACAGACCATCACCGGGGAACACGGTACGGCCAGCTGAATCTGAAATCCACTCGGTCGCCTGACTCGGGCCAGCTGCAGCCGGGGCCACAGGGCAGGGCGGCCCAGAGCAGATGCCCAGCCAGGTGGGCAGGAGGTCACGCTGCTCGCTGGGCACCGCATCTTGCCCACAGGCCGGTGGCTCTGGGGCCACACGGCAGAAAACAGCCATACCTGGGGGAGGCTGCTAAGACCCGACAACTCCCAGGGCCAACCACAACAGGCAAACCCCCGCCCCTCCCCCTGCACTCCGGGTCCCGGGCACCAGGAGCAACAGCTGCTGGGACACTGGGCCCTACCCCGGGGCCACTTTCTCTGCCACAGGGAGACCCCGCCCCTCCCATCAGCCGGCGCAAGGACCCAGGCAACTGCAAGCCCGTTTCCCCACAAGTGAGTTTCCCAACAGAACAGAGACTAAATACCCCAACGGTCTCCAGTCAGCTCCACTTTGGACACTCCCAGGCGGCGATCAAGGTCAAAGACCCGGCCTTTCCCGCCGAGGAGTCAGGCGGCAAGCGGCCAGGAGTCCCAGGCCCTGCGCCCTGCTCACCCCGTCCTCGGTCCGCGGCACCTGGCTCCCAGCACCACGCGGGCAGCGAGTGCTCGCTACAGCGGTTGCCCTAACCTCACGCAGCATCCGCACGCTCTCCCCCTGCCCCGAAACAAAACCCTGGACCGGCTGGTAACGCAATTAAAACCCGACGTGCGCTCCTGAGCGGGCCGCTCACCGGGCCAGCCTGCGCAGCCTGCGCATCACCCCCCTGCAGCTGCCACTTGGCTGTCAGGACAGCAACTGCCCTCACCTTCGCACACGCTCTCCAGCGAGAAGTAGGTGCTCTGGCTGATGTAGCCGGCCCCCTCCGTCAGGGACGTCACGCAGCCGATCAGCACCCGCGGGCTGGAGTCCGACAGCCCCAGGCCAGAGCCTTTGTGGTCATCTTCCCACTTGTCTGAAAGAGCTTCCACCTGCAAGACAGACAGACAAACAGCTGTCTACACACGGCAAGAGGACCCGCCACACCGCAGCAGCCCTCAGGGACACAGAAGCAGAAAGGCCAGCGAGGCGGACGTGGCAGGCACAGAGGCGCCGCAGCTCCACAGGCTCTGCCCCAAGTGCAAGGGAGCTCGATCCGTGAGCTCCTGACAGCCGAGTGGCAGCTGCAGGGGGGGTGATGCGCAGGCTGGCCCGGTGAGCGGCCCGCTCAGGAGCGCACGTCGGGTTTTAATTGCGTTACCAGCCGGTCCAGGGTTTTGTTTCGGGGCAGGGGGAGAGCGTGCGGATGCTGCGTGAGGTTAGGGCAACCGCTGTAGCGAGCACTCGCTGCCCGCGTGGTGCTGGGAGCCAGGTGCCGCGGACCGAGGACGGGGTGAGCAGGGCGCAGGGCCTGGGACTCCTGGCCGCTTGCCGCCTGACTCCTCGGCGGGAAAGGCCGGGTCTTTGACCTTGATCGCCGCCTGGGAGTGTCCAAAGTGGAGCTGACCGGAGACCGTTGGGGTATTTACTCTCTGTTCTGTTGGGAAACTCACTTGTGGGGAAATGGGCCTGCAGGCCACCCGGCAGGAGAAGGAACCGTGTCTCGGCCACTGCAAAAGCAGCGCCTGACAAGCCCAGGCCCTCAGAGAAGCCTCCCCAGCCTCCCTGACCTGCACAGGACACACTCACACGCCAGAGGCCTGGTGTGGGGCTGCCTCCCCTCCCCCCCCCCGCCATTACCCACCCCAGCGGGGGCCCTGCGAACTCGCTCCAGGATAAGGCCCCACCTGGAAACGCACCCAGCCCCGGGCAGGTGCCAGCAGCAAGCACAGACCGGCTCACCTGCGCCTCCGGCTGGGCCACCAATCAGAGGTGCCCCAGCCTGCTCCCCACCCCTCTCCACGGGAACAGCTCACGGAACCCAGAGGCCCAAGGGGGGTGGTCCCTCATCTGGGAGCCGCAACCCCCCACCCTGGGCCAGGAAGCCTGAAGATCAGGACTGCGTCCTCAGAGAGGGAGGATGGGGCCACGGAGAGAGGGCCAGCCCAGGGGCCCGCCCGCCTCACTGGCCAGCAATCGGGAACCAGTCGCACATAAACATCCCTGGACAATTTTCAAAGGAAAACCTAAGAGACCGAGGCTGAGTCTGGGTCATGTCACCTGGGGGCCCCACGGAGCGAGAACACCACTGGACCCACCCCGAGACTGTGGAAACGGACTGGCGGGCTTGAGGCTGTGCCTCCCCCTCACAAAGCTCCAGTCTCCTCAACACGTGGACTTTGGTAGCAAAAGGAACCCGACAAAGCAGACCAGAAGTATGGAAGCGACCCACGGTAAATCGCGGGAGTCACCCTGCCTTGCGCTCTGCTCGGGCAAGAGCCGCGGGCACTGGCCGGAGTTGGCCTGGCCAGCAGCACTAGCTGGGCAGTGCGGGCAGGGCTCCCGCCCCCTCCGGGGTGCACAGGGGCGGTTCCACAGGGAGTGGCTTGGCCATGGCCCAAACGTCCAATGTGCGGCCTCCTGACGAGCTGCTCCACTCCCGGGAATCCACACCCGAGAAGCGCCGTGCCCAAGCAGAGACACGAGTTACTCCTGCTGCTCAGACCCCAAGAGGCAATGGTGACCGGTTTAAGCTTTGCTGAAAGACCAGCACAGGCCCAGACACGGGACGCGGCCCCGCCCAGCACAGGGCTCCGGGCAAGCTGCGCCTCCCCAGGTTTACGCTGCCCTGTCGTCCACGGAGACCGCGCTGCCGGCCCCACCCACCCTCCGCCAGGCGCTCTCTGCAGGGAGGCCCGACGCCAGCCTCACCCTGATGGCCTTCAGCCCATTGGACACTTTGTTCTCCTCCACGACAGCAATGACCTCCTGGCCGACATTCAGAAGCACCTCACCAGCCACGGCCTCGCTGGAGAAGTAGATGAGGTCGTTGATCATGCCGTAGTCGCTGCAGTACCTGGTCACCACACCCTGCACGGTCTTCAGCTTTGTGTCCCCTGGCCAGGCAAAGGCGGCTGTCTTGGTGCAGGCACCAGCCACACCTCCAGCGCCCAGGAGGGTGGGTGCGGCCCAACAGGGGCCGGGAGACAGCGACCCCCAGGGCAGAGGGGCGCTCAAAAGGAGGTGCCTGGAGGCAGGCTGCCAGGTGCTGGGGGGCGGGGGGCCTGCGCGAGGCCCTCGCCACGCTGTGCCTGCCTGCACCCGTGACATGGACAGGTAGGCCGTCTACCCCAGGGCCGTCAGAGGCCCCCTCGCAGAGCGCACATGGGCTGGGGTACAGCACGAGATCCTGCCCGCACCCGACCAGTGATTGGGGCATCCTCTCTGTGCGCATGGCCGCCGTCCTCTCTCCCAGTCGCCACTGGCCGTCACCGGACTCCGTGTCATCGCTCCGAGCCAGGTGCTGGAAGGGACCTGCGCTGCGGGGCTGCATGGCCTGGGGCTCCAGCAGCATTCTCAGTCCCCCGGGGCTCTCCGGATGCTGGAGGCCTGGAGGAGCCGGGGGCGCCGCCACGAGCTCAGGAGCTCAGGGAGAGCTGAGGCCAGTCGCCAGGGGACCCTGACCTTCAGACGGCCCCAGAGAGCACTGGCCTGCGCGGGTCACCGCAGGCGTTTCTGACCTCTGCCCGGGGCTCCACCTCCCGGGCACACGCCCTGGGAGACGCCCGGTCCGGAGGCCGCCGCCCCCAGGACCCCAGCTCTGAGGGCCGCTCGCTCTGAAGGCCGCCCCCGACGCCCCGCCCGGAGGCCGCCGCCCCCCAGGACCCCAGCTCTGAGGGCCGCCCCCGACGCCCCGCCCGGAGGCCGCCGCCCCCCAGGACCCCAGCTCTGAGGGCCGCCCCCGACGCCCCGCCCGGAGGCCGCCGCCCCCCAGGACCCCAGCTCTGAGGGCCGCCCCCGACGCCCCGCCCGGAGGCCGCCGCCCCCCAGGACCCCAGCTCTGAGGGCCGCCCCCGACGCCCCGCCCGGAGGCCGCCGCCCCCCAGGACCCCAGCTCTGAGGGCCGCCCCCGACGCCCCGCCCGGAGGCCGCCGCCCCCCAGGACCCCAGCTCTGAGGGCCGCCCCCGACGCCCCGCCCGGAGGCCGCCGCCCCCCGCCCCGTCCACAGCGCCCCGCCGCGAGGACCGCCCCCTCCCCCCCCACCCCGCACCTTCCACGAGCTCGGGCCCTGGCGGCCCCGCGGCGCCCTCGGCTCTCCTCCAGAAGAAGGCCACCACCTTGGCCGCGAGGCGCAGCATGGCCGCGCCCTCGACCCCGCACGCCCCCGCACGCACGCGCCTCGCGCTCCAACGCCGGCCCGGCGGTCGCCCGCCCGCGCCCTCGCGCCCAGCCAATGGGGTCCCTGCGTCTGCGCCTGCACCGCCCCCTGCGGAGCTCGGCCAATGGGGTCGCTGTGCCCGCGCCTGCGCCTGCGGCCCTGGGTGCCCGGCCAATGGGATTGCTGTGCTTGTCGCCGACTGGGCCGACCGTTGGCAGCCGTTTCCGGGCTGCCTCGTGGCCACGTGGGAGCGAGGGCACGTCCAGTGCACGTGCAGGGGCGGGGTCACCGTAGGCGGGGCCACGCGGGCGTGGTCACTTAATGGGCGGGGACTCTTTAATGGGCGGGTCTCCGGTGGGCGGGGCACCTTTGTGGGCCGCGCGGTGGGTGCGTCCTCGGTGGGTGGGGCAGGGCGGGAAGACTCGGTGGGCGGGGCCTCGGGTGGGCGGGGCCGCCCTCAGGCCGCCGCCTCTTGCTCTGCTGTTGTGAAGTTACTGCTGTTATTTCTTCCTCGCGTACCTTTTTGTCGTCTTTTAATTTGTGCTTTCCTAATTGATTAAAGTGGGAAATCAATGACTTGGAGCTTTCCTTATTTTGTTACTGTGAGCACTGAAAGCTGTTCAGTTTTCTGATTTCTGATCCAGCTGCGTTCCACCGAACTTGACTTGTATCTTTATTTTTGCTCTCGCTTGGTTTCCAGTTTCTTTTCTCATTTCTTCTTTCACCCATGACTTGTCTCTTAGTGGTATGAAGTTTTGTTTTTAAATAGTTCGGGACCTTCCAGGTATTTCTTAATGATTCCTGACTTAACCGTATCTTGGTCAGAGGATAAATCGGGGGAGTCCTCCAGTCTGGCCACCACAGGGCTTTTGCACGCACTGCACCTGCTCCTGGAGGCCCCCTCCGGCCCCAGAAGGCCCACCCCGAGCCCTCGGGCAGCACCGCACTTCCTTCTGTGAAGTCAGGGGTGCTGCAGAGCTCACACTAGTCCACTCCTCGAGGTGCTCGCCCCCGCAGGACGCAGACTCACGGGGCCAAGTCCGCCTGTGCACCCCCAAAGCTCTGGTGCTCGCTGCGAGGAGTGCTCCGCGGCAGCAAAGGGAGGAGGGGGCTTAGGGCTGTGCTTGAAGCGGGTGTGGAAGGACAGGACAGGGCCCTGGCCCCACCGGCAGAGGCTCCTCGCCCAGGCCCCGGGTGAGCACGGAAGTGGTGAGATCCGCTTATCGTGTTCAAACAAAGAGGAACAGGGAGCGAGGCTCCCAGCCAGCAGGTCAACCCACCTCATTCCAGTTCTGGCGCTGCACCGGTTGGGAAGAAGGTCTGCACTTTTCGGTTGGCTTGAGACCACCTCCTGCTGCTGGATGGCGCGTGGAAGCCGATCCCAATCCTTCCTGCTTGGCTGAGACCAGGATGGAGCCCCCATGCTTGGCAGCGGGCGGGTTTGCCCAGGGTTTGTTTTTGCGGCTGAAGGAGGCTTTCAAAGTGCTCCGGTTGCTGCGCACAAAGAATCTGTCGCCGGCACTGCAAGGCGCCACGGCCCTGGGCCCCTGCCCATGCTCTGTTCAGTGGGCAAAGCCTGGCCTGAGCGGCCCGAGGCCCAGCGGGCAGGGTTCCGGCCACACCAAAGATGCTGGGCTGTGACCTGGACGGGGTCTCCACAGGGGCTGCACAGGGCATGTGACCGGCCGTCCGAATGCAAGTGAATCGCTTCCCAGCATGCATGGGGCTCCTGAGCAGCCAGGGCAGTACTCGGGGCTTCCTCCCAGGGAGCTTGCTTCTTCCGAGGCACCCACCTTGGTGCGGGGGCCTGTGGAGAGTGGCCAGCGGACACCCCGGGGTGGGCTGGTGGGGAGAAGACTGGGCCGATCGGGGCTCCGAGTGGGTCACGCAGCCCGCACAACCTTGCGGGCTCATTGGAATTCAGGACACCACTCTCGGTCGGCCCCAGTGTGGGTCTGCGGAGCCTTTGTCCCTCTGTGAATAGTTGTCCCTGGGAGCCCGAGGCCGCTGACATGGCAACAGGAGCCCTCCTCCAGAGGCCAGCCTGGCCAGCAGAGCGCCGGAGGACCGCGAGGTGAGCGCAGGCCGGGCCCGAGGTGCGTATTTTGCACTCCCTGTTCCCTTGCCACCCTGAGTGGCTGCACCCCGGGACCCAGCGCGGCTCTGGTGGAAGCGGGGGCAGCCCTGGGGGCCTGGACCAGGGAGGTGGGGACCCCGCAGCCCTGCCCCAGGCTCTCGGGGCTTCTCAGGAAGGCGGTTCTGTCCACCTGTTAAAACAGGGGCTTGTTCTCAAGTTTGAGAACGCTCAGTCGGTGCAGGCCCAATTTCTTTTACTGACGACTTTCAAAAAAGCATGTTTTGAAAGCGACTTGTTTAAATCAGCCATTTGTCAGAGCGCTGGAAAGTAGATGCTGATGGTGTTGCTGGTAACTTGGGGGCCGCACAGGTGACCGCAGGCCCGTGGCCGCTCATGTCCTGTCTGTCCCCGAGCGCCATGACGCGGGAGGAGCCAGGCAGGGAGGAGCTGGCTTACGACCGGACCCCCACCCTGGAGCGCGGCCGGCCAGACGCGGGGGGCTACGTGCCGGGCCCCAAGCCCAGCGACCTTCAGCTGTCCACGCGGCTGCCCCGGTGCCTCAGCCACAGGACATGGGTCTTCTCCGTGCTGATGGGGGTGAGTCTCACCATGGGGCCTCAGACGTCATCCTCGGCCTGTGGCCTGGCGGGCGGCCCCAGTGGTGGGGTTGGCAGGGCCCGGTCCCCCTGCTGCTCCTCGTGCCTGGGCTCCAGGGTCCCTTTCCTCCATTCCCAAGATCTGTAGCACCGGCCCCGCCGGCCTCAGGCTGAGGCTACTACACATCCCAGCCGGGGAGGGACAGCCAGGGCCCCGCCAGCAGCCCTGTGCCCCGCAGCCCGCACGGGAACCCACCCCTGCTGTGGCCCCGCCTAGGGGTGCGTGTGCCTGGCCACTTCTGCCCCACACCCGGGTCCTCGGGCCCCAGTGGGTGTGCGTGACCCCCTACCTGGACCCCCCAACACTGCCATTCCCCGTGGCCTCCGCTCTACTGTGAGTTCCCAATACCTTGGGGGCCCTGGGGGCCCCTTGCCACAGGAGGCCCCACTCCAGGGTCCCCTCCCAAGTCTGCTGCAGAGGGGCCAGTGGGGCTGTTTGCCAGGCTCTGCACCTGCGGAGTCCGGAGGCCCCAGACTGCCCATGTTGGGGTGAGGGCGTTTTCTGGAGGAGGCCCCTGTGGCTCCTGGCAGCACCAGGCCCAGCGGGGGGGGGGGGGCGCTGCCACTAGGGGTGTGCCCCCAGTGGGTCCCGCTCCGGCGCAGGGCGGGCGAGGGCAGGTGCGCGCTCAGGCCCGCCACGCCGGCTTCCTTTCGCAGAGCTGCCTGCTCGTGACCTCGGGGTTCTCGCTCTACCTGGGCAACGTGTTTCCCTCGGAGATGGACTATCTCCGCTGCGCTGCAGGCTCGGTGAGCGCAGCGGCGCCCCGGCGTCTTCGCCCTGAGACCCGGGGGACGGGAGCTCCTCATCCCCTTGCGGGACTGCAGCCTCGAGCAGGCTTTACTGCTTTCGAAACGACTGATGGGTCAGACTCTCCAACCCGGAGCCGGTGCTGGGCCGGCAGGAGTCCCCTCCCCAGCCCGTGCTTATGGATGCACCAAGGTGGGGGCTGCCCCCCACCCCCCGAGGGGCGACCAGCCACCCCACCCGAGGGCCGGCCCAGACTCAGAGGGGCCCTCTGGGCAAACCCCACCCCAGCTTCTGAGACCACAGGCCGTTTTCACTCTCAGTGATGGTCACCCGCACCTCAGCCCCCCTTCAGCCCACGCCTCCCCTCCCCTCACGGGGGTGGGGGACAAGAACAGGCCACTTGGGGCCCCTTCTCTTGGCCACACAGCCGGGGGCTGCCCGTCCCACACTGCCGCCCGCGCCCCGCCCATGCCCCCACCCCCCACCGCCCTCCCCCTGCCCTCCCCATGCCCCCCACACCCCCTCGCCGCCTCCCCCTCCACCCACCCACGCCCCCAACACACCCCTCTAGCAAGGACACGTCCAGGCAGACTCGGTCACCTGCTCTGGCCTGGCCACGTCCCCAAACATCTTCAAACACAGAACAGACGCCTTCGTCCCTTCACCCTGTGCCCCCACCCCCGGTGCTGCCCAGTCTCCGCTCCCTCAGAACTGCCTGCCCGTGGGTTCTCCTGGGACCTCGCCGGGGCTCCTGTTGTGCTCCCGGCCGAGGCTGCAGGAACCGGGGTGCCCCCTCTGCCCGACCCCCCCACTCATCCTCTCCCTTATGCCTGCCCCAGCTCGTGGGGGCCACGGCGAGGGGTGGGGGCAGGCGGAGGGGGCCGTGTGGGGCAGCCCACCCGCGCTGTGCGGTCCGGGGCAGGCGCGCCCGGTGGGAGGGCTTCAGCCCCCAGCGCGTGTGTCAGGTCATGGGAAAGCGCACGATCTTTCAGAGCAGAGCTGTTGGGGCACCCGGCCTCTTGGCCCCCGGCGCAGCCCTGGGGCACCGCGCTGTGCTGGGCACACTGGGGTGGACACGCGCACGTTAGCAATACTGTAAGCAGCGCTGACTGCTCGGGTCCGGCTGGTCAGGCCCCGGTCACCGAGCTTGGTTTCTCGGCAGTGCGTCCCCTCCGCGATCGTGAGCTTCGCCGTCTCCAGGAGGAACGTCCACGCTGTGAGTCCACGGGCTTGGAGGCGGGCGCGGGCAGGTGCGGGCGGGGGCTCTGTGGCCCCGCGGGTCCTCCTGTCCCCCTCTTTCTTAGGTGCCCGGAGGGTACAGCCCGTCTCCTTGCAGATTCCTGACTTCCAGATCCTGTTCGTGTCGGCCTTCGCCATCACCACCACCTGTCTGATCTGGTTCGGGTGCAAGCTCGTCCTGAGCCCGTCGGCCATAGACGTGAGTCCTGCCCGGCGCCCTGCTGGGCCCCGGGGCGGCGGGCAGCGGGCGGCAGGGGTGCTTCGAGAGCTGTTTGTTTCTGGAAGAAACACTGGCCTGTCCTGCTCCGGCTGCTCGGGGCAACCCGTGGCCGCCCGGTGGAAGCCCCCCTCGTCGTGGGGCTGAGCGGGCAGGACACGAGCCGCTGCCCCAGGGAGCCCGAGTGGGGGAGCCAGTGGGGAGCGCAGAGGAGAGCGCACCACCCTGTCCCGGGCCCAGCAGAGGTGACCAGGAGCTCGGCCTCAGGCCAGCGCGCCCCCGACGCCCCGCAACCCACGCCCCGTGCCAGAGGCTGCCCTAGCGGGCTCGTCTGGGCTCGCGCCCCGATCAGCGCTGCCTCTCAGCCTGCGCCCCCCCGCCCCCCCCCGTGGGCCCCCACGGCCCCCGACATCCCCCCACACGCCGCCCCCCGCCCCCCGCGCCGCCAGCCCAGCCCCGCAGCTCCTGTCCCTTCGCGCCAGCTTTCACCCAGTCTGGTTTAGAACAAGCTCCTGGAAAGCGCGGCTGGGGCTCCGCCCACCGGGGCTCCCCGGGGCTCCCTGAGGGCCGCCTCCTTTGTGCTGGGTCTGGACAGGTGCGTGGCTGCCCAGCCGGGTGCTGCCCGCGCCCCTGTCCCCGTGTGAGTCCAAGGCGCCCCCAGGTCTGATGGCTGCAGCGGCGTCCGCCTGCCCCCCGCCCAGCGCCCCTTCCATCCTCCCCGCCCGCGGCCCAGCGGACGCGCCCCGGGAGCGCCCCGGCCAGGCCCTGGCAGACTGTCCCGGCCAGATCCGCCGGCCTGACTGGGCTCGGAGCACGTGGGACCCCGGGAGCCCCGCGTCCGTCCGCAGCGGGGTCACAGTCCCAGTGAGAGCACGGCGGGGGGCTGGCCCACCGCTGGCCCGCGCGGCCTCACCCTGCCGCGCCGCGGAGACGCGAGAGTTTGCAGGAACGCAGAGTCCCGCCCCAGCTTCCCGCTCGGGCCAGAGCCCGGCTCGGCCACCGGCGCCCCGTGACTGTCCCCCTCAGCCCGGCCTCTCCCCTGGCACCGTCGTCGCGCGGGCAGAAGCTTCACGAGCAGGACGGCTGCTCTACGCACACCCCTGACAGGGACAGGCCGACGCCCCATGCGCCCTCCCGCCGCCCACCTGCCGCCCCTCAGCGGTGCCTCGATTCCCCCCTGGCCTGTCCAGGCCCGTTCAGAGGTGGCCGCTGACCCTTGTCCTCTTGCGCATCGGCTGCTGGGCCGCACCGGCGTGGGCTGACCGCCGCATGCGATGGCCTTGCCTCGGGCCAGGCTCACGTGGAGCCCCGGGGGCCCCTCATCCTCAGTCTGGCTGTGGGGATTTCCCTTCCTGCACCTCCAGACACCCCAGGGGCAGAGCCGAGGGGGCCAGGGGAGTAGGACGTCCCTCCAGGAAGGACAGCGGGGCGCAGGGCTGCCTGGCTGTGGGTAGCGGGGACGGCCGTGGGCAGAGCTCGTGGGACACAGGCTTGGGAGGGGCAGCCCGCACCCCAGTGGAGCTGCCGGGCTGAACGCTGCTCAAGGGGTGCCGGGGTCGCAGGGCCGGGGCTGCGGGCGCCCCGCCCCCAACCCCACCCAGCTGGCCGTGCGTGGACTTGGCCACGGGGGGCAAGAGCGGCATTCCCCCCCCCACCCCGGCAAGCACGCAGAAAGCGAGGCCAGAGGCTGGCCGCCTGCGACCCCAGGGCCGAGTCCAGGCCTCGCGCCGAGACTGCCTGAATCCAAACCCGGCCAAGCCAAAGGGGCCCAGCGCCCAGGGAGGGGGACCCGAAGCCCCATGCGGCCCCCCGCAGCCGAGCGCGTGAAGCCAGGTCTGGTCGCGCCGCTTCCCTTGCAGATCAACTTCAACCTGATCCTGCTGCTCCTGCTGGAGCTCCTCATGGCGGCCACAGTGATCCTGTCTGCCCGGTCCAGCGAGGCACACGGCAAGCTGAGAAGGGTGGGTGCAGGCCGTGCGGGCCGTGCAGGCCCAGCTCTGGGGCTCCTGCACCCCGCGGCCTTGTGGGGGGAGGGGGCAGAGGACCGCAGCCGAAGAAAGCCCCGTGGGCGGCCCCGGCCCGCTGCTGGCCACCTGCCGGGCAGCGCGTCTGCCTCCGGAGCACTGGCACGGCCTGGACACCGGCAGCCGCGGGCCTGCCCACAGCGTCTGCTTCTCTCCAGGGCTGCGTCCCTGAAAGCACCCACCCCCTGGACGAGGCGGCCTTCCCGGCCCGGGCCCTCAAGTCCTACTCGGTGAGAGACTGCCCCTGGGGCGGGGCCGGCGGCTGCGGGTCCTGGTGGACGCGGCTTCCCCCCAGCCCGGCAGCCCTGGGCGCCTGCCCCGCCCGTGTCTCTTTGAAGGGCGCTGAGCTCTGCTCCCATGGCCCCGGCAGCCTCTTCCTCCTCCTGGCCTTGCTGTCTCCTGTTGCCTGGCCCCCCCACCCCCCCACCCTGTGGGCCAGAGCAGGGGTCAGGCTGGGGGGGCCCTGGTCTGGGGGTCCAACGGCCGGGGCGTGTGCCCCGCGGGGCGGACCTGGGGTGGGCGTCCGCGTCTGTGCCCTGGCCCAGCCCGGCCCCACGTCCATGGCACCCACAGGTCATCGAGGTGATTGCCGGCGTCTCGGCCGTCCTGGGTGGCGTTATCGCTCTGAACGTGGACGAGTCCGCCTCGGGCCCGCACGGCTCAGTGACCTTCTTCTGGATCCTGGTGGCGGTGAGCACGGCCAGCCGCGGGGCTGGCCCAGGGGCCGCAGATGGAGCCACTGTGCCGGTGACGGGCAGAAGCGGGGTGGGCGGGGACTGGGGCCAGCCGCTTGCACCGTGGCCATCAGGACCCTCCAGGGCTGGGGCTGACGGAATGTCTCACCAGGCACTGCAGGCCACTTGGCCTCTTCTTGGCCGCTGCTTCTCTGCCTAGCTGCGGGCAGCGGAGGCCACGTCTGCAGTCTGACCCCAGCCAGTTGCCGCTCATGTCTATGTCCCTGCAGTGCTTCCCGAGTGCCGTGGCCGGCCACGTGGCGGCAGAGTGCCCCAGCAGGTGCCTGGTAGGTGTGCCGGACCCTGGCCAGCACCCTGGCTGCTCCTCCCTGTCTCGCCCGAGCCTCGCTTTTAGCCACCCGTGCGGCCGGACCTTCATGGGCGCCGTCCAGGCAGCCTCCCCGTGGGGGGCAGGAGGAGCTGGCTTTTGGGCCAGGGGAGGTCACCCTTCCAGCGTGGACAGCTGTGCCCCATGGGAGGGGCTGGGATCGCAGACCGAGCGGCTCAGCAGGAGCCCCAACGGCTGGGCCTCTGTCCCCGTGGGGCCCAGACGGCGTCTCTGTCCGGCCAGGTGGAGGTGCTCATCGCTGTCAGCAGCCTCACAGCCCCCCTGCTGTTCACGGCCGCCGGGTACCTGTCCTTCAGCGTGATGAGGGTCTTGGAGATCTTCCGGGACTACCCGCCCTCCATCAAGGTAGGGCTAGGGTCTCTGGCAAACCCTGTCCAGCTTCCCTCTGTGGCCAGTCAGCCCCAGCCACCTGCCCACCTGCCCCACGGCTGGCCGCTGGCGCCACCCAGCTGCTTCCATTGTCCTGCTTCAGGCCCCCTGGGGTGTCCTGGCCCTGGACACGCATCTGCTGCGCCTGGACCCCCACCCGTGTTCACATAAGGGGTCAGCTGGTGGCCATGAGACTCTCTGTTGCCTTGCCATGGGCTTGGGGTGAGCGAGGGGTTGAACTTTGCCGGCAGGACTTCCTGGGGCGGTGCGCAGCTCTGGCCCCAGGCGCAGGGGCTTCCCTCCAACCATGCGCTGTGTCCAGCGTGGAACGCCCCCAAACTTCCCACGTGAAAGTCCAGGCACGCGGAACCACCCAGCCCCGAGCTGGACAGGCCTCCCGCCGCTCCTGCCAGGAGGACGCCCCAGGCCTAGCCACCATGTCCAGCTGGCTCCCTGTGGACGCTGGCAGTCCCTGGGGCCCTAGCCCCAGGCCTCAGCCACCTGCAGGCCATCTTTGTGCCCGTTAAGCCCAGAGCAGCAGAACTAACACTAAAACTGCTTCCTTAGGTCTCCTCTGTGGAGCTGGCGCCAGCGCTCCAGGTCTCCAAGCCACAGGCTTCGGGGGCGGTCGGCCGGGGAGCGGGTGAACCGGGGCTTGTCCACATGCTCTGGCCCTGCTTGCTCTAGCTCTGGAGCTGGCGGCCCCGGGTGGGGTGGGTGGGGTCCGGCCGTGGGGGGCACAGTTGCGGGGCCACCTGCGCGGGCTCCCGCGGGGCCCCCGTGCAGAGGAGGGCCATGGCGCTCACCGCTGCGTTGGCCCCACAGCAGTCCCAGGACGTGCTGCTGCTGCTGCTGCTGCTGGAGCTACTGCTGCAGGCCGGGCTCAACACGGCCACAGCCATCCAGTGTGTGCACTTCAAGGTGGGCACGGCCTGGGGCGCCCCGCCGGCTGACACGCAGGAGCGCCCGGCTGGCCAGGTGAGGGCCCCTTCCCTGGCCTGGGGCGCCGCCCGTGCTCTGGCTGCCCGCAGAGCTGCCATGTTGCCGTGGGGTTTATAAAGCGCCTGGAAGTCTTGAGCAAGACCCGCGACGCTTTCTGGGCCGGCCAAGCCAGCACCATCCGGCCCTGAAAAAACACGTCCCGGGCTGGCCCTTTCCGCTTTCCTCTCACAGTGCAACGGGGTTGCAGGGTGCACGCAGGCAGAGCTTCCTCCTGGCCTCTGGGGGTGCTCTGCCAGGGTGGGGCGCTCCCAGCCCACCAGGCTCCCTGCAGCCCAAGCTCTGGGGGGGAGGTACACCCTGGCCCTTTGCAAGGCTTCAGGCTGCGCCGACCATCTCTGCCCAGGCCCTACCACTAGGCCGCCATAACTGAGAGGCCAGGCCGGCGTCCCCTTCCCTGGGGCTGCCCGTCCAGGCCGCGTTCTCGTGGAGAACTGTCCTCGAGGCCTGCGGTACCCTGTGCACCAGGGGCAGCTGCTCAGACCACCAGGGCCGCTGCAGGGTAGACTGGAGTCGTTCCCGCTAGGTCCGGTCTCAGAGCCCCTCTCCCGTGCTCTGCGCACCCCCTCACGGCCTGGAGCTGCTGGCCTCCGGGCCTTTGCACGCGCTGCTCTTGCTGGGGCCCCCGCCCCAGCCCCCGCCACCTGGGTGCCACTTCCTGCCCGGTGGTGCCTGCCCCTGCGGGGGTAGCCTGGACCCTGGATACCTGCCCCATCCCGTGTTGGGATCAGAAGGCACAGGCAGGCTCTGGAGCTGCCAGGCCAGGGGGTCGGGCCTGGGGACTGTCCTGTCTCTGGGGGTCCTGGGGGTCCTGCCTCGATGTTTTCCTTCCTGAAGGCAGGCCCGTGGGGAGGGCTTCCCGTCGTCCAGGCCAGGCCCAGCGCCCTCTCTACAGCGGCAACCGCCCCTGCCCCGAGAGGACCAGGGAGGCCTCTGTGCCCTCCGCCCCTGCCTGCCCGCCCGCCTGCCCTCAGGCGACGCTAGCGAGGCCTCGGAGCAGGTGCAGACCCTGGGCCCCCACCGTTGGGCTCAGACGAACGCCCCCAAACCACCAGTCGGGCTTGTGCAGGGCCCACCCACCGGGGCCCCGCGCCTCCCCAGGCAGTGGGGGCAGCTGGACGCACTGGATGCGCTGGCGCTGGTGTGCCCCCCACTCCAAGCACAGGGGTGCCCAAGCTCAGGCGGTCACGTGTCCTGTCTCACCGCAGGCCAGAAGCCCCCTGAAGGAGTTTGACAAGGAGAAAGCCTGGAGAGCCGTCGTGGTGCAGATGGCACAGTGACCGGCGGGAGGCCGACCCAGCAGGCCGCCCGCACCGCAGACCCCCTGGCGTCTCCACCCCAGGGTGCCGCGAAGGGCCCCTTTGGTAGTTTAATTCTGAAATCAGCAAGTTAATTCTGAACTCTTCCGGCTCACTGGTCCGGTCAGCTCGGCGTGTCCCCGGTGGCCTGACCGCAGGGGCAGCGCAGGGCCCGGGGGGGGGGTGGGGAGGGGCCCACAGAGCTGGGCTTGGTGGCCGGCCCGCCCGGCGGCCCCCGCCTCTGCCCCTCCACGCTGCCTGGGGCAGACCCACCTCTGCCCAGGCGTGTCCCCCACGTGCCGCGGCCTGCCCTCGCCCGGTCACACAGGCGCAGAGGCCCACAGTCTGCTCTGGGCCTGGGGCTCTGGCACCTCTGCGAAGCCCACACGAAGACAGACAGACGGACAGCACACGTCAGGTGGGCCGGTCCAGGCTGACCGCCGCTGGCCGGGGGGCCTGCTCCACTCCCCTCGCCTGGCTCAAAGAGCAAGAGCCAAGGGCCTCGCTGGGCGGTCCGTCCCCCGCCCCTCACTCAGCCGCCGTCCAGCGGGGCCGGGCAGCACGCCCCTTCTCCCCGCACGCCGGGGCGCCTGGAGCTGCCAATGTCTCCCAGGGACACCCATCGCCCCAGAGAGCCGAGAGCCTGTTCTAAAGGGAGGCGTGCCCATCGATTTAGGAATTTGGGGGCAGATACTTCTGCCCGTGAGGAGGCTTTGCTCTCCTCCAGGTGGGGAGTCCTGGGGGTGTCAGTCCCTGCTCTTCTTCAGCCAAGGTGTTGGGGCGCAGCTGTCGGGGCGGCGGGCCCTCCAGTCTCACTGCTGAGTGCAGGAGACAGCTGCGGGGACCCCCGGGCCCGTGACCCTCAAGAGAGCTCTCCAGCAAGCAGGAGGGATGCAGGCCAGACTCCCGAGAGGCCGCGCACGCCAGCCCCAAAGTCCTGTCCGCAGCCCTGGCTGCCCCGTCAGAGGTCCAGGAGGTCCGGGAGGCCCCCAAGCCCCCAAAGCCCCACCCGCACCCCAGGGGACGCACTTGAGCAAGGACCCTTCCGCACAGCAGCCCCTCCCGAGCCCTCCTGGAGCCCACCTGGCCACTGCCCTCCCCGCTGCACCCTTGGGGACGGCGCTGGGGCTTCCAGCAGACGACACAGGCCCACAGGGGCAGCCCAGCCCCTGGCGCTGCTTGGGCTCCAGAAAGTCTGAGCTGTGGAGCGTGTTGGGTGGGGGCTCTGGGGCCTTAGGCTCCCTAATTTTAGAACGGCCTGGATCCCCCCACCCAGTGTCTAACTCTGCCTGAGTAATAAACGCTAACTTGCGCCTGCGCTCACTGGGCCTCCGCACGTCCCTGCCCGGCTCTGAAAAAAGAGGTCAGTGGTAGGGGCTGGAGGATTCCTGGACCCTGGGGGTTTGGGGGGGCAGCCCAGGGTCCCCCTGCTGGGGCGGAGGGCTGGCCCCACCTGGTCCTCCCAGCTGATTCCCATCCTGGGCAGAAGCTCGCCGGTGGGCCATCTTGGGAAGTTAAACGTGAAACAATTGTTTTTAACCCAATGAGATGCCGGTTAGGTTTGGGGAAGCCCCTGGAGGCCCCCCATGCTGGCCCCGCGGGAGGGGGACAGGACCTGGCCTGTCCACCCGCAGGCGAGGCCCCAGGTGACCCTGGAAGGCTCGCACTCCCTGCCGCCTGGGCGCACGGCGGGCCGGCCGGAGGGGACACCAGTGCGCAGGGGGGCGGGGTGCGCCCTCTCGCCCATGTCGGCGCCCAGGGGAGAGGGCGGGCGGGGCCCCCCGCGGCGCCCGGCGGTGGGGGCGGGGAGGGGGCCGGTGCCCCTGGAGTCTTTGTGACCCGGCGTGAGGCGGGTCTGACCGCGGGGCGCGCAGCCGGGCGGGGCGGCACCCGCGGCCCCGGCGGGCGGCGAGACCACAGCGAGCCCCGTCCCCGCCGCCGCCATGGCCCTGGCGCTCGGCGGCCCCCGCCCCCGCGCCGGCCCGAGCCCCGCCCCGGCCGCCGGCCCCGACCCGCGCCCCGCGCCGCGCCCCGGCGCCCCCGACGGCGGCCCCGCGGCGCCCGCGCGCCCGCGCCGCGCCGGCCCCAGCTGCAGCCGCGCGCGGGGCCCCCCGCCCGCGCGCCCGCGCAGCCCCACGCCCCGCGCCGGCCGCCGCCCGCCCCCGGGCCGCCGCGCGCGCCCGCAGCCCGCGCCCCGCGCCGCCCTGCCCGCGCTCGTTGCCCCGGGCGACGCGCGGACGCCGGGGGGCGCGGCCGGGGGCGGGGGCGCGGCGCGCGCCGCGGGGCCGGGCCGGGGTGAGCCGCGTCCCTCCCCGCGGAAGCCCGGCCCGCCCCCCCCCCCCCCGCCCCGACGGCCCGCGCGCCCCGCGCCCCGGCCCCGCCCCGCCCCGCCCCGCCCCGGAACCCGCCCCGCCCCGGAGCCCCGGCCCCGGACCCGCCCCCGCCCCCGCCCCGGCCCCGCGGCCCCCCATCCCCGCCCCCGCCCCCGCCCGCCCCGGACCCCGCCCCCGCCCCGGCCCCGCCCGGGCCCCCCATCCCCCCCCCGCCCCCGCCCCCGCCCGGGAGCCCCGCGGCGCGCTGACCCGGCTCTCCTCGCAGGGGCGCGGGCCGCAGCCGGGGAGCACGGCGGGCCGCCGCCGCAGGCCGCGATGGAGCCGCGCGAGGACCAGGGCCCCCCGCGCCCCGCGCGCTCGCCGGAGGGCGCCCGCAGAGACGAGAAGAGTCTGTATCGCCCGCGGGCGCGGGCTCGGGGCCTGGGGGCTCGCGGGGGCTGCGCGCTCGGTCCGTGCGGGCGAGTCCCACGGGGGGCGGGGGGCGCCGGGGCGGGGCGGGGGGGCCGGGCCCTGTCCCCGCCCGCCCCTCTCGGCCCTCCCGCCGGCCTGGGGTCCCCGGCCCGGCTCTCAGGCCCCCCGCGGCCGGTCCCCGTGTTTGGGGGCCTCCTGGTGGGGGTGCTGGCGCCTTTGCTGTGTCTGGGCTGGGGGGGCGCGGGGCTGGGGGTTCCCCAGGAGGGGGGGCCGGCCCGCTGAGGGGCGCCCAGGGGTTCGCCATGAGTGTGATGTTTCTCCGGGTTTAAACCCAAGCGCCCCTTTGCTCCCTTCGAAGGAGGGCGTCTTGGACAGGCCGTGGGGGGGGCAGGCTTGCTGCAGTCTGGGGGGCGGGTCCCCACCCTCGCCACCTGGGCTCCTGGCGCCGCGGGGTGGTCCTGCCCTGGACCTGACCTGTCCGTGCTCCTTCAGGACTTTCTGTCCCTCGGCGAGCGGGGGCGCCTGGGCTCCGCTCTCGCGCTGTCCCTGCGGGTTCATTAAATTTGGGGCGTCGTAAGAACGACGGGGGCCTGGTGCCCAGTTACTGGAGGGCCGGCGTGGTCCCCTGCGCAGGGGAGCCTCCCGGCCGGGCTTCCTGGGAGGCGACAGCTTCCCCCGGCGCTCGCGTCTTTGACAGCAACAGGCCGCCCGGATCTGTGCCCGGCTGGTCACTGCTGGCCCGAGAGCAAACGTCCATGCCGGCCGGCTGCCCAGTGGGGCGGAGGCCGCCCCCGGCCACGCCGCCGTCCTCTCGTCTTTCCCGACCCGCGTGCTCCGACGCTTTTTGGCTTCTCCGAGTTGTTCCAAAGGGCCCGGTGGTGTTTGTTCAGTTTCTCGGCAGCGTTTGCCGAGGCGCGGCCTCCGCGGCGCCCGCTCTCCTGCCCGTGGTCCCCGGCGGCCGTGGGGAGGCGGAGGGCCCGCGCGGGTCCCTGTCTCTCTAGCGGCAACATTGCCTCGGCCGGTGTCGCCCCATCGCGGCCCTGGCCGCGGCTCAGCCTCTCGCGCTCACCCCGCTCTCGGCGTTTCGGTTCTGGCGCCTCCTTGGGCCTTGGCCCCATTTGTCTGCAGGGTTGCGGCTGGAGTGCTGCGCCGCGGGAGGCCCCGTGAGGGCCGCTCGGCCCGGGGCTGTCGGGACTCCGCGCCGCGGGGCCTGGGGCCCCGGCTGTGGCCGCCCCACCGGGGGCCGCGCGGGGCGGGCAGCCACGTCAGAGCCGCCGGGGCCTCCATGTTTTGTCTGCTCCTTCGTTGCCGAGGGGCAGTCAGAGCCCGACGGGCCGGGGCCGCGTCGCTGCAGCGTCCGCCTGAGCCCCGTCCGGGAGTCGCGGGCACCCGTGCGCACCTTGCGGTTTGTGTTCCTTCCTGACAGACAGATCTTTGCGCTGTCTTGGAATCGCTCCTTGGTCCTTATCGTGACTTCATGAAATTTGTTGTTAGTATTTCTGAGCTATTTCAGCGGGTATTTTCACATTTTCTCAATAGTTACACGTATCTGTAACAATGACAGTTTTTACAAACCCCAGTTTCTCTCAGAGCCAAGACAAGGACAGTAACTCCTTAATGACACCCAGCACGCAGCACACGCCCCCCACACACGCCCCCAGCACGTGCGCCCCGCCTATGCACCCATCTCCCCAGCTTTCTCCAGGTAGCGTTCCGTAGGTTTGCTCAGCGTGGGCCCGGGCAGGACGCTGGCGGTGGGGTCGCGCTGGCGACGTCCCCTGCGTGGGCCGAGGCTTTGGGCTAAAGCACTGGCGTGTGCCTGGTTCCTGGGCCACGGGGAGCACCCGCAGGGGATGGCCGAGCCACGGGGCTGCTAGCCCCCCTGTGGCCGGGGGCAACCGGGGCACGGGCGAGAGGCCGGGTGGTCCAGAGGGCGTGCCTGGCGAAGCACAGAGGCTGAGGTCCAGGCTGGGCACCTGCGGGCAGGCGCAGGGGGAGGGCGGGGGGTGGCCAGGGCTGCCTGGCAGAGTGGCTAGCGGCTGTCCTGTGTGACCAGTGCCTGGGCCCCTGCGGGTCTGTGCGTGGGCCCCGCTCCAGCCGAGCAGACAGGCGTGGAGAGGGAGCTGACTTGGAGGGCATGGGTGCGAGAGCTGCCCCTGGTGTCTGTGGGCAGCAGGCAGGTGCCTGAGGCGTTGCCAGAACAGGCGGGGAGCTCTGCGGGCGGGGCAGCACGGGCAGTGGGCAGAGCAGGCTGGGTGCCTGGCCCTGGGGAGCCGTGGGCTGTGGCTGGGAGGCCTTCCCTTCGCTGCCATGTCCGCCTCTCTTTTGCAGAATTAAAACGAGGGATTTCCCAAGAGTTGATGTCATCCCCCCAATTAGACAGATACAAAATAGCCAAGCAGTTGACAGAAAAAGCCATCAAGGTGGGTGCTCTGGGGCTTGGAGGCAGGAGGGGGAGCGCTCCCTAAAGAGGTCTTTTTGGGAATTGGGAGCGTGAGTCTGCTGCTGGCCCCAGGCCCAGGTCCCGCTCGCAAACCCGAGCAGTGCAGACAGCAAGCTTTGGCCTCCCAGCCGGCGTGACCCCAAGCCGGCTTCTGCTCACGGTGCCCCCTGCATCCAGCCCCCATGGGGCCAGGAGGGGGCACCAGGGTGTGCCTCCTCGGGACCCGATTCCCGGGGAGAGCAAAGCCTGCAGGCAGGGGAGCTTAGGTCTGGGGGAGACAGCACGGAGCTCTTTATCTGGGAGCAGGTGCAGCGTATCCTCAAAGTGTGCAGCCTCTGCTTTTGTTGGTTTGTGGGAAGCAAATGTCCAGGCTGCCAGGTGGTCCCCGGGTGTGGAGGAACCAGCGTGGCAGAGTGCACCCCCTCGGCGCCCCCCTCGGTGCCAGGAGGGCCCCATCCCCGCAGGCAGTGGGGCGGGTCCTGGGTGGTGCCCAGCGCCTCCCTGCCCGCCCCGGAAATGCCTGCGGGGGTCTGGGTGTCAGGGTGGCCTGGGCGCCCAGTCCACGGCCCCGCGCGTTTCCCCGCCTCCCCCAGAGTCACTTGTTTTCGGGTCTTTAATTTGAAGTCTGCTCTTGTGACTTGAGGAAAAGAAGATCTTCTCCATCTACGGCCACTACCCCGTGATCCGGGCCACCCTGCGCAGGAAGGGCTGGGTGGAGAAGAAGTTCCACTCCCTGCCCAGGGCCTGTCCAGGCGCTGAGGACGCGGGCACAGCTGGTGGGTGTCTGGGCCGCTCCACCTGGGCGTTCCGTCGGGGGGACCCAGAGCGAGCTGCTGGCTGTGGGTGGCCCTGGGGCTCCCCTGCCTGTGCTGGGGGCAGAGGGCCCCACTGCCATGCCGGGGCAGGCTGCCCCCGGCAGGGCCCGTGCACAGGCTGACCGCTGTTGCTGCTCAGAGGCCCACTGCCCCCACCGGGCCAGGCCTCCAGCTTCCGCAGTGTCCACTGCCTGTCGTCCCCCAGCTCCCTACTTGTCACCTGCAGACCACCAAATGTCAGCTGCGGCCCATATTGGTCCCTCAGACCCTTACTGAGGCCGCATCTCCCACTCTGCCGAGGGCGCCTGTGCCTCCTGGCGAGGGGCCCTGCCCCAGGCTGCTCTCGCCATGGTGGGGACCCCACAACCCACCCTCCCCAGGGCCCTGGGCCCACCCCCACGCCTCCAGGCCCAGCACTCAGCAGAGGGCCCTGCAGTCAGTGTGGCCTCAGGACCCACAGGGGGGCTCCCCCTAACGCCGGTGCTGAGATCCCTCGGGTGTCGTCCCTTGTGCTTGGGGCCGGGTCTCGAGGCCACACTCTGACCCCCGGGCTGTGCTTGCAGAGAGCAAAAGCACTGACGTCAGCGATGCAGGAGAAGTGGCCTTGGATGGCACAGAGGACATCCACGAAGTGATGGTAAGGCCCAGGTCCGGGCTGGGCGCCTGCGGGCAGGTGCAGGGGGAGGGCCTGGGACCCACCCCGCTCCCGCCCGGCCCGAGCGCCACCTGCCCGCAGCCTGCCGGGCCCCAGCCTGCCCGCCCCGCCCACAGCCCCGCCCCGCCCACACCCCGCCCCGCCCACAGCCCCGCCCCACCCCTGAGTGCAGCCCCGCCCTGAGCCTGCCCACAGCCCCGCCCCGCCCACAGCCCCGCCCACCACTGAGCCCGCCCCACCCCTGAGTGAGCCCCGCCCCCGAGCCAGCCCACAGCCCCGCCCCGCCCCCCGAGCCCCGCCCACGGCCCCGCCCCTGAGTGAGCCCCGCCCACCCCTGAGTGAGCCCCGCCCCCCCAGTGCAGCCCCGCCCCACCCTGATTGAGCCCCGCCCCACCCCTGAGTGCAACCCCACCTCTGAGTGAGCCCCGCCCCGAGCCCCGCCCACGCCCAAGGCCCCGCCCCTGAGCCCCGCCCACAGGCGCTGAGCTCCGCCCCCACCATGTTGAGCCCTGGCCTGCCCCGCCCACCGCCCCACCCCGGCCCCACCCGGAGCCCCGCCCCCCACGTGTGCGGACCCGGCCTCTGGGCCGCGGCCGGTGCTGGCCCTGGGGGGGACTGGGTGCCCCTCCCCGTGTCCCGTCTGTGGGGCCGGCCCGGCCGCTCACAGCCCTCGGCTCTGCTCGGGCGCGTCTTCCCGGGATGCGGCTCCCTGCCCGGGCCTGCGCGCCCGGCCCTGCCTGTCCCAGCGCCCCTGCTGGGCCGCCCACCCTCGGGCAGGGCAGCCCCGGGAAGGCGAGCTCCGCCGCCCGTTCAGCCGGCGAGACCCGCGGGGCGCACACGGCTGCTGTCGCCAGTCCAGGCTGGCGAAGAACGAGACGCCCTACTTCCTCTGGACCATCAAGAGGGACGTCGTCGACTACCACGGGCTGAGCGGCGAGCAGGTGCTCAACCACTACGGCAGGACGGCCTCCTTCACCACCAAGGTGCCCGCGGCCGGCCTGGCCAGCCCCGTGCCCCGCCAGGGTCAGCGTCCAGCCCCGCCGGCGCCCCCCCGCCGCGTCCCTCCCCAGCCACGCAGGCCCGGTCCAAGGCCTCTGGCTCCGCTGCCGCCGCGGGCCCACCCGCTCTGGCCGGGCGCCGAGCACCCCCACACCCCGGCTCGCCCTCACCCCTGGGAGGCCCACAGCCCCTCCCAGGAGACCGCGCCCGGCTCCTCGAGAGGGGAGGCTGGGGTGGGGCTGCCGTCGCCGACCAGGGGGAGGCTTCTCCAGCCGGGGGGGCCACCCCGTGGGTGAGGACGGCAGCGGGTGCAGGAGGGTCGGGCTGAGGCCCTGGCCATCCCGGGCTCCCGTGGGGCCTGGCCCGTGCCTCCTCGCCCAGCCCCTTGCGTGTGCCCTGCGGTGACCCGGCCACGGGGCCCCTGAGAAGCCCCCGCGGGAGCGGTGGCCTCTGCCCCCCCGCCGGCAGGCCTGGGGTGGTGAGCCGGGCGGCCCAGCGCCAACCCCCGGCGTCTGTAACCTCAAGTCCAACGTCCGCGGGCCGGGTGGGCCCCGTCACCGCTGGAGGACGGGGAGGTGGACGCCGCGCCCGCCGCCCGGCCACTGACCGGCCGCGCCAGGCCTGGCCTGCAGCCCAGCTCGCAGCCGCCCCCGCGCGGGGCGGGGAGGGACCGGCGGCCTTGTCCCCAGATCGGGCTGTGTGTGAGCATGCGGAGCCTGCCGTGGTACGCCCAGGCCGACCCCGACGCCTTCTTCCCGCGCTGCTACAGCCTCTGCACGGACGGCGAGAAGCAGGAGTTCCTGGGTGAGCGCCCTCCCGCGCCGGCCTGAGGGCTGTGGGGGCCGCCGCCCGGGAGGTCGGGGCCTGGGGCTCGCGGGACGGTCTCGGAAGGGCTGAGGAAGAAGGGCGGGAGGCGGTGAGGGTGCCCGGCCGTGGCCCTGGGGGGCCGGGGGCGCCAGCTGCGAGGGTCGCCGCTGTGGGGCGCCAGGGCCCAGCGAGCTGGCGAGGGCCCGGGCCGGGGGCGGAGGGGCGAGGCCTTCGTGTCCTTGCAGACGACTTCCGGCGCACCGCCGCCTCCAGCATCCTCAAGTGGGTGGTCAGCCACCAGGGCTGCGCCCCCGGCAGGGCCAAGGCCCCGCGGGAGGAGGCCAGCGACGGCGACCCCGGCGGCAGGAGAGGTCAGTGGCCGGGGCCCTCGCAGGGGGCTGCGGCGGGCAGGCTCTCCGGGGGCGGCCCCTCACCCTTCGTGGAGCGGCTCCGGCCGGGGGTCCTTGCGCAGCAGTGCCGTCCAGGCGGGAGCCGAGTCCCGGCCCCCAGGGTCTTGGGGGACAGTCTCCCCGACGCTGCCCTGCGCCCCCTAGCGGCAGCTCCCGCTCGGGCCGTGTCCCTGCCCGGGGCTTCCCCACGGGGGATGTCTCACCCGCACCCCAGGGCCCAGGGCTACCCTGCAGGGCTCTGCTGGTGGGAGCCGCACCTCGGGGCTCAGGCGGGGGGCTGGTGGCGGGGTCCTGGGCCCCTCTGGACAGAGCCAGTGGCGTATGGGTCGACAGGGGCACGGGGCCTTGCAGGCGTCTTGAGGACCAGGCCGCTCTGCGGGGTGCTTGGTGGGAATTTGGGGGGCTGCGCTGTTCTGAGACCGAAGCCCCTCCCGCCCCCATGCACCCCGACCCCCGCAGGGCTGCCGGCCTTGGCCTCCCGCCGCCGCCCAGGGCTGTCTTCTGCATCTGCACTGGCCCTTCCGGCGCGGACCCAAGGAGGCCATTGCCGGCTCCCGGACCGCGCGTGCTGCCCCCGGCCCGGCGCTCCGGGACCCTCGGGGCTGGCTCCCGTGGCGTGAAACTGGCCCCAGCGCCCCGGCATGGGGTTCCTGGCGGGGGGAGTGGCCCCCGTCCCCCTCATCAGTGGCCTCCTGGGGGCCTCCCTCCCTGGGGCCCTGCCCCCGAGCACTGTCACCCGCCCGCGGCCTGCATCCCTGGTGGAGCAGAGACCAGGGCTGCCTTCCCGTCTGTCCATCTTTCCACGTCCGTTCTCAGCACGCCAGACTGGAAACCGGGGTGACCATGTCGCTGGCGTGTGGCCCTCACCCCACGCGCCCCCGAGCATGCGCTGGGACCCCAGCAGCAGCCCTTCGCTCCCGGGTGTCCCCGCCAGCGCCGCACAGCCGGCCCCTCCGGGCGGCCCCGTGGACCCGGCGCCCTGGCCTGGCGGCTGTCCGGGGCTCGGGGCTCCCGGAGCGGACGAGGGAGCGGCGTCCCGGCTGGGGCCCGGCGTGTGGCCACCTGCCATGTGTTTCAGCTCCTGAAGACGCAGAGCCCGCGCTGCAGGGCCTCTCGGGGCAGCTGGTGGACGCCGCCTGCAGGGTCTGCCAGGCCTACCTGGGGCGGCTGGAGCACGAGGACATCGACGTGGCCGGGGGGCCGCCCTGGACCTCACGGAGGACGAGTGGAAGGACCTGACCCAGAAGTACTACGCCCTCGTGCAGTACGGGCGCTGGCGCCGCGGGCGGGCGGGCGGGCGGGCGGGCGGACGGGCGGGCTTCAGCCTCTGGACACGGCCCCCGCCAGGTGCTGGGCATCGGCTGCCTATCTGCAGATGGGGGGCGCAGTCTGGGCATCGGCACCTGTGTGGGGGCTGGGGGGCCCTTGTGGGTCGGGTGGCTGGGCACGTGGCCACGACACGCCTTCGGTGCCACTGCCCCGCCACACCCCTCACCTCTCCCACTCACGGGGACCCCACCCCTGCTTGAGGGACGGAGGGAAGCAGATCTCTGGCCAGTCCCTGGCTCGCTGGCCCTCGCAGCCTGGGGCCCAAGGGCTTTCCTCCCCCTCCCGAGGACCAGTCCCTCCAGGGCCCGCTCCCCGGCACCGTGGCCAGCAGAGGCCTGGGCAGCAGCCGGGCGAGCGAACGGACGGGAGCCCTTGGGGCCGAGGGCCGGCCCGGCCCCCACACCCCGGGTGGCTTGTTCTTTGCCTTCCTGCCCCTGTGACCCGCTGAGGTGGAAGCCTGGGGGGCCTCCCCCGGACCTCACGTGCCTCCGGGGTCTTGCTTTACAGCGGCGACGCTTTCATCTCCAGCCCCAGAACCCACCTCTCGCAGTGCCAGGCTCTGCTCAACAGGATCGCGTCCGTGAACCCGCAGACGGAGATCGACGGGCTGCGGAACATCTGGATCATCAAGCCCGCCGCCAAGTCCCGAGGCCGAGGTGCGCCCGGGGTGCGGGCCCTGAGGCCGCGGAGCCAGCGTGGGGTGGGGGGCCTCGTCTCAGCGAGGCCGTCCGCCTTCAGGCTCGCCCGGTGGGCAGCACGGCGTGGGGTTTCCGCGCCCCTGCGCTGACATGGACGGCGCCTCCCGCCCCACGCGGCCGTGTTGTCGCGGTGCCGGCGGGTTCCCTCCCCGCCGAAGGCTGCGCTCTGCGTGTTCCTTAAAACTCACCCGGCGGATTCGGGGCGGTTCCTCATCGTATTTCTGCTTCCGCGGAAGCGCCTCTGGGCTGCCTTTCTTTTTTCAGTTGCCCTTGAGCGACCGGCCCCCGCCGGACTCAGATGCCCTGGCCCCGGGCCGGTCTCCCTGCGCGCCCGCGAGCCGGGCCGTGAGACTCCCCAGGGGCAGCTGTAGCTGCACCCCCGTGAATGGCAGGGGGCCGTCTCCTTCCCCTGAGCGCCGCGAGGACTCCACTGGCAGTTTGGATCTTCTGTTTGCTCCTTGAGTGACTTTGAAGGGTCTCCTTGTTGCTTAAAATACACGCGCGGGTCCCCTTCTGCGGCTTTCACAAATCTCTGCTACTCTGCGGCGCCGCCGCACTTGGTCCTAAACCCCTTCCCCTCTGAAACGTCTTTGGCCAGCGGGCCCCGCGCCCGCCCCGAGCCACCCTCTGAAAGGGCGTCTGTCTGCTGGCCGCCCCCCCGCCCGCCAGCCCTTCCTCCCGCTGGGGACCCCGCCTCCCGGGGTGCTGTCTGGGCCCGCCCTGGTCCGCGCCCGCAGCCCAGGATGACCGCGGCGGCTGGCGTGGCGTCCTAGGCTTTTGTCTCAGGAGGCCGGGGCTGTCTCCCGCGACCGAGGACACCCCTGTCTTGCGCGGTGACACAGCTCACTTGTGGGTGCGGCCGTGGCCCCTGCGGTGGCGTCTCCCCTCCCAGCCCGTCCGTCACCGCCCCACACCTCGGCGGCTCAGCGCTGGCCCGTCCCCTGCTACTTGCGGGAGGACAGGGCCTGCCCATCAGAGGCCCCGTGTCCAGCGACACCTGCAAGCTCAGGGCTGTCCCCACAGAAGGCGGCGGGGAGGGCCCCAGGGGACATGGCTGCACAACCCTGGCCCGCAGGCCGCTGCGGCTGGCGCGCTGCTCTCGGCACCGGCTGACCGAGGGCGGCCCGGGGAGTCTGCGGCTCCTGCAAGGCCGGCAGCCCGATGTGCGGGCCGTTCACCACCCCCTCGGTCTCCTCCTCCCACCCTTGGGAGCCCAGGACCGTGTGGGTCCTCACCCTCAAAGCAGGCCCTGCTCCCCTGCCCTGCGCCCAGGCCCCTGCTGGCCACCTGGACGCTGCCTGTGGGGGGGGACGGGCTTTCTGGGCGTCCTCATGCCACCCCCACCTGTCAGCCTCCCCTCCCGTCCGTCCACCAGCCCGTCTTCACCCGCATCTCCGGGCGTCACCGCCTGTCTGTCTCCACCGCCTGTCTGTCCGTCCACCTTCTCTCCTCCAGCCTTCACGCCCCGCCCTCGCCTCTGCCTTCACCGCAGAAACCTCGCTTGGCTGACGGTGTCCCCAGCCTGCAGCAGCCCTGCACTGCCCACGCCCGCGCACCCCCGGCGCCGCCCTCTGCCCCGGGAGCCCCGAGCCCTCCCCGGGGCTGCCTGTGGCCGCGTGTGTCCCGCGTGGGCAGCCGTGTGCCCCCGGTGTGCATAGAGGTGCACCTCTGGGGCCTCCTGTCCTCTGGGGCCTCCCGGCTGGGCGGGGCTGACCGCGGTTCTCTTGCAGACATCGTGTGCATGAACCGGGTGGAGGAGATCCTGGACCTGGTGGCCGCAGACCACCCGCCCCCCAAGGACAACCGCTGGGTGGTGCAGAAGTACATCGAGACGCCGCTGCTCATCTACGACACCAAGTTTGACATCAGACAGTGGTTCCTGGTCACCGACTGGAACCCCCTGACCATCTGGTTCTACAAGGAGAGCTACCTGCGCTTCTCCACACAGCGCTTCTCCCTGGACAACCTGGACAGGTGGCGGCGCTGGGGGCGCCCCTGCGCGGCGGGCAGGCTCAGCTCTCAGGAGCTGTCGGGCGGGAGCTGAGGCCCGGGTGGCCCCGGCCGGTGTCCCTGGTGGGCTCTGCCTCTCCCCGCCCGGTCCCGCGGGCCGTCCCGATGCTCCCTCTCGAGGCTGCCCCGGCCGCGCCCTTGGCGCCCTGCGGCGGGACCAGCCAGGACGTGGCTGGGGGCCGCGGGGGCGCGATGGTGCGACAGGGGGTGTGGGGCGGGGGTGGGGGGCGGGGCCCTGGGGCAGGGCTCCTGGGTTAGAGCCCGGGCGATCCTCGCGGGTAGGCCGGGGCCGGGGCTGGGCCGGGCCGGGCAGGGCCTGCCCCTGACCGCGCGTGCCTTGCAGCGCCATCCACCTGTGCAACAACTCCATCCAGAAGCACCTCAAGAACGACAAGGAGCGCAGCCCGCTGCTGCCCTGCCACAACATGTGGACCAGCACCCGGTTCCAGGAGTACCTGCAGCGGCGCGGCCGCGGCACCGTGTGGGGCAGCCTCATCTACCCCGCCATGAAGCGCGCCATCGCCCACACCATGCGCGTGGGGCAGGACCACGTGGAGGCGCGCAAGAACAGCTTCGAGCTGTACGGCGCCGACTTCATCCTGGGCCGCGACTTCAAGCCCTGGCTGATTGAGATCAACTCCAGCCCCACCATGCACCCCTCCACGCCCGTCACGGCGCAGCTGTGCGCGCGCGTGCAGGAGGACACCCTCAAGGTGGTGGTGGACCGCAAGCTCGACCGCAACTGCGACGTGGGCAACTTCGAGTTGCTGTGGAGACAGGTGAGCGCTGGCCCCGGGCCACGGCTGCGTGTGGGCCGCCGCCCGCATGTCTCCCCTCCCCCCCAGCCGCCCCAGCCCTGCCACCGGGCGGCGCTCCCTGCCCCGGACTGGCCAGGGTCCAGCCTCCCGGTCCTTCTGGGCCGTTCCTCTGCAGAACGACAGTCTCCCTCCATGCCCTCCTGTGGGGTCTTTGTGGGGGCCTCACCCACCCTTCTGCGGGCCGGGCGGTGGGGCAGCCAGGGTCTGCCGGACCTGAGTCCCACCCCCTGGAGGAGGCCCGGGGGCTGCCCAGCGGCGGTGAAGCGTGGGGGCTGCTCTCTGAGGCCTCAGGCCTGACCGGGGTTGGAGGCGGGGCGCGCGGCCCCCTGACCGGCCTCTGTCCCCAGCCCGCCGTGGAGCTGCCGCCGTTCCACGGGTCCGACCTCTGCGTGGAAGGCGTCGGCCTGAGGAGAGCCAAGAAGCCGATGCTGCCCATTTCCCATCTGAACTTCCCGCCTTCGCTCTCGAACATTCAGCCCCTAAAAGCAAGGTGCCCCTCGGCTGCCTCCGACCCGGCGCCGCGACCCCTCGCCGCGGCCGGCCAGCGAGACTTGAAGCCCAAGGACGAAAAGGTACTGCCCTGCGCCCTGCCTGCGCCCCTCAGGCAGCCGGCCGAGAGGAGCTCCGCGGCAAGGCCCCCCCACGCCGCGCCCGGCGGGAAGACGGGGCCCCCCGCCGGCAGCGCCCACCCCGGAGACAGTCAGGCCCCGCGACCCGGGCTTGCCAGAGCCGAGGCCGCCCAGCACCAGCACCCAGACTCGGGGCGCTCGCTGGCCCGGGTGTCCGTGCTGCCGCACGTGAGGACTGCGCGCCGCGCCCTGGCCCGGCCGTTCAGCGCAGCAGGTAATGGGGGTGGCGGCGAGGGGCGGCCCTCGTCTGGCCCCTGGCGGCGGGTGTGCGGAGCGGGGGTGAGTTTGGATTTGAACCCCACCTGGTGCCGGGCCAGGACAGAGCTGACCCTGGAACGGGCCGGGCGGGCGGGGAGGGCAGCTGCACGGGCGCGAGGCGGCCGAGCGTCCACAGCCCTGCCTGCGTGCCCGCGTGGCCGCGAGGACTGTGCACCCTGTTCCGGAGACGCCCGGGGGCGCGGGGTGGGGGTGCCGCCTGTCTCTGCCTCTGCCTCCCGCTGGCCGGGCCTTCCCTGGGGTCCTGCGCCTTTGTGGGAGCGTCAGGACCTAGGAGTGCTTCTTCCTGGGCTTGCTCAGATTCCCTTCCAAGGACAGCAGCGGTGTCCCCAGCGCCATCTCGTCCTAGCTCCACGAGACTGCCAGGCCCCTCAGCAGGCCTCCCGGGGCCGGGGTGCCACAGGGAGCCCCTGACCAGTCCCCTCAGGCCCCTCCCTCCCCGCAGGCCTCTCTGAACATGCACCCACTCCAACGGGCCCAGGGTGGCCCCGGGCCACCGGCCCCACTGGCCTCCTGCAGAGAACACGGGCGCCCCCTGGGAAGTCTCGCGATGCCCAAGCCAGATGCCAGGCCAGGGCTCGGCCAGCCTCCTGACCTGGAGGACGGTGCAGAGACCCACGCTGGGGTTTGCCCTGCCCTGGAAGCCGCTGGTGTGGTCTGCGGCTGCCGCATGAACTCCACAGAAGACAGGCGACCCTGGCGGGGGACGAAGGCTCTATCCCGGCGGGCGGCAGCCGGCCTGCACAGTGACCACCCCGGCCCACAGCGGCCTCTGGCCAGACAGCCAGTCCTGTCCTTGGGCAGCTCTGCCTCCTGCACCCTCATGGGGCATTCGGACTGCCCTCTGACCTTGGGTGTCCCTGGAGAGGCTTGGGGTCCACACGCACCCCACATTCAGCCCTCAGGGCCCCAGCAGTGCCGCCTGCACCCCCTAGCGTCCTCCACGGCCAAGGTGTCAGCTTCCCTTTTCTTACTCACCTACACCACGACCAGCCCTTCACCTGGAAGGACCAGGACGCTGCTGATGGGCGGCAGCAGGTCTCCGCCCCAGCCCCGCTGCCTGCCGGCCCCCAGGGGGCTCACGAGGGGCCTGTGGCGTTGGGAGCCTGGGCGCCCCGCCCGGGAAAGCAGGTGGCAGCTGGATCAGCGGCCGCGGCTCACAGCAGGCGGCCCGCCCAGGTGGACCCGGGCTGGCGGGCATCGGGATAGGGGGCTCACGGGGGCAGGTGGGATGCTCTGCCCAGGCAGCCCTGACACCCCAGCTGCTGGGCCTGGAGCCCGAGCGGCCGCACAGGCCCGGCTGGCTCCCCTCGGCCTGCAGGACAGCCCGGCGGCCGCCGCCCCTGTTGTCCTGCCTCACATGGGTTCACCTTTCCCTGCAGTCAGCCACCCTCCTCCAGCTCTGGCATCTCTGCGCTGCTCCTGGCACTGGCACTGCCCCATCCATGCGCCCCCCTCCCTGCCAGCCTCTGTCCAGTGGGTGCCCTGCCCTCGTCCCTCCAGGCGCCCGCCTCTCCTGAGTCGCCCTCCTCTGCACGCGGTCTCCGCACCTGGGCCCTCATCCACCCAGGCCAGCCCTGGGGCTGGGCTCACCTGGCATGGCAACCAGCCAGCTCCTGTTCTGTGCCATTCAAACTCGACTCCTGGTCCCTCCGCCCCACCCTGTGCCGGAGATCCTGATGGGCGTCCAGCCGCTGCCCCTCCTGCCCCAGCGGCTGCAGCAGTGGGTGGGTGACGGTGGCATGTGGCCTGGCCCCAGGGCTCCCGGGCCAGACCACTGCAGGCCAGGGAGTGCCCTGCCCCAGGCAGACGCAAGGGCGCTGGACAGGCCCGGCTGAGGCCTCTGGGCACTGTCTGGTCCCCAGGCACGCGCTTGGAGGCTGCTGGGTGGCCCAGGGCTCGGGGTGAGTGGAGAAGTGGCTCAGGTCAGCCACCAGCGGGCAGGCCCAGGGGAGGAGCCAGATGGGGCCTTGAAGTCCAGGCCCCTGCAGCCCCTCCCATGCCCGTGTGGTCCCATGTGAGCGGGGCTGCCACTTCTGGGGGCCTGCAGTTGTCCACCCTCGCGGTGGATGCCCAGGCTGGCTTTGGGGTGCCCATGGTGGTGACAGGGCTGGTCTCAGGGAACTTCAACACCGCTTCCTGCAGCAAGCCCACCACCCTCTGCACAGGCCCCGCCCTGGCCCCCACAGATACCCGCAGCCTTGGGGTGGGGAGGTGGCAGAGGGTATGAGGGTGGACAAACAGGGCGAGGGCGCCCCAACCCCCAGCCTTCACCCAGAGACGTGAGCCCCAGGTCCATCTTGTGGCCTCAGAGTCCAGGCTTTTCCAAGTGCTGACCAGGAGGGTGGGGCAGGTCCAGCGAGGAGGTGGGGGCTGGAGTCCCACGGGCATGGTCCCAGGGTCACGTTAACGCGGCCAGCAGTATGGTCCTGGGGCCAGTGGGCTTGGTCTGGGTGTGGTGGGCATTATTTCACGGTTAAGGGCGCTGCCTGGGAGGCCGTGGGGAAGGGCTGCCCAGTGGGGGAGTCTGTGGGCGGCCCTGCCTGCTCTGGGGGGTGGGGAAGGTGGGCTTTGGGCGTGGCCGTGTCTGTGGGCGTGGTCTGGCCGGGGACTGGCCTCAGGGGGCCCCTCTCTCTCCCCAAGGGCTGCCAAGGGACCTCCCTGCTCCGTGCCTAGTGTGCCGCAGCTCGCTGCCACCCTCCCGGCCCTGCAAGCGCTGCCTCTCCTTCTGCGCCTCCGTCCTGCAGGGCGTTTCGTTCGTGCCACTCGGAAGCCCGTGGACCCTGTGACGCCAGCGCCAGGGCAGCTGCGCCCCAATTGGTGTCCGCCCAGGCCCGCGGCAGGAGCGTTGCTCGCATCTCTGGAGACCTGCAAAGCTGGGGCCGGGGATACAGAGCTATTTTCGCGAAATTGCGTGTCTTAACCACGGTGTTTCTTGTGGCACCCGCACCCCTTGGCGGGGCCTGTACCCCAGCCAGCACCTGGCTCCCCTCTCTGCACCCCATGCCCCTCACCCACACTTAACCCCTCACCCCACACACCTCAGCAAGAGCACTGACCCTACAGCTACACCCTCGCCCTGCACCCCACACCCACGACCCACACCCATCACACCCCATACCCACAGCCTTGAGGCCCTGCCCACACCCCTCACCCCCCCTGCAGCCCACGGGCCTAGCCCGACCGCACACCCACAGGTCACGTCTAACCCCTGCCCTATAGCCAACCCCCACCCCGCCCCGCACACTCCTTAGCCCTCCCCTGGCACCCGCCCCCCGGGGCTTAAGCCCCCCAAGGTCATGTCTTGGGTTTCCTCTTTGGGAGCCAACCCAGGGCGCCCAGCCCTCCCGGCCCCACATGCAAAGCTCCCCAGAGCAGCCCCCCTTCTCTGTCTCTAAGGTGGGGCAGCCCAGGAGACCCCCCCACGGCAGCGCGAGGGCCCCGGCTGTGCTCAGGAGGGGGTGTCGCCGCTGGGACCCCCCAGAGCTGCTGCTGGTCTAAGGCTGTGGCTGCAGCTGGGGAGGCAGAGGGCGCCCCCACACCCCGCCCCCCGGCGTCCCCCCATGCTGGCGGGCAGCAGCGGCGCCCCTCTCCCTGGTGAAAGGGGCTGTGCTGCCCCCGCCGGGGGTTCCCCCGCACGCCTGTCCCGGGCGCCCCTCTGCCGGCCTCCCGGAGAGGCCGGGGCCGAGTCCCCGGGGGCGCCCCTCGCGGGCGGGAGCGCGGGGCCGGCGGGGGGGGGGGGGGGTGGCACGGGGGTGGGGGGCGCGGCCCCGGGCTGCGGCGCGGAGGGCGGGAGCGCCCAGCACCCCGGGGGCGGCGCGCGCTGGCGGGGAGGGCGGGGCGCCGTCGCGGCGGGACCCCGGGAGGTCCGGGGGCGCAAGGTGGCCCCGAGTCCCGCGCTGCGCGGCGGGGCGCGCACCAGGGGGGCCCGGGGCCGCAGGCCGAGCGCGGGGGGCGGGGGGCGGGGGGCGGGGGGAGGCAGCACCGACCCCGGCCGGCCGGGCGGGCCAAGCGCAGACGGCGCCGGGGGTGTCCGGGGCCGCGGAGGTGGGGAGGGGCCGCCCGCGCCCGGTCCGGGCTCCCGGGGGCTGCGCGCGGCCGGCCGGCCGGCCGGGTCTGGGGGCGGGGTCCAGCCCCACCCCCAGGACGCAGCGGCGCGCCCCGCGGGCAGCCCCCCAGCCCCCCCCCCAGGCCCCGGCTCGCGCGGGCCACCTCGGTCGGCCGGCGCCGGGGGGGCCGTAGGGGCGCGTTCCAGGGCTGGGACACCGGGTCCGGGAATGGGCTATGGGGTGGGGCGCCCGGCCCCCCAGGAGGGGCCACCCCGGCCCTGCCGCGCCCGCCCGCAACGACCCTGTGGGGAAGCGATGGGGACGGCCAAGCCGCGCGCGGAGCCGGCTCCCTTGCGCCCGAGTGCGCGGTCTCCGCGCGGCGCTCGCGACCGGCGCGTCCAGGCTGCGGAGATGCTCACGCGCTGGGTCCGCTCCAGGCCGCATGGGGGGGGGGGCCGCCCCGGCCCCTGGGAGCTCGGCCGCGCCCTGCCCCGCGCGGGGGCACCGCTTTGACGGGCGCCTGGACCTCTGGCCCGCGGCCCGGAGCGGGGTCCGGCCTGGCTCCCGGTCTCGGGGCGTCGGCCGCCCACTGCCCGCCTGAGGCCGGCTCTGGGTCTCGCGGGCGCCCGCGGGGCGGAGACGGACGCCGCAGGCCCCCCCGCCGCCCGCTGACCGGCCGGCCCCGCGCACTCCCCCGGGCCGCGCCTCGGCGCCTCCGCCCCAGCTGCCTGCCCGGCTCTGGCTCCGCGGCACCTGCCGCGCCGGGCCTGCCCCGGCCCCCAGCGGCTCCCCACCAGCGTCCCGGGCTCCGGCTGCACGCTGTGCCCGCCCGCCTCAGGGCTGTCCTCCGTCTGCGGCCGACGCGCCCGGGGCCTCTCGCCACCTCATCTGCTGCGGCCGGCGCGGTGCTTCCTTCACGTTCCCTTCGGTCCCGGCGTCCGACATCCGTTTGCCGCTGCTCCGCGGCTGACCCGCGTGTGGCTTCGCGGGCAGCGACCTCACGGTCGCCGCGGGGGGCCGCTGTCAGGCCACAGGCCGCGGCCCGACGCCTTGGCCCTCATGCGCCGAGGGGCCCCAGCCTGCCCGGGCGTCCGCGTGGCGCCGGAGCCTCTGGCAGACCGGGGTGCGGCGCGTCGGCCCGCGCCCCAGCCCCTTCTCCCGGCCTGGCTGCCGTGGAGCGCAGACCCCGGCCCGGGCGAGGCGGCTGCGGGCGCTCTCTGGGCGCCAACGAGCCTCTCGGCGCCAGGCGGGCCCAGGTCCCATTGCCGCCGCCCGGGAACCCCGCGTCGGCAGCGGGACGTCGGGCAGGACAACGCAGAGCGGCCAGAGGCGGGTCCGTGAGGGTCCGGGCCCGAGCTGAACGCAAAACTCACCGCGCTCTCGTGTGCTGGCGACGCTGGCCCAGAGGGGCTGGGGCGGACGCCCAGGGCGGGGGCAAGGCCGCGAGGGCTCCCGGGGGCCGCGGGGCGGGCCTGACGGCATCCGCGCCCTGGGTCCGGCCCCGCCAGGCAGCTGCTGCGGGCGCGGCGCCTCCCTCTGGGCAGGGCCGAGCGGGAGGAGACGGGCCCAGATGGACGCCCCCGGCACCGGGCAGGGGGCTCGGCGGGGCGAGCGGGCGGGTGGCCGGTGCGGACCGGGGCTGTGCTGACGGCGGCGGCCCCGGCCCCCAGCGGCCGCGTCCTCTGCCTCACCACGACGGAGCACCAAGGCAGAGCTGTCGGGAGCAAGACGACCGGCCCCGCAGGTGAGAGCGGTCGAGGCTCCGGCCGGTTCCCCACAGGCGGAGGCGCTGGCCACCTGACGCCAAGAGCGGGTCCCGGCTTCGGAGGGCGCAGGCGGGGCCAAGGCGGAGTCGAGGAAGCAGATTCCGGGAGGCCCAGCACGGCCGGGCGGGAGCCGGAGGGCGCGGGCGGGGGAGGGGCCGCCGGGTCGCCGGGTGCAGGCCGCCCTCACCCCCCGGGGCCAGCGTGGCGCGGGAGGGGCCAGGCCAGCACCGGGGAGGGCCGTCCTGCCGCGGGGGGCGCTGCCACGCTCGGCCCACGTCTGTCCGCTCACCGGAGGCGGCACCGCGGGGCGTGGGGGCCACGGCGAGGGCTGGGGGCTCCGGACCAGGGCTCCAGGGCGCCGGCCCAGTGAACCCGCTGCAGGCGGGAGGTTCCCACGCAAACACCACCCCGAGAGGCCATCGTGGGGACACTCGCGTGGGGCCGGCTGTTCCGCAGGGTCCGTCTGAAGCGCGCCGGCTGCCCCGTCACAGAAGGGCGGTTTCTGTCGATTCCCAGTCCGGCCGGACCCCGCCCCGGGCTGCAGCTGGGAGCCCCGACCCCGGCGTCATCCAGGGGCCACCCCGAGTTCCAGTACCGCGCGCCCCGCTCCCTGCCCCAGCCTCACCGCCACACACACGCCATGGACGTGCACATGCCACACCCACGGACGCACCAAACGCGCACCACACCTGCCCTTCACACCTGTGTCCGGACACGCCTGCACACGCAGCCCGTGTGCCCGCACCAGGGCGCCCCCTGGGCCCTGCAGCGCGGGCTCCTGAGGCCCACCGGGGACCCTGCCCTCTGCTGGGTGGACGCCCCACTGGGGGGCTGGGCAGGGGTGGGCGGGCCGGGAGGCCTGAGTCTGGAGGCCTGAGCCCGGAGGACAGGCTGAGGCCACAAGGGGAGGCGCCCGGCTGGGGTTAGGGAGGCGGCCAGGGGCCCCACCGGTGTCCGCATGGGCCGGGGGGACTCTGGGTTGTGGCGCCCACGGGGTAAGGCCGCTGGGCAGCCTGACGGGGCCGCCCCTCACGGCCCCTGGCCAGCAGCGCCCCGCCACACTGGCCCAGGCTCTGCACGTGAGGGCCGCAGGGTACCGGGGCGCTGTCCCTCCGCTCTCCTGCCGCGGGTGACCCTGTGGCCTGGCGACCCTGCACGGGATTCAGGGGCAGCCCCACCTGTGGACAGCTGGGGCCCTGGTGACCTCTCCTCTGCTCCCAGGTTGGGCACCCGTGGAGCCGCCGGGTGGGCCCGGCATGCTGCCCGCCCTGCCCGGGAGACGCAGCACCCCCAGAGGCCCTCCGGTCACCTCGCCCTGTCACCACGCCGGGCAGGGCCTCCCCGGCCGTCGTGCCCAGACCGGGTCCGCAGGATGGGCCGGCCGCCAGCCGGGTGCAGCAACCCTGTCTACCCCACGCCGCCGGGAGCGAGTCCCTGACCCCGTCCTGGCTCGGGAAAGCTCGGGGTTCGGGGTCAATACCTAGTCCGCATCCCGCCTGGACCCAGCTCCTGGCAGCAGGGGGTGCGGGTTAAGGGCCCCAGGGCAGGCCGAGGCCAGCTCACCCCCCGCCGCCTTCGTCCCTGGGTGAGGTGACTCTGGGGCCAGGGCCAGATCTGAGCTCGCTCAGCGCTGCTTCGGGTGACCCCCGGAGGGAGCCCCGGCCCTGGGGCGGGCTACACCGCAGAGACCGGCCAGGAGGAAAGCAGCCACCGGCACCGAGGGGGCAGCCTGCCCACCGCCCACTGGCTGCCAGGAGCCCGGGCAGGGAGGGGTCACTCACGCGACGGGCAGGGGCTGCCATGGCTGCTGAGATCCCCAGACCCCGCCCGCCCAGAGGCCGCTCGCCGGGGCCAGGCCAGGAGAAGTCCAGGGAATCCGGCCGCCCACCTGGCCTCCCCCAGCCATGCCGGGGTCAGGGCACACGGCCCAGGGGCTCTCGGGGGCCAGGTATCAGGCCTGCCTCACACCCCAAGGCTGCCGACACCGCACCCCTCGCGTCCAGCCCTGATCCACTGCCCCCGGGGCCCAGGGTGCTGGCGTCTGCACGCCTGGCTGTCCTTCCAGCCCCCCAAGCGCAGGGAGGCGGCGGCCATCCCCTCTGCCCAGCTTCTCCACGCTCCTGTCGCTGGCACGAGGGCTGCAGGGCTGGGGTCTAGATGCAGGGGCTCACGGGGCCCGGGGCGCCCACACCAGTGCCAAGGGCCCCACCCGGGTCTGCAGCAGGAGAAAGCCAGCAGCGCTGCTGGGCAGGGCAGTCCCAGGGAGGCTGGTGGGGCCAACAGGGAGGGGGCCGGGAGGGGCCACACGGCCTCAGGCAGCTGGGTGCTGCGCGACCTCAGGACCTCAGGTAGAAACTGGCACGAGATGCAAGCAACCGATCTGGGAGGAGCCAGCTGGGGGGCCAGCAAGGCCCGGGACACCGGCCCCAGACCCCAGGCAAGCTCCAGGGAGGGCAGCAGGGGCCTGAAGGAGTTCCCGCAGGCACCTGCCTCTCCAGGCTCTGGAGGGCAGGACCCCACCAGCCTCCACAGGGGAGGGACTGCACCCCATTCCCTCCACCCCCAGCACCCCAGTCGGCAGCTGCTCTGTGCCAGCACACGCCAAGGCCCAGGGGCGGGGGAGGACCAGCACAGCACAGAGGGGTGTGAAGAAGCTGCTGGAAAGCCTGGAGGCGGGAAGGTGGACGGACAAGTAGGTGGACACAGGCAGCCTGCAGCCAGTGCGGGCACCCCTGAGCACCCCACTGCTCCCGTGACGAGCCCCAGGGCACGGCAGTCCTGCAACTCCTCAGTCCCGCCCAGGCCCAGTGCCCCCCACCCCGAGGGGCCGGGTTTCCTGCGGCTGCAGGCGGAGCCTCGCAGCAACCCAGGCACCTGCCCACCCAGAACCCTCCCAGGCCCGACCCAGGCAGCACAGGTGTCCGCTACGTACAAAACAAATTTAATCGAAATGCCTGTATAAAAAATAAGATCTGCAGAGCCCCCTTCGGAACCGAGACCCCCCCCACCCGGGACCACAGAACAGCTGCTGAAATAAATTAAAGGCTCAGGCTCTCCCCACCCCCAGCGTCCAGAGCCAACAGGCCGCTGTACAAGTCAATAACTTAAGCCCACCCGCAGGGCGAACCCCGACCCTTAAATTAGCCCCTGTACAAGCCTCCCCGCAGACCCGGGCAGGGTGGGGGTCCCGCCCCGCCTCCCAGCCCACCCCCCGGCGGCTGCAGGGAGGAGGAAACTCAAGGAATAAATTAAACAATAAATAGCCCGTGGGTGGGACGCGCGGCCCCTGGACACCCGCAGGGCGGCCTTGCATTGCTTGTGCGGTCCGGCCGGCCTGGCCCAGGGCGCCGAGGGGCCTCTCAGGAGCCCGCCCGGGAGGGCCGGCCTGGGGTCCTCGCCTCCACGCGGCCTCCGGGCACGGCACGCAGGACACCCGGCCGCGGCCCCTGGGAAAGGCACTCAAAGCTAGGGGGGCGCCGCCCGGCCAGTCCCGCGGGCGTCCACCAGCCAGGCCGGCCCCTCCTCACAAGCTCTCACTGCTGGAGGTGGTGCTGGCCGCACCCCCGGCGTCCAGGGCGCAGAGCCGCAGCTCGCAGCTCTCGGGGCCGCCCGCGTCGGGCCCCAGCATCCAGGGGTGCGCGGCGATCTGGTCCAGCGAGGGCCGCTCGGAGGGCCGCAGGGACAGACACCACTGGATGAGCTGCTGGCACTCTGGGGGGGGGCGAGGGTCAGGCCGCGGCCCCCTGCCTGCGGCCCCCCTACCCCCCCCCGCGGCGCACGCACCTGGGGAGACCCTCCTCCGGAAGAAGAGGCGGCCGCGCAGGATCTCCTCGTCCTGCTCGAAGGGGATGTCCCCGCACACCATGTCGAAGAGCAGCACCCCCAGGGACCACACGGCGGCCGAGCGCCCGTGGTAGCGGTGGTAGCGGATCCACTCCGGGGGGCTGTACACGCGCGTGCCTGGGGGGCGCGGCGGGTCAGCGGGCCCGAGACGAGGGGCGCGCCGCCCCGCCCTGGAGACACCCCTGCGCGGCCTCCGCCCCGCCCCGGCAGGCGCGGGTCACAGGGCGCGGCTCGGGTTTCACAACAACCCGGCAAGGGGGTGGGGGGGGGAGCCCCGGCTCCCCGGCGCTCCGCAGTGCGGGATCTCGGCCGCCCCCGCCCCCGCCCCCTCACCGTCGAAGTCGGTGTAGACCGTGTCGCGCAGCAGCGCGCCCGAGCCGAAGTCGATGAGCTTGAGCTCGCCGGCGCGCAGGTCCACCAGCAGGTTCTCGTCCTTGATGTCGCGGTGCAGCACCCCGCGCGCGTGGCAGTGGCGCACGGCCGCCAGCACCTGCGCGAAGAAGCGCCGCGCCAGCGCCTCGTCCAGCGCGCCCCGCGCCGTGATGAAGTCGAACAGGTCCTGCGCCGGCTCGGGCCGCTCGAGCACCAGCAGGAAGCCGTCGGGGCGCTCGAACCAGTCCAGCAGGCGGATCACGCCGCGCGCGCCGCCCGCCGCGCCCACCCGGCGCAGCAGCACCACCTCCAGCGGCACCGCCGCGCCCGCCTGCGGGACACGCCGGTCAGGTCAGCGCGGCCCGCCCGCCCGCCGGCCCCGCTGGACCCCCGGCCCCGCCCGCCCGCCCGCCCGCGCGCACTCACCAGGCTGCCCCACTCCGTCACGCGCTCCCTCACCACGTGCTTCACGGCCACCTGCGGGGACAGCGCGGGGCGGTCAGCGCGGGCGCGGCCGGGGCGGGGCGAGGGCCCGGCCCGCCGCGGCGACTCACCGGGAGCCCGTCGGACAGGCGGCTGCCCGCGTACACCGTGCCGAAGCCGCCGCTGCCCAGCACGGCGCCCACCTGGTACAGCTTCTCGAAGGCCTCGCGGTCCGCCTTGCCTGCGGGACAAGGGGCGCTGAGCGCGCGCCCGGCCCCCCCGGCCCCCCGCCCCCCCGCCGGCCCCCCGCCCACCTGGCGGCAGCAGCCGGGCCGGGAGCGGGTCGGCGCCGCCCGGGCCGCGCAGGTGCGCCAGGGACCCGAACTTGGACAGCAGCATCGCGCCCCGCGCCGGCCCGGCCCGCCCGCCCGCCCGCCCGCCGGGGGCTGCGGCCCGCGAGCGCCGAGACCCGCCCGGGCGGGCGGCCGTCCGCGCGACGCAGCGGCCCGGGCCGAGCCCCGCGAGCGGCGACGACGCGGCGCGGCCGAGGGGCTCCCACGCCCCGGCCGCCTCGCCCCGGGGTTTTGGGGCGCCGCGCCCGGATCCCTCCGCGGGGGCGGGGCACGCGCGCCCCGCCCCGCCCCGCCCGCCGGGTCTACGCGGCCGCGCGGACCCGGGGCCCGGGCGAGGCGCCGAGGCGACGGCGGGGCGAGCCGCCGCCCCCGCCCGGGTGGCGGGGCCCGGGGCGCCGGGGGGGGCGCGGGGCGCCGCCGGAACTAGTTTGCGGTGGCGAGTCGCGGAGGCGCACGGCGTGGCGCGGCCTGACGCGTCGCGTCCTCGCGCGCTCGCCGCCACACGCACTGTCTGCGCACGCGCGGTCCCCGCGGGCGTGGCCGAGCCGTGGGAGGGGCCGCAGGAGCCAATGGGAGCCGGGGTTTAAAAGGACACAGGCCCCCAGCCAATGGCAGCGCTCGGTGGGCGGGGACCGGCCGGGGCCGCCTCCGGCCGGCCCTCCGGGGAAGGTCACTGCCGACACGGCGCCTTCCCGGCCGGGCTCGGGGCGGGGGGCGGGGGCCGGGGCGGGGGCCCCCCGGGCGCGGGTCCCGACGAGGGGCGGCGGTCAGTGGGCGTCCCCGCGCCGCCCCGGGCTATGCGCGGGCGTCTGGGGTGGCCCGCTCGCCCCTCCGCGCACACGGCGCGGGGCCGCCTCCTGGGGACCCCCGCGCCCCCAGGCCCCCCGGGTGGGCGCGGGCTGGCGGCCGGGGCCCCGGGGCCGCCCTCGGGCCGGGCCGCTCCCTGGCCACGCCTGCCGCCGCGGACCCTTGGGCCGGCCTTCCCGCCGCCGGCGCGTCACCGGCTCCCCCCGCACCCCGCACCCCCCGGGCGGCTGCCGGCCCCGCGGCCAGGGCCCCGCTTGACCGGGCGGCGGCAGTCAGGGCCCGAGCCTGCCCGAGTGCACGTGGCCGGGAGCTGGACCCGAGCGTCCGCCTCTGCTTGGTGCGGACTCCCAGGCGCCTGGTCCCGCCCGCGGGCTGCACTGCGGCCTGACCCAAGGTCACCTGAGCAGCCCGCCGGCCCGCCGCCTCCCACACAGCCCCCGGGCTGGAGGGCTGGAGGGTCCGGGCGTCCAAGGCGGGCTTTCCCACCGCGCAGGTGCGCCTGGCAGCCCCCAGCCCAGGCTGGGATCTAAGCGTGCAGGTCACCCAGCTGGTGTCACCTTTGGGTGCGATCCCCGAAGGGCCTGTGCCCCCAGGTCCCAGCACGGAAAGTGGGGCCCCCCGTGGCCTGGTCCACGCACAGCTCTGTTTGCACTTCTCTTGGGTCTGACTGAGCTGTGGCCTGCCACCTGGCCAGGAGGCAGCCCCAGGAGGCCAGCACCCCAGGGGAGGGGCAGCCCTGCACCCAGCTCCCCAGACCCTGGCAGAGGGACTGAGCTGCTTCAGGAAGGGGGGCGTGTCCCCCACCCAGCAGCCCTGCCCTGGGGACGCGTGCTCAGGTCCAAGCTGCTGGCAGGCGCACCCAGGAGCAGCCTCCTTCCTGAGGGGCGTCTCTTCAGAGCCTCCCTCCCCCCGTTCTCCATGGGGGTCAGGTCAGCGCCCTCCCCGCCTGTCCTGGCCTGCTCAGGGTGACCTGCCCCAAGGTCCAGCTCAGCTGCAGAGCCTCAGACCCAGCAAAGTCAGCTCTGGGGCCCAGGTCCTTTGGCCTACCACCTGGGTGGGGTGCTGGGGCCAATGCCCCCGGAGCACCCTTCCCTGCCAGACTGGCCACCCCCACCAGTCCCAGGCAGCACAGGATGCCAGGCCCGCCTGCTTCTTCCTGGTCTGGAAGGTCCATCCGGTGGGTCCCAGGAATAGCTCTGGCCCTGCAGGCTGGCCGCACCCAGGCCAGCAGCCAGTTGGGAGGGGTCCCTGGAGCAAGGTAGCTAGGGTGGAGGGCCAGGTCCTTGTCCTGCTACCCTACTGACCTAGGGTGCCCGGGGCTTGGGTCAGCGGCTCAGTGCCTCCCTCCACCAGGCGGCCTCCTGCCCGCCTGTCCCCGAAGCAGGTGTTTTCCGAGGGAAGCGTCTGACCAGCGGAGCACCCACCCCCTGCAAAGGGGCACTATTGCCATGGTGACCAGAACCTGGCTGGCCCAGGGCCTTCATACTCGCCTTACACACGCACAAGCGTCACCCTGCACACGCCTGCACATACACAAGTGCCCACGGGTGACACAGGCGGGCCCGCATATCCCAGGCTCTGCCTGTCCCACCCCGGCTGTTCTCCGCCCCATTTTGGGCCCTTGGACCTCCCTGCCCCGCAAGTCTCGTCCACCCCAGTCCCCAGGCCAATGCCCATGACCTCCTCCAGTGGCCCCAGCCGCACCCAGACACCCCACAGACGTGCTGAACGCTGCCCTGGCCTCTTGAAACCCTAACCCAGGCATGGAGGACCCCCACTCGCCTCCCACAGCGCCTCCCTGCCCCCACTCTGGTCTGGGGGGTGTCCACACCCCCACCGTCCACAGGCCCCTCCTGCCGTGGGCCCCGCACGGCTACCCCAGGCCCTCGGATCCACCCGTGCCTCGCGCGTGGCTGGGGACCTCTCCCGAGCCCCCTTCGGGTTCCCACGGCAGGACCCCAGCACCTGGGCCTGACCACAGGGCTGGCTGGCTGGCGAGGAGACAGCCCGGCAGGAGCCCGGCAGGCCCGGCGGGCTGGGCGGGGCCTGGGGCGGCCAATGGCCTTCGCCCTGCCTGGCCTCCACCTCGGCCTCTCACCCGCTGGGGAGGGGGCCAGCAGAGGCGCAGCTTTTGCCACTTTCCCCAGCGGCAGCCTGGCGCAAGGGCAGGAGGGGCGGGGCCCGCGGGGAGCCCGCGGGTGGCCACCGTGAACCCTGGCCCAGCGGCGTCTCAGCTCCCCGCTCTGCGGCTGCAGCCCTCCGAGGGCTCCCCCCGCACCGGCCTGGACTCCTGACCCAGGAGGCCCTGGGAAACCAAAGATGCTGTGGCCCCCGCCTAACCAGGGGGGCCTCCCAGCTCACCCCAGAGGCCAGCTCTGCTGAGACGGGCTTCGGTGTTGGGGTGGTGGCGGGAAGCGTGGCCGCCCAGCCAGGGCGCCCCACCCCCCGGCCTCTGGGTTGGGGCCAGGCCATCCCGTGGTGGGTTCTGGGTGATCCCCGGCCCAGCTTCCCACCGCGGCCGGGGCCTCACGCCCTCTGGCCCCCGAGTTCCCCCCCTTCTCGGCCGGCCGAAGGCCCAGGCCACGACCCCGCTTCGGGCCCTGCCCACCACCTGGGCGAAGACCCCGGCGGCCCTTCCACCCAGACCACAGGGGTGTCCCCAGCCCTCCCGGCCCGGCCCCCCGCCCCACGCGAGGACGTGGCGGAGGCGCCTGCACTGAAACGGTGGGTGCCCGGAGAGGTGACTGGGAGACTCACTGGTCACGGCCCGGGCCCTGGGACCTCATCCAGAGAGGCGGGGTCCCAGGGAGACCTGGTCTGGAGGTGAGCTCGGGAGCCCCGCGTGGCGGGTGGAGGCTGCCTCCCCGTGCCCCAGCTCTCCCTGAGCCCAGCCGTGCGCTGGCCGCCCAGCTCAGTCGCCCCCGACCTGCACGCGGCCCCCACAGGCAGGAGCCCTGCGGCATCGCCAATGCTGGCCCAGGGCAGGGGAGCCTGGGGGCGCTCGCACCTGTGCTGGGCGTGGGGGGGGCGCAAGGGCCTGGGGCTCAGATCTGTGAGGCCTGTGGGGCGGGGGGAGCATGTGTCCCATGCAAGACGGTCCCCCCAGGGGACCCCAGGGTCAGAACACGGGCCCTGGGGAACCTGGCGCGGCACGAAAGGACCCGGACGCGGTCCCGTCCTGGGGTCCCTGGACGGTCTCCTGGGCGGGCCTCACCCGGTCTCCCGGTGGCGGCAGCCTCAGGAGGAGGAGCCGTGGGGTGCCCGGGGTGCGCCACGGCCGCGACACCAGCCCTGCCCGAGAGCGGGTCAGCTTGGACAGAAACAGCGCAGGGTGGGGACGGCTTCGGGTCAGGCTCGCCAGCCCCCCGCCAGTCCCAGGCAGCCCCCCCACAGCTCAAGGCTCCCTGTGGGGCCCCTCTTTGGTTGAGAAATGCAGAAGTAGGAGCAGAGGGGAGAGCACCCCACATCTGGGGGTACTGGGGGTGTCTGGCTCCGCGGAAGGTCCTGCTTGTGGACAAAGGGTGGGGTGGCCGGGCAGCCCCGTCTGCAGGGCCCCGCAGAGGCACCTCCTCGAGAGCTGGCGTCTCCTTCCAGGCCGGCTGGGCGCGCAGGGCATGGGCAGGCGGGACCGGAGCGCGGCCAGGGCAGGAGCCTGAGGCCGTGGCCCTCCAGCCCACATCCCCTGCAGACCCCCCTCTGCGGAAGTGCTGAGAGGACCCAGTCCAGCTCCCAGAGCTGCCCCCGTGCCGGCCGGCTGGGCCATGACAGAGGGGGGCCTCAGGGACCCCATCCAGGAAGCAGTGCCCACCGGGGGACGCCAACATGGGGGAGCTGCTGGGGCTCTGGCCCCTGAGCCTCCGAGACCCCAACATGGACAGCAGAGGCCAGAGGCGTGGGGAGAGCGCTGCCCTGACCCCGCTTTGCCCAGGGCTCTGCAGGTGTCCTCGCCCTGGCTGCACCTGGCAGGTGGCCCAGCCTCAGGGCTGCTGGGGGGCGGGCCTGGGCCAGCGCGCACCTGGTGGGCTCTGGAGAGAGGCCCCCCCACCCTGTCCCAGCTCTCCCCGAGCGCCCCAAGCTCAGCCCCGCTGTGCCGTTCCAGAGCAGGAGCCCGGAGCTGGGAGGGTCCAGCTGGCGGGGGGACGTCCTGGACGCCCCGGCTCTGGTCAGCCTAGGTCAAGGCCCAGGCGGCCACACCCCGGGGTGCTCTGTGGAGGGGTGAGCGCTCAGGTGCGCACAACG